TGCCGTTGGCAGACATTTTACAGCAAACCTACACCTTGCACACAATAACTGTAGAAATTAACACATGATATTGAAGTCATTTGATAATTGTCAGGGAAAATTTGATAGATTCTAGGAAACTCAAAAGTACATTCATCTTTTACATTCAGCTTTTCTGTTAGTTACTCACGATGCCACATTACAAGAGAGGTATTTGACAAAGGTTTTATTATGCAGTTATGATGTAATCTTTTTTATTATTCTTTCCTGATCTTAATCTCTGGTTTTTGTACTGAAGGGTTGTGCCTGGATGCATTCAGTTGGAAGCTTCGTAGGAACGCATGGGTGCTACTCTTACTTTTGTGAAATGTTTGTACTTTGGGTATCTCTCTACAAATACCTTCTTCCTTCCTTGTGAAGCTCTTCAGAGCAGCCCCATCAGCTGTCCTTGCAGTTTGTCATTTGGCTGCCCCAAATCCAGAGATTTGTACGTAAGAGAATACAGTATGAGCTAAGAAACTCACTCTGCTCTGAGTCCTAAATAATGAGAAGGGGTTTGAGGGCTCTATCTAGTGGACAAAGAATGAACAACATTCAATAAGAACTTTTTAATTCAAATATCTTTGGGCAACTTTACAGCAAAAACAGAGTCCTACATTTCCATTTCAGATGGCCAGAAATATTGACTTTTCACAATATTCGACAGGAATCCAGCTTTCTGAAAATGCTCATAGAACACCAACGTGGGCAGTGTCTTGGGGCATGTTTGCTGCACGCTTTTGGCATGCAAAGGTGTGTTAGAAAATTTGTGATTGGCCGTAGGGGAAATATTTGCTGTAACGTGGTGAGTGGCTCTTGGGCTCAAATTCAGTTTGTCAGGTGATATTTGGATTCAGTCTTGAATACACAAAGAACCATTTGGCTATACCGTCTCATAGACTACTCTCACCCACAACCAAGCCAAGGGATTTTGAACTCTATACAGCTGTGGCAAGGCAAAAGAAGGCTCGGCAGACCAACCTTCTAGTCAAACGTCTGAACTTGGAGCTCAGATCTTCTACCAATGACTGTCATGGTACAACTTCTGTCCTCCCCATTGCTATTCTGGAGGGAAGATAAGTTTTTAAAAGCCCTATCACGAACACAAGTGCCCCTGCAATTCTGGAGAGCTCAGTGACCCATATCCTCCTGCACGGCTCTTCATATCAAGATTTGCCTGAAATCTTTATCAAGCAGCTCTTATTAAATCTGCGAGGATGATCAGTGGCATTCTATGGCCTTCTACTCCTTTCCAAACAAGATGCATCTATCCGTGTGGCCAACTTCTGCGCTACAGCAAGCCAAATTCTCCAGGAACTGACCTCAGACCTTCTGCAATTTCCCTCTTTGAAGTTCATGGCATGATTATATCTTTTAAAATGTTGATGCCCTATTTATTTAACTCTATGCTACTTCTCGGGATGCGGGTGGCGCTGTGGGTTAAACCACAGAGCCTAGGACTTGCCGATCAGAAGGTCGGCGGTTCGAATCCCCGCGACGGGGTGAGCTCCTGTTGCTCGGTCCTTGCTCCTGCCAACCTAGCAGTTCGAAAGCACCTCAAAGGGCAAGTAGATCAATAGGTACCGCTCCGGCGGGAAGGTAAACGGCCTTTCCGTGCGCTGTTCTGGTTCGCCAGAAGCAGCTTAGTCATGCTGGCCACATGACCTGGAAGCTGTACGCTGGCTCCCTCGGCTAATAAAGCGAGATGAGCGCCGCAACCCCAGAGTCAGCCACGACTGGACCTAATGGTCAGGGGTCCCTTTACCTTTACGCTACTTCTATTTACTTTATCCTTTTTTATTGTTCTTCACACTTGGATGTGTTTTATGTGCCTCTTATCTTGCTTCTTTAATGCTGATCATTGACTTCAACCATAGAGATTTGATTTGATGGTACAGCTCCATTTCTTCCTGCTAGCTCAACCCATTGCATCAACGGCACCGAAGTCCGCTGTAGTTAATAAAAAGCTTAGAAACACCAATTTCTCAAAGTGTGACCTTGCTTTAGCAAAACATGTTATTGAACTCAGCTATAGCACAGCAGAGGCCAAATACAGCTGCTTTTGGTTTACGTTTGCCGATGAAGCCGTATAATTGATGTCAGACTGACTGTACACAGCTCTGGGAAAAAATGGCAGTTAATCATTGCTAAAGCACAATGCAAGAAAGCTCCCACAAGTGGTTCTGGGACAAAAACAAATACAAGCTAAGCAAGTGATATATTTTCAGCTTTCAGCCTGTTAACCTGAACACATCTTGGGCCAAACATGCATATCTTACCCCTCTGATGTACTGCTGTGTATCAGACTCAGAGCTTGAACACCAGCAGTTGCTACATGTATTCTTATGCAAAGTTTTGAGCTCATGGCTAAAGAAATGTCTTTTTCTGGAAATTTACTTGTGGAAGGTTACAAAAGCACACCACTGCATCCTTGCTGCATAGCATAGAAGCACTCTTCTGCGGAGGACTCACTCGCATAACATAAACCTGTTGTTGTTGCTGCAGTTGAATAATGAACATGCGGAGAATAGGCCAAACACACCTTCAAATATCTATAGCACCAGTTAGAAGCATAATGAAAAAGAGAACCTTTTCCATCACCTTTTGTGTCTGACACCTCTGAATTTTCTTCTGTTAGGATCAAAGGGGGTGACGAAAGGAATTTAGAATGACATTTGCTTTCACTTTCGTTCCAAGTATTACTTGCTTTTTCATAAAACCTTTATGAAGAGTTGGTATTAGCTGGCAACATATGTACTTTATCGGTGGTTGTTTTCTCGAGATCCCGTATCAAAGTCATTGACAGGCACTGGTAATCAGCTGCAGAAAGCTTCACATCTATAAGCACAGACGTATAAATGGAAAGCAGTCTTTCCCAACAGCACAATGGTTGAAAGACAGTTAATTGGACAATGTACATTTGGAAGCGAGAAAGATGGCACTAGGAGCTGTTCCACCTGGCGTGTCCAGACAAGTTATGTTCCAGTACTGCCTTTATGTTTTTATTACTGGATTTTAATTTTACTTGGAAGGATTTACATCCTTAATGGCAGGAATCTGGAGGTGTACTAGGTCAGTAACAGAGAATCTGCTTTCCATGTGATATAGAAGAAAAGAGGGATGGTTGGCTTTTGCTGCCCAGCTCCCCAAGGGACTGTGTTCCCTAAGTCCATGAATGGATGGAGGCAGGATGCATTGAAAGCAAGGCAGATCTTTATTTTTCTGTTGCAACAGAGTTCCCTCTACTCCTATCAAGGAGGAAAGAGACATCCAGAACCAAGAAGAAACATCTGTTTTAAGGGTTTGCATTTTGGCGTGAAGGACATCCCCTCTACAGTCAGAAATTACATCACACGTAAGGTGGGGTTGCTGTGGCTCAGACAGGCCGAGGTGTGATATTCCTGAGTTTTACATAGTTCCAGACACAGTTTACACAGAACATTAGCGTTTGATAAGACAATCAGGATGCCTGTCAGACATCCCTCAATGAAGCATCTGGGCAAACAATGACAATGGAGGTTCATAGATATAGGAAAGGAATCCCTTCAGGAAGTTCCAGATTGCTATCTGCCTACCTGTTCTCAGGTAAGGGAGATTAAGGAGGCAGAGGAAATATTGAGTCTTTAGGAGAGCGAAGATGGCTTTTGGATTGCTCTCCTTTACTATTTTAGACATGTGGTTTGTATACTTATGTATGTGTGTTTACCTTGTGCAATTCAACATTTATTCTCTATTTAAGACCTCAGAATTCCTAGAACACATGCACAGGTCCAAGGTTCAATTGCCAGCATCCCCAGGTAGGGGAGAAAAGACTGTATAAGGCAGCCTCTTATTATTATCTAGGAATGGTCTACTAGTAAAATATACCTAGCCTCCAAAGCAATTTGTCCATAGTAGCCCTACTAAATATTTAGTAAAGGTTTGGGAAATGTTGTCAAGCAATAACAAATATAGCTCCCACACTTTAATGCTGCACCAAGGTGTATGGGGGGTGTAGTACCTCTGGGTGGGGGACACATCATGCTCCTTCCAGGGTTATTTGTCCACCTTTGGTCCCCATCCTGCACTTGACTCTCAACCTGTGGCTCCTAGACGCTGTCAGCATGAGACAGTGCCCACACCTTGGAAATAGCCTCGAATGGGTGGCTAAACCAGGTGAGGGTAGCCGATAGGTCTCAAACCCTCAGTGTGTTAGAGACTCTCCCTGCATGTGAAGACAGGCTCCAGCAGATTGAGCGGACAAGACCAATAGTGGGTCCAATGGTCAAGAAGGTGGTTTCTGCACGTGCTGTAGAGGGAAGGGGCAGGTGGAGCTTGTCAAACCGGGAAAGTCGCTCATCTAGGAGAAGGAAAATTCTGATCTTAGACCTTTGCTGCTTGTGGGATACCTTCAAGAGAAGGCTCAGGAGTAAACCCTGCACAAATCCAGAGTGGAGTCCCCAAGATGGTTGGATGGCACCTTCTGGCAACTCCTACAACCAAGCATATTGCTCTGCTTTCCTTTGGACCACACCAGCGAGGCTGAGAGGGACGTCTTGTTGTCAGGGCAGCTCAGGACCTCCATGCACACTACTCAAATTTGTGACCTAGGGAGGTCACTTCATTGCGGCTAACACAGCAGTTTGACTTAGCTCTTGGAGGTGCACTCCATTCTCTCTAGACTCAAGTTGCCAACAATACTGCATCTCATTTGAATTTTGTATGTAACTGGTTACTCATTTGTCTATATGGATTATAGGGACAAGGCCCATATTATTACAAGGTGCCAACTGACCCATCTGGATGTCAGCTTGTGCAGCACATATATTTATGACATATGGACCACTGTCTGGACACTATAGTGACCTTTGAGAAGACAGTAGTTGCCCATTCCTGCAGTTTCAAACTGAAACCAGGTTAGTAGAAAAAATTTAAAGCATTGCCAGGTTTTCTATGAAAAGAACTACTTACAGAAGTTCCAGGAAAAGACAAAAAGCTGTGTAGTCATTCAAAAGATTTATATACAGAAATAAGTCAACGCATCCAAATCTTTACTTTTGAACAGCGAGTTTACACATTAATAAGTTATCTGAAACTGAGTTTTTCTCTTAACAACAAAATCCATGAAAACTGAACTGCAGTACTACAGTTTAGTTCAACACAAAATGTTACAATCAATGTACATAATTTAAAACTCTCTCACACCTCATTAGTTCCATAATCTACTCTGGTAATGTCTACACTACATTCACCAAAGCAATTCTCCTTCATTCCTCCAATGAAGAAAAAGGCAATTATTCCATTTGGTTAATAGAAAACATTCAGTGCAGCGTTTCCTACTACATCACTGGGGGAAAAGTGGGCTTTATCTCTTGAGAGCCAACAGCTGCTACTGCTCTTTATGTAAAGTGATATTATAAAACAATTCCATGTGTGGAGTTCTTTTTCTGCATGATCTTGGTTGACTCAAAGAACCAGAAGCATCACTGATGGAATAAGGGAAAATACATTCATTGGTGAGATCCTAAGAAGTCCTTACTTTCTTCCAAATGGATCAGACCATACTTTTAATCCTTTGGATAAAACAGGAGAGATAAAAAAGCATTTTAGAAGGCTGTTGTAATGTCAATAAATGCATGTATTCTCTACAACCTAGCTTCTCTGCATGAAGTTATACATGTGAGTACATTACGTATTTTGAACAACTGGACAAGGACCATGTCTGAAGAGAGTCTGAAACATGGAATGTGATCTTCTTGGTCCCACATGCATAGGACAGTATACAGATGTTATCAAGTCACTGAGAGCTCAAGGAGAATCAACAGGGTTACACACCCCATGTTTCTCCGAATGCAAGTCATCCATCAGGGCAAACAAAACTTGTTCTGTGCCAAAACCAGGCATGAATGCAGACTGAAATGAGTCACAATAATTTGCCTCATCTGAATAATCTGAACATTTTGAGCATCTTGCTCGAGAAAGGGATATTTTTGACTGAGCTGTTGCAATTGAGAACACCAGTTGGAATATTACTCATTCAAATAGATAAAGTGACTATTACCAGAATTATATGAAAGATAGAACAGTATTTTCAACAGTTCTGCTGAGATCAAAGGGAATTTCTTACAGAATTTCTTGCACAGGCATATGACTATATTAGTACAGAATAAAATGTTCTGGACCTTGTATGAAGGGGATCTGTGTATATCCATAACTCTGCTGCTCACCAAAATACTTAAAAGCTATGGTCCAATCTTTGTACAATAACCTCAGCTTGTAGCTGAAAGGTGGAACAGAGTGAAAAACACATACAGATGCTCTTCTATTTGAATCACAACATGGATACTTTGTACTGAAGCATTCATATCCAGTTGCATCTTTTTTTGTATGAAACAGGCTCACCTTTTACTTGTCTAAGTAATCATTTTAGAAACGTACTAAAGGTCATTTGAATGAATTCCTAAATTAGCTCCTTTGCATCTCAACTTCTTTGGAATTGGAATCCAGTATTAAGATATACATAATTTACATAAACACAGCTCAACTAAGCGTTTAGAGCTATACCTGTAGGCTGAACATCTTCTTGTATAACACCAGCTCGATTTATTGCTTGCTCCTTTTCTGGTAAACACAAAACATTACAGTAGGTAAGAAAGTACATTTATCCCTTAATGTGGGAAGAAAATGATGGACACCAGCCTGCTCAAAATACCCATCTACCCTAATCGCTATCTCTAAAAGAATATATGAGGCACTTTTTTGACCCACAACTGCCCTCACCCAGCTCTTCCATCCCCTTCCTCCTCATCCTGCACAAGATGAAGGGCAACTATCTACAGCGGGGAGCCTGGTCTATTGTCTAGACTCCCCACAAGTTTTAGATGTGCCTCCTCTGAAGGCATGTAATTCTGCTCCATGTTCAGGGTAACGGAATGATCCTATCGCACAGGCAGACACAGTAGAATAACTTTAAACCAATGAAGCTGGTGAGAGAGAGATAAGGGCAGAGCAGTAAGTTGTTCAAGGATGCAGCCTCCTTTATAAGTAGGTATTTTGGTCCCACAGGTATCTTTCATTACTTAAGGCAGGAGTAGGCAACCTAAGGCCCGGGGGCCGGATGCGGCCCAATCGCCTTCTCAATCTGGCCTGCGGACAGTCCGGGAATCAGTGTGTTTTTACATAGAGTAGAATGTGTCCTTTTATTTAAAATGCATCTCTGGGTTATTTGTGGGGCACAGGAATTCGTTCTTCTTCTTTTTTTCAAAATATAGTCCGGCCTACCACATGGTCTGAGGGACAGTGGACCGGCCCACGGCTGAAAAAGGTTGCTGACCCCTGACTTAAGGTATTTATTGCAGCACACAGCTTGAGAATTACTGGTTTAAGCACCAACAAATACTGGATTTTTACCAAGGTGGGCAGGAAACATTAGCACCATAGTAAATGAAAATGCTGGGGAAATATTTTTAAATCAGATAACAAAGTAAAAGGAAAAAATGGGCCAAAGAGCCTGAACTGTGTACTATTACTGCTTTGCTTATCTTCAACAATTAATCATCTGACTCTGTTTGTAACAGAAAGGAATATTCACAGTAGGAAGTGTAACATTCTTGTGTCAGATGCAATGCTAAAGGTTCTGAACCACTGTCGGAAATACAACCTCGTATTACTGTACTTATTATTCCTTCTCACCATCTTTCCAATGTATGCCTTCTTTCTTTAGGGAGCAAGGAAGAGAGAGTCCAGAAGGCATTATATGTACCATTCATTTCTACAGTGTAAGTATACTGAGGCTCTGGATTCAGACTGCATTAGTCAATGCTCCCTCTGCTGGTTTTATAATAGAAAGCACTGTCTGTGCAATTTGCCCATTTTATTTTTAATAAAATTACTTCCAAAGCTGAACTACACATTTTAATCATCTTGGATTAGAATTAGAGAACAGAAACACACAAAGCATATTTGGTTCCTAGCTGTCAACATTTCCCTTTTTTAAAGGGAAATTCCCGTATTCCGAATAGGAAAGGGAAAAGTTGAAGAAAAGGGAAGAGTTGACAGCTATGATTGGGTTTGTGATGTCGAAGGATTGAAATACCTTCTCCCTACTCATATATAGAGAGCATGGTATGATGAGTATGGGTACCAGTCATAAATGCTTCTGCTCCTGTTTGTGTATTTCATATATGGGAATCAGGTCCTGAATGCAACAGTCCCAGCTGCACAAACCAAAACGGTCCTAGTAGAACATCACCCCAAGGAAATACTGTGTGCAATGTGCCTGCATGCCAGCCAGGGAGACGAATGTCCCTCTCCTTCAAAAGGAATAACAATATTAATTTGAGTTACAGGTAGGTAGCCGTGTTGGTCTGCCGTAGTTGAAATTTATTTTTTTTTAAAAAATCCTTCCAGTAGCACCGTAGACACCAACTAAGTTTGTTATTGGTATGAGCTTTCGTGTGCATGCACACAAAAGCTCATACCAATAACGAACTTAGTTGGTCTCTAAGGTGCTACTGGAAGGAATTTTTTTAAAAAAATTGTTTCAACATTAATTTGGATTGCTCCCACATCCCCATCAATTATTGGGAGGAACACGCCCACTTTCATGCACAAGGAATGCACAAGCATTGCACTACATTTGCACATGCTGGAAAGGGGGTGACCACAATTCTCCCTTGAGATGCATGCACATTTATTTTTTAACGACTACACAGTTAAAGTGACGAGTTTCATATGTGAATGAGCCTTTAGGGTATTAGCACCTCGGAGAGAGCTTTCCTTTTTCCTCAAAGGCAAAGCTTCTTTGGTCCACTAAACTGAGATTTGAAGTTGTATCCTAGGTGATGGCGAACATGACACTTGAACCACCAACGTCCTATACAGGGAGATGCTCTTTTCATTATAAATTTACTCAGAAGTAGATTTATGACATAATTCATCTAGGATACTGGGGTTTGGTTTTTTTACGATCAAGCAATTATAGTACGAACTAGAGACGCCCATTCACTGTGTTCAGAAGCATAAGGCTTTTTTTTTAAATAAAAGGAAGAAAAAGCCTTATAGGCTGTTTTGGGGACCATTTCACTTGCCTCCCCCAAAGAAACCAATTTACACTGTAACTCAGGGTAGCCAAATACCCCACCCCAAAAAATCACAAATCCATGTGTGGAATGTTCTATCCCCTACAACACCCAGGGTGTGGGTGTGTTTCCATTGAAATAATAGAAATAATAATGTTTTCCATTGATTGAAACAAAAAGGTAACAAAGTCAGAGAGCTGTGTTTGACTAAATCGTAGGCGCAGTAGATTCACTGAAATAATAATAATAGCAATTGTTGTTGTTATTACAACCATACTTTATTATTATTATATATTGATGGGGGAAATCTACAATCCTACTTTTTATTATTATTATTATTATTATTATTATTATTATTACTTTGAGGGGAAAATCTACAACCCTAATTTATTATTATTATTATTGTTGTTGTTGTTGTTGTTTACTGGGGGGAATATACAACCCTAATTAAAAAACCTACAAAAGGATAAATACGTTTTTTGGGGTTTTTTAAGGATCAAATCGTAGGCGGAGTAGATTCACTGAAATAATAATAATAATAGCAATTATTATTATTGATGTTGTTATTATTACAACCCTACTTTTTAATATTATTATTATTATATTGAGGAGGAAAATCTACAACCCTACTTTATTATTATTATTATTATTTACTGAGGGGGGAAATCTACAACCCTACTTTAAAAACCTACAAAAGCAGAAATGCTTTTTTTTTTTTTAAGGATCAAACATCCCCTCAGCTTTCTGAGCACCTGGCTAGGCTTTTCTATAATAAGAATTCTTGTCAGCAGGCGCCTTTAAAAAAAAAAAAAAACAGCGAAGGCGCCTGCCTGATTTCTCAAGAGGCAGGGAGTTCCGAAGTTCCCTTCACATCGCCCAAAGCGGCTCGTCATCTAACTCTCCCTTGCACCCGGGTCCGTGACAAGACCCTCGATGTCGGGTTCACACGTGCAGCTCCGCTCCCGCGTCAGGTAAAGCGGAGAGCGAGAGGGGGATGCAGGAAAAGGCCGCTCTGAGGAAAAGCTGCGCGCGCAGCCAACGGTCGCTTGCTATTCCTTCGAGATTCGAACAGGGGCGGGGCTGCGGCCAAGCGGCAGAAGGCCGCGCGTGCGCAGAACGCGCTCCCCGCTCGACTTACTGTACTCCTCGAGGTGCATCAGGGGCCGAAAGTAGATGGGGTAGAAGGCCGCCCCCAGCACGGCCACGAAGCCGCCGAAGATCAGCAGCGTGCGCGGCACGCGAGCCATGAGGAGACGCCGCGGAGCCCAGCACGACCTCTCCCTCCTTCCGCCCGTAGAGGAAACTCCTTCCGCTTCCGGGAGACGAAGAGCGGAGAGCGGACTCACTCGGAACAGAGGAGCAACGAGTTCCCTTGACTGCCCCCTGGCGGCGGAGGACGGAAACAACCCAAGTCCGCGAAACGACGTGCAGACTCGCCGCCTAAAGTTGCCTTAGCTTGCAGGTCTCTCGTGCAACGATACTAATCACAGGGAACCTTGGAAATTCTTCTTTTTGGGGGGAGATTTCCAGAGGAGGAAATAAAAAAAATTCGTGGCATCTTCCCAAATGCATGTTAGTAAATTTGCCCTGGATGAATCCCAAGATTGCCAGAAGAAATATCAACAACCTCAGATATGTAGATGACACAACCTTGATGGCTGAAAGTGAGGAGGAATTAAAGAACCTTTTAATGAGGGTGAAAAAGGAGAGTGCAAAATATGGTCTGAAGCTGAACATCAAAAAAACTAAGATCATGGCCACTGGTCCCATCACCTCCTGGCAAATAGAAGGGGAAGAAACGGAGGAAGTGAGAGATTTTACTTTCTTGGGCTCCACGATCACTGCTGATGGTGACAGCAGTCACGAAATTAAAAGACGCCTGCTTCTTGGGAGAAAAGCAATGACAAACCTAGACAGCATCTTAAAAAGCAGAGACATCACCTTGCCAACAAAGGTCCGTATAGTAAAAGCTATGGTTTTCCCAGTAGTGATGTATGGAAGTGAGAGCTGGACCATAAAGAAGGCTGATCGCCAAAGAATTGATGGTGCTGGAGGAGACTCTTGAGAGTCCCATGGACTGCACAAAGATCAAACCTCTCCATTCTGAAGGAAATCAGCCCTGAGTGCTCACTGGAAGGACAGATCCTGAAGCTGAGGCTCCAATACTTTGGCCACCTCATGAGAAGAGAAGACTCCCTGGAAAAGACCCTGATGTTGGGAAAGATGGAGGGCACAAGGAGAAGGGGACGACAGAGGACGAGATGGTTGGATAGTGTTCTTGAAGCTACCAACATGAGTTTGACCAAACTGCGGGAGGCAATGGAAGACAGGAGTGCCTGGCGTGCTCTGGTCCATGGGGCCACGAAGAGTCGGACACGACTAAACGACGAAACAACAACAAAATTTGCCCTGGGCACACATTTCTGAAGGGCACATCCAGCCAGGCTCCCCACGATCGGTGCATAAGTGTCCCTTGTGCTGACTCTCCTCGCTCTTTCAGCCTTTCGTAGAAAGCGACGGCAACAGGTTGGAGCAGCTCTTCGCCCTGAGCAAATAAATGCTTGCTGCTCCCCTGGGAGGGGAAGCGGCTGTCCCGCGTTGAATGGCCTCTGGCCTGATCCTGCAGTCTCTTCTGTCCAAACAAACCAGAATGAACACTCAGTTTTTCCCATCACCTTGATAAATAAATCCATGCAGGAGAAGCCCTTCACTAACTTGCTAAAACTAATGGCACTGTCTTCAACTGAAAATATTTCTGAAACAGCAAGCACGTATTTGTTTGCTTTGGGGGGGGGGGAGCACTCCCTGAGCCAAGAAAAGGGGGAAAGGAAAGACTAGTAGGTTTCCTCTGGGGCATAGCTGTCAACTTTCAGATTTGAAAACAAGGGATCAGCAGCCTCACCTGTCCCAGGGACAGTCTACGGCATATCTAACTGAAATTGTTCTAGGTGTTATGTACTGAGTTGAATAAGATCCAAAATGCAGCAGTCTGATTGGTCCTAGAACAATAGGATCCAGAATGCAGCAGTCTGATTGGTCCACAGGAGCCACCCAATCCAGCTTCAGGTGGAAGTGAATCCGCGACCTGATTGGCTTACAGGAGAATCCCGGAATTAGCCAATCACGTGGGGCCCATTGTGTAAATAATGTACATAAAGCAGACATTCTGGGGAAACTTCCATTCCTCCTCAACACTATGAGCTGAATAAAGAGCATGAAATCTACTCTCGACTCTGAATATATTTCAGAACCCCAGCGTATGTCAGAACACATTATCTCCCCCATTTTCAATTTTACTATATTAAATTGGGGGGGGCGGGGATAATGGCAATGCACATTCTAGGGTGCACAATTGCAACACTGGTTGTTTTTGCAGCATGGGGGGGGGTGGCTGCTTGAAGGGCATGGGGCCAAGAATCTGAGAAGATTGCTTCTGCGGTGGAATATTTCCTGCTCAACCGGTTCAAGCCTCTCATAAAGTCAGCTGAGGCTGGATAAAATCTTTTCAAAGGGAAAATCTTTTCTCTTTTACTACTTCTCTTCACATGAAAGGGAACCATTCTTTTTTTAAAAAAAGCATATTCTACTTTAGCTTGACACTTGTCTTCAGTTTGATGACAAATCTAAACAGAAGAAAATCCAGAAAATACTACCAAATATGGCACATTATTCTTTACACACTTACAGCTAAATCAGACTTGTCGTAGTGCTTGATGTGAACAAGATCTCCTGCTTTTAATTAAAAAGAAAAAAACCACAACAGAGGGTTCACTAAGGAGCCCATGGGGGGCTTTAACCTCTCTGCGCTGTTTCCCTTAATTAAATGCTGCTATTTGCCTTGCAGGGGAAAACATATACAGTAGTTGCTCATACGGTTTCTATCTCTCTGTGTGATGATTTAAACAGGGAAAACATTGCAGGGAAAGGTTACAAACACCTCCCTGTAGTCCTGCTGCAAATTCTCTTTCCTCCTCTTTACAAGCCAGTGTGGTGTAGTGGTTAAGAGCAGTAGTTTCGTAATCTGGGGAACCAGGTTCGCGTCTTCGCTCCTCCACATGCAGCTGCTGGGTGACCTTGGGCCAGTCACACTTCTCTGAAATCTCTCAGCCCCACTCACCTCACAGAGTGTTGTGTTTGTTGTGGGAGAGGAGGGGAAAGGAGGATGTTAGTCACTTTGAGACTCCGTAGGGTAGTGATAAAGCGGGATATCAAATCCAAACTCCAAATCTCTTGCATTGTGTCTACGTAAAGGTAAAGTGACCATTAGGTCCAATCGTGACCAACTCTGGGGTTGCAGCGCTCATCTCGCTTTACTGGCCGAGGGAGCTAGCGTATAGCTTCCGGGTCATGTGGCCAGCATGACTAAGCCGCTTCTGGCGAACCAGAGCAGCGCACGGAAATGCCGTTTACCTTCCCGCCGGTGCGGTACCTATTTATCTACTTGCACTTTGATGTGCTTTTGAACTGCTAGATTGACAGGAGCAGGGACTGAGCAACGGGAGCTCACCCCGTCGCGGGGATTCGAACCACCAACCTTCTGATCTGCAAGTCCTAGGCTCTGTGGTTTAACCCACAGCGTCACCCGCTTCCCATTGTGTCTAACCTGGCCCTTAATAGAAGGACTGACGTTCTGTTGTTTTCTTATAGAACAATACTCATAGAATCACAGAATTGTAGAGTTGGGAGAGCTTTGATCTGGATCTTGAAGAGATCTGTAGATGTGAGTGATGTTTAAAATGTGGTTTGCATCTGGGGGGGGGGGAAATAGTTCACAACACACTGCATAACTGTCTCCCTGTTTTAAGTTGTGTTCCCATTCCGGATTTTCTCAAAGACAAGCTTGCACCTCACTAAAGAGTTGCAGGCTGTGATTGGAGTCATTAGCAAACAAAACTTCTCCTTAGGCTAGGAAACATATCCATGCAGGTTAACCCTGGAAACAAATAGATTGTGAAGCCTAAGGGCTCTTATACAACATCCTTAACATGCTCTGGCTGGGGTCCTGCTGCAGCGTCATGATGTGCACATATATCCCAACTCTTAATAAGGTGCCTTATTTTCAAGCAGGGACGCGGGTGGCACTGCAGGTTAAACCACAGAGCCTCGGACTTGTCGAACAGAAGGTCGGCGGTTCAAATCCCCGCGACGGGGTGAGCTCCCATTGCTCGGTCCCTGCTCCTGCCAACCTAGCAGTCTGAAAGCACGTCAAAGTGCAAGTAGATAAATAGGTGGGAAGGTAAACGGCGTTTCCGTGCGCTGCTCTGGTTCGCCAGAAGCGGCTTAGTCATGCTGGCCACATGACCCGGAAGCTGTACGCCGGCTCCCTCGGCCAATAAAGTGAGATGAGCGCCGCAACCCCAGAGTCAGTCACCACTGGACCTAACGGTCAGGGGTCCCTTTACCTTGACCTTTAACATTCTTGCTGGTGAATGTGCCAGATCTTGAACCTGGGACTTTTCTGCACCCCAAAGAATGTTGTTTTAGCCCTGAAAAGCCACAACCCTCCTTTGTAGCTCTTTGGGGTTCAGCATCTTCACCTGGAGCTCTCAAAAACTTAAAATCTCTGAATGGCTGGCAGAGGCATCTTTAACCTTCCGCACACCATCCTTTGCACATTCACTGGAGGAGAGGCAGCCCAGCGGGACTTAAGGATGCTCAGAATTCTATTAAACGTCTCCGTGCTTTTCTTTGCTTAGATGAATAAAGAAAAGGGCTGCCATCGGGCTGCCATTTGCTTTAGAAGGGTCTCCGGGGGTCATCCAGCCCAACCCGCTGCCATGCCAGAACTGGACAGACTATAATTCGCGACAGTAATGCAGGAGGCACAGAAAAACCTTTATCGATTTGTCATAGGGGTGCTTTAATGTCTCAGGGAGTTCTTTGGAGGGAGGAACCCAACCCATTAGTACAATGGAAGGAAAGGTGGTGGCTACCTACTAGGGGTGCCAATTTGAATTAAAATATTGGGGGGGGGGCAGGTAAGTCCCGCCCCCCATAATCGATCACAAGACACACTATCTGAATGGCACTCGGAGGGGGGACAGCCCCCTCGAATATTTTATTGGGGGGGCCGAAGGGACCTCAGCCCGAAAGAGTTTGCTCCAAGCCACCTGCCATGTCTGATCTAGTTGAGAGTCCTGCATTGCGCGGGGTTGGACTAGATGACCCTCGGGTCCCCTGCCCAGTTAGCAACGATTCTCAGTCGCTGGTTGCAGCCGCCCGGGAAAAAAATCCTCTGCACACGCTCAGAGGCACCATCGGGGTTTTCCTTTCGCCGCCGTGGCGCGCCCAGCCCAAGGCGCACCTGCCGCGCCCGGCTGGCTCCTCCTGCTTCCTCCTCCAAGCCGGAGGCATTGCCCGCCAGGAAGCCGGATCCGTGTCGCAAACACAGCCACACACCCATCGCGCTCCGGGACAGGGTTTCCCGGCTGGGCCAAGTCACCCCCGAGGAAGAGAGGGAGGAGAAGCGGGCGCAACCATGGAGAGCGCCGTGGGGCGCACCGTGCGCCTCCGGGCAGCTGCCGGCTGCCTCTGCCTCCTCTGGCTGCTCCTGGTGAGTTGGTTCCTCGGGTCTCCTGCCACGTGGGGTGGGCAGGTGGGTGCTCGCCTGGGAGAGAGGGGGGCAAAGTTATTGTGCCATCGGTTTGGGGTGCCTGGCGCCCACTTCATTTCTTCTTCCTCTTCTTCTTCCTCTTTTTCTTCTTCTGCTTCTATATAATTTTTATTACATTTTCTGTATTACAATCTAAAATACTCATTTTACATCCTTAAGATGTCCATGACTTCCTTTCGTCTCTTTCCATGGTTCATTTTACATATCAGTGCCTTTTTTCTGGGGGGGGACGGACGCATACCCCTAAATATTTTGTGAATCTAAGTTTGGCTTCATTGAGGGGCAGTACAGTGGTACCTCAGGTTACATACGCTTCAGGTTACAGATGCTTCAGGTTACAGACTCCGCTAACCCAGAAATAGTGCTTCAGGTTAAGAACTTTGCTTCAGGATGAGAACAGAAATTGTGCTCCAGCTGTGCTGCGGCAGCGGGAGGCCCGATTAGCTAAAGTGGTGCTTCAGGTTAAGAACAGTTTCAGGTTAAGAACGGACCTCCAGAATGAATTAAGTACTTAACCCGAGGTACCACTGTATTTCAATATGAGTAGGAAAATACCATTTAGTATTCCATTATTGCACCCATCAAAACTTATTTACACTGTTGAATTTATCTTAATGCTGCCAGCGGTTTCAGCTGTACACAATTATTCCCCATATATTCAATAAGCACTTTCCAATCTTCTCTAAGTGTACGTTCTTCTTGTTCTCTTATTCTATATGTTAAGTCTGCAAGTTGTGCATATTTCTTCTTCTTCTTCTTCTTCCCCTCCTTTTTGAAACCAAGATTTCATTGTACATTTCCCCCACCCAAAGCCATAGCACAGCAATATAGTTGTTGTTGTTGTTGTTGTTTAGTTGTGTCCAACTCTTTGTGCCCCCATGGACCAGAGCACGTCAGGCACTCTTGTCTTCCACTGCCTCCCACAGTTTGGTCAAACTCATGTTGGTAGCTTCAAGAACACTGCCCAACCATCTCGTCCTCTGTCATCCCCTTCTCCTTGTGCCCTCCATCTTTCCCAACATCAGGGTCTTTTCCAGGGAGTCTTCTCCTGAGGTGGCCAAAGTATTGGAGTCTCAGCTTCAGGATCTGTCCTTCCAGTGAGCACTCAGGGCTGATTTCCTTCAGAATGGATAGGTTTGATCTTCTTGCAGTCCATGGGACTCTCAAGAGTCTCCTCCAGCACCATAATTCACGTGTGTATTTCTTGCAGGAATTTCCCCTGCCACAATCCCGCAGAACAGAATGTTCTTAATAACCTTCTTAAGTTTTACAAGAGAGACAGAAACATAGCAAGATAAGTGTGGGTTTGGAAAAAAAAAATCTTGCTTATTTCACATTCCACACCTCCTTGCCATAACCCCAGTTTGCCTGGATTCACAGCTATGGAACGAAAGAAAACTCCCAAATTCTACAGCTCTAGGATTCTATATCATGTTGAGATGCCTACCTTGTAGGGCGTTGGGCTCGATGATGACCCTTGGCATCCCTTCTGACTCTTCCGTTCTCTGGCTTGCTTGCCCTTCATGGAGAGATAAAAGAGCCCATCTCAGAGGGTTGTCAGCTATGGAGCAACCATAAATCGGTAGCCTTTGCAGTGCCACAAGTCTCTTCTGTTGCTCTGTTGCTGCCGCAAGCTCACAGCTACTCCTCTGGGATAATCTGGCACGGAGTGGAAAAGATCATAGAATGAGTCATAGAATCGTAAAGTCGGAAGGGAACCCAAATTCAGCCTCCTGCAATTCAGGGAGTTGGCATCACAAGGATTCATGAGGGAAGAGGGAGTTTCAAGGAGTGCAACTCTTCTCTTTTCATAATTTCTTATCCTACCTAATAACTTATAATTCTCTGTTTGCAGCTTACCATTACTGTGGTATCAGTTGCTATCTTCTTTCTTCTTCTAACTTGCTTCTGTGCCTTTTACAGATAGAAAATTTTCTTGACATGATGCTTATGGTGAAGAGCTTCACCTGTTACATTTCTGCCTGCTGGGCTGCTGTTAAGGAAGGGCATCAGTGGTGAAAGTTGGCAGCCATAGATATTTCCTTCTCCTTTACACCTTCTTACTACAGTGGAACCTCGGGTTACAGACTCTTCAGGTTACAGACTCCGCTAACCCAGAAATAGTACCTTGGGTTAAGAACTTTGCTTCAGGATGAGAACAGAAATCGCGCGGCGGCAGTGGGAGGCCCCATTAGCTAAAGTGGTCCCTCAGGTTAAGAACAGTTTCAGGTTAAGAACGGACCTCCAGAACGAATTAAGTTCTTAACCCGAGGTACCACTGTACCAGAAATATTTATGTTTTCCTCTTGTAGTGTTTATTCCTGGCATCAGTCTTTATGCAATCCTTCCTTTCCCCTTCCAAATCAACTGCTACTTTTGAGCTTTTTGGCCATTGTGATAACAGAGCAGTGGACTATCATCATCATCATCATCATCATCATCATCATCACCATTTTATTTGTATGCCGCCTTTCCATAGTTAAAACAATGCTCAAGGCGGCTTACAACATGACAAGATTTACATCAATACCAACATAACAAAAGTCATATGCAATAAATAAAACACATCAAAAAGTACACAACCAAATGGAAAACAATTTCCACATAAATCATAAAATCTAAAACTAAGAATACAGCATTAATATCAATCAGTACGTTTCCGAGCACAATTCAAAGTGTTGGTGCTGACCTTTAAAGCCCTAAACGGCCTCGGTCCTGTATACCAGAAGGAGCATCTCCACCCCCATTTTTCTACCCGGACACTGAGGTCCAGCACCGAGGGCCTTCTGGCGTTTCCCTCACTGCGAGAAGTGAGGTTACAGGGAAACAGATAGAGGGCCTTCTTGGTAGTGGCGCCCACCCTGTGGCACGCCCTCCCACCAGATGTCAAAGAGAACAACAACTACCAGACTTTTAGAGGACATCTGAAGGCAGCCCAGTTTAGGGAAGCTTTTAACTATTTTATTTTAATATTTTGTTAGAAGCCGCCCAGAGTGGCTGGGGGAGCCCAGCCATATGGGCGGGGTATAAATAAATTATTATTATTATTATTATTATTATTATTATTATTATTATTACAGTGGTGCCTCGCAAGACGAAATTAATCCGTTCCGCGAGTCTCTTTGTCTTGCGGTTTTTTCGTCTTGCGAAGCACGGCTATTAGCGGCTTAGCGGCTATTAGCGGCTATTAGCGGCTTAGCGGCTATTAACGGCTTAGCGGCTTTAAGAAAAAGGAAACAAACTCGCAAGAACTCGCAAGACGTTTCGTCTTGCGAAGCAAGCCCAGAGGGAAATTCGTCTTGCGGAACGACTCAAAAAACGCAAAACCCTTTCGTCTAGCGAGTTTTTCGTCTTGCGAGGCATTCGTCTTGCGGGGCACCACTGTATTCACAAGTTAAAATGACATAGATAAAAATAAATAAAAGCAATTTAAAAAACAAAAACAAAAGCAGAGCCCTCTCTGCTCAGCAGCAGCAGCAGCAACAGCAGAGGCAACAGTCCTTTATGGAGCCTGTCAGGTGGAGAGAAGCAGGGCATCGTCCTTCAGGCTCCCAGCAGGCCAGGACTAGGTGGGTCTTGGGCAGAATCCAGCAGTAATTTTCTTATATTCTTAATTAAGAGAGTTAATAGACATTTTCTTGTCCGTTCAGTGGGAGTGGGGTTGAAGAATAATAACTTAAAACCATGTTCGTTTAATCTCAGATGAATTCAGCCGCTCACATATTCTGTTGAAATTACCACCAATGTCTTGAATATTATGCACAGCCTATCCCAAATACAGTCATGCCTCTTGTTACGTTTGCTTCAGGTTAAATCTTTTCAGGTTGCATCCCGCGGCGACCTGGAAGGGTTACTTCCGGGTTTCGCTGCTCACGCATGCGCAGGCACTCAAAATGACGTCACGCGCATGCACAAAAGCTGCAAATCGCGACCCATGCAGACACACAGATGCGGGTTGCGTTCTGCTCATGTTGCGAACAGGGCTCCGGAACGGATCCCGTTTGTAACCAACCATTTGGTTTACAACTCTGCAAAAATTCTAAGTGAGGAACATCTTAATGAAGATAATTAAAGCTCACTTTTGCATCAGTTGCCCTTAAATATTAAATAAGTTAATATATGGCATCTTTTTTTCCCCATAGAAAAGTGTGCCATCTTTTGGAAAGGACACATTGCTGACAACACCTGTCACTCCTCAGCCCAAACCTGATGTATTTTACGAAGATTTCATTCATCTGAATGTTTTGAACAAAAGAGTTCTCAACGATACTGAAATCTCCGTTGACTATTTATGCTCCGAACCTTGCACTGTTACTATAGAAGCCATAGCGTCACTGGAATTCAGAACTGGTGTGTCTGTCTATAAGGAGAGGTGGGAGAACGACCAGCATCTCCGCACCACTAGAAACAGAACCGTGAACTTGAAATTTCCAAACAGCATGGTTTTCAGAGATGACTATTTCATCAGACGCTCTGTCATCGTACACACAGTGATACTATATGCATGGATTATTCACAAGCAAAGAGGGATCCCCCATGGTAAACGAAAGGAAGGCTACTTGCAGGCAATTGCAAAGGACTACACTTTGCTGGAATCTGTTCCGCCTTTCGAACGTCCCTACAAAGAACACCGAGTGTGTATGAAATGGAGCTTGGAATATACCTGGAGGCTGCAGGCAAACATAATGCGTTGGTGTCCCCATGAGAATGGTAAGTATTTTTCTTATGTGCAGTGGAACAGCACATTGTGTGAATGAATTTGCAACTAGCAAGGTGCTCAGCTCACCTGGTGGCGCATCTTTGAAATCTGCAGCCTGGACTCGATTGACATTTTGCGTGTGGATTTTTCAAGCGTATGAAAAGAGGGCTTAGGGAGTAGAATTGTCTACTGGCTGATGGTGTTGCAAAGGTCTTTAACTGAGCATTTTGAGAGCCCTTTTCTTACTGCTTTTCTTAGAGGGATGGGACATCTGAAAGCCTCTGAGTTGAAAGATGACAGATTGCCCTAACAGAGTACAGTCGTACCTTGGTTTTTGAACGGCTTAGTTGCCGAGCATTTTGGCTCTCAAATGACTGAAAACCGAAGTGATTGTTCCAGTTTTCAAACGTTCTTTTGGAAGCCGAACATCCAGCGGTGCTTCTGAAGCTTCTGATTGGCTGCAGGAGCTTCCTGCAGCCAATCAGAAGCTGCACCTTGGAAGCTGAACGTTTTGGAAGTTGAACAGATTTCCGGAATCGATTCTGTTTGACTTCCAAGGTATGTCTGTATCTGATCTTCCTCCTTCTCAGTTTTCTGAAGGTATCGCTCCTGCCCACATGAAATGATTAAAGCTGAGAGCATGTACGTGAATAAACTCCCACTTGCAATATCATAGAGATTGTACATTAGTCAATGGGCCATTTCAGATTTATTGGCAAACCAAGTGATGTAAATGATCCTGCATAAGTTCCCTCTCCTCTCCTTCTTCATGTCTGCAAGGAGAAGATTGGAAGCTTTCATTTGCAATTTTAAACAAACCACTGTTCTCTGTTAACATCCAGACTCAAGGAACTGTGGGTTATTTAGATGATTGTTTGTTTGAACAAGCTAGGATCAGACCTTGGTTTCAGATCCTGACTTGTTTTGAAACTGCAGCCAGAATTAAAAGGAACTTCATCCTGGCTCTGTAAGAGGGATATGAAAGCAGCCGTGTCATTTCTCCACACTAGAAAGCACAGGTTCAAGAGTTTTCCTGCTTCCAAGAGGTTTTTTGCTTGTCTTGCCGCTTTCCCAGGAAAACCCACTGTTTCCCGCTGAATCGGAACAAATGCTGGGGAAAACCAATTGACGATTGTTCTGATTCAGCCGTGAACAGGGGGGCTTTCATAGGAGAAAGTGGCAGGACAAGAGGAAGCGCAAACAAACCCTGGTGTGCAAACCGCAGAACGATATCTCGTGCATCTCTACTTGTAAACACTACCAAGAACAAAAAGTCACATTGGAACCTAGATCCTGTAGATAATGCGACTGGAATGGTGCATAAAGCTCACCTGCAGTGAAGTTCCAAGGTGAACTCATGGTGCCAAACCTATTAAACTGCTTGCCATGCGTGATCTCATTAGCAAAGATTTATGAACAATGTAGAATTATATAATCGTAATGCAATGTGGGATTATCTGATGTGGCTTTTCCCTGCCCAGTGCTGTGCCATGCAACAATTTAGTACAATTATACTGTTTTGTAGGTAGCAAAGAAGGCTTACAAAGGACCATCCACATCATTCTACCAGTGCAATTTTCTGAATCAGTTGGCATTGCTGCTTTGCGATGGTCCAGCCATTGTTGCCCTCATCCTGAGCACTTCATTGCCAGAACAGTTGTTTTAATAAGGTCCAGCTACTGGCGTATTAGGACACGGGTGGCGCTGTGGGTTAAACCACAGAGCCTAGGACTTGCCGATCGGAAGGTCGGCAGTTAGAATCCTCACGACGGGGTGAGCTCCTGTTGCTCGGTCCCTGCTCCTGCCAACCTAGCAGTTCGAAAGCACATCAAAGTGGAAGTAGATAAATAGGTACCGCTCTGGCGGGAAGGTAAACGGCGTTTCCGTGCGCTGCTCTGGTTCGCCGGAAGTGGCTTAGTCATGCTGGCCGCATGACCCAGATAAACTGTCTGCGGACAAACGTTGGCTCCCTCGGCCTGTAAAGCGAGATGAGCGCCATAACCCCAGAGTCGTTCACAACTGGACTTAACTGTCAGGTGTCCTTTACCTTTTTTACTGGTGTATTATTTGGGAAATCATCTGAGACACTGAACTTGGTGGAACTTAATTCTGAGCAAACATGCATAGGGCGAAGGCAAGCTGCTGTTCATTTTTGTCCCAGTTTGTTATCTCAAAGTACGCAGCACACGCAATTGCCACAGTCTTAAATAGCAGCCAGAAATCTCACGCACTACCTGCCAAATAATCTTTTCCAATATTGTAACTTATTATAAACTAGGGAGATGTTAAGATAGTCTCACCCTAACCTCCGTTATTTACAAAGCAGTTCAATTATAACCTCTGTCCCGTGTTGCAAAGTTAAGTGTTCAGCTATGCACTGGCATAGAAATAGGAGTTGGTCCCTGCTCCTGCCAACCTAGCAGTTCGAAAGCACGTCAAAGTGCAAGTAGATAAATAGGTACCACTCTGGCGGGAAGGTATACGGCCTTTCCGTGCGCTGCTCTGGTTCGCCAGAAGCGGCTTAGTCATGCTGGCCACATGACCCGGAAGCTGTACGCTGGCTCCCTCGGCCAATAAAGCAAGATGAGTTGGTCACAACTGGACCTAATGGTCAGGGGTCCCTTTACATTCATGACAATAGGGCATATAGGCTTCCCCAACCTGGTGCCCTCCCGATCTTTTCGACTACAACTCCCAGCTATTTGCAGTTCCTGGCACATTAAGAATGATTGCATTTTGCAGATGTCGTTGAGATCCTGAGTTTTCCATACGCCTCCAGTGGAGAGATGACGGGAATTGTGAAGAAGTTTCAGAAATTTGAGAACAGAGAACTTGAAATAATCAGAAAGCGCCAGAACGGTTACCCAAAGTAAGAAAATTAAAAATGTCCTAAAAAATAACTGCCTTTGCTCTTTTAAAGCTTTCATTCTTTTCCTTCCAGCTGTCTCCCTCTTCTGGCTGCCTTTCTGTTTGTCGGAATCCTATTTTGTCGCAGAAAATGTCATAAATTATATGGATGCTGTGGGTTTGTTTATGCAGTTCCCCTCCCCTGAGGAAACTTCAGTCGGTTCCTTCCAGGTTTTGTACATTACGTTCCTGATACTACCTCCTGGTGGAGCTTGTGAGACACATGGGTGTGTAGTTATAGATATTCAACTGATAGAAAGCTTTTAATTTCTTTTAATCATTTATTAGATTTTTACCTCAGATCTTCCTCCAAAGGACCCCAGACTGCCAAACATATCAACAGTAGTACTATCTTAATACTGTACTTGAGGGTGCATCATGTGAAAGTTTCTTCTTCTTTTCAAATTTATTTATTTGATTTATCCATATAAAAATACACTCACACCACAACGTATTATATAAAAACACAATTCCCACAAATCCCCTGGACTTCCCTCCTCCCCTTATTGTTAAACCAGGCTTCCTCAACCTCGGCCCTCCAGATGTTTTTGGCCTACAGCTTCCATGATCCCTAGGTGACCAGTGGTCAGGGAAGATGGGAATTGTAGTCTCAAAACATCTGGAGGGCCGAGGTTGAGGAAGCCTGTGTAGGAAAAGATTCCTACTGCATCTTTTGTAATAATCCAAAATTTTCATATCTCCATTACATCCATAGTTCTCATTGCACTACAAGGGTTATTCCAATCCCACTAACGAATTTAACTGTTTACAATGGTTTTTAAGATAAGTTATGAATTTCCCCCATTCCTTATTAAAGTTCTGGTCTTCCTGATTTCTGATTCTTCCAGTCATTTTTGCCATAGCCCATAAACTTGATTTGCCATTCTTCTCTCATAGGGACTTTGTCTTCTTTCCATCTCTGGGCTAATAACATCTGCACAGCCGTGGTCACATATATAAACAATATTTTCTGTTCCCTTCAGATTTCAGCACTTAAAATTCCTAAAAGAAAAGCTTCTGGCTTTTTTGTAAAGGTTATTTTAAACATTTTTTTCAATTCATTATATATCGTTTCCCAGAATGTTTTTGTTCTCTTACATGTCCACCACATATGATAATAGGCGCCTTCTTTTTCCTTACATTTCCAACAGATATTTGTACCTGCCTTATACATTTTTTGCTAACTTACTGGGAGTTAAGTACCAACGGTGCATCATTTTCATATAATCTTCTTTCAATGTGCAACATGCTGTACATTTCAAACCCTCTTCCCATAACTTCTCCCATGATGAAAGCTGTATATTGTACCCAAAATCTTTCTCCCGCATGTGAAAGTTTTAGTGTGAGGCTAAATATTGGCCCGAAAGTGTAATTCATAAGAATAAATGGCCTTGCTGAACGACCAGACCAAAGATTCATCCACCCCAGCATTCTGCTTCCAAGAGTGGTCAGCCAGATACCTCTGGCAAGCTCACAAAAAGGATGCAAAGATAGCCAGTGATAGCCAATCGTCAGTGTTAAATGCTGATGCTATTGGCAGTTGCTATTGATGCAGGTAGGGAATTTTGAGGGTAGTCCAACACATTAAGCAAACACTTAAAAAAACACAACCAACTACCATAGCTATCAAATTCTGTATTCTGAAACGTACCGGATATTTACACTACTGTAGCTTTTTGTGTATGTTCTTTTCTTCCTGCAATCTCTACAAGCTGCACCTTTATTTGCCTTGCGACACATTTGCAGGACTTGCTAAGTCTCATGGACCGATGACGATGCCGGACTCTGAAAAGCAATTGCCTCTTAGAAAGGCATCGCTGAGCGGCAAAGGATGTTGAAACGCACTTCTTCCTCATTGGACCACAGTGATAAATCTGCCCACTTTGAGATTTACTCCATCCCCAATCGCCTCCCGACAAAAGGAGAGAGAAACAGTCAGTTTGGCGTTAAGGGGCAGGAATAATCATTTTTTTAAAGTCCTTAAAAATTCACTGGGAAAATTTTGACCCACCCAGACATAATTGAGCAAATGTTCTGTAAGAGTGTTCTAATCTTCATGAATCAAGATTTTGTGTTTTGGCACAACCCATAGCCTGTGTGTTAAACTGTTTTTGTTTTTACTTTAATGCTGTTATAAATTGAAAATGAACAAAACCAAAGCATGTCTATGTATATATGCATGTGAGTATGTGTACACGAATAAGTGAGAAATAGTTGCAGTTGAAATCTGCTTTAAAATACCGTATTGGCCCAGATATAAGCCACACACTTTTTTTACAAATTCCGACTGTGAAAAGTTAAAGCGCGTCTTAAATTCGCGACCTTACAAAAATTGACTTTGACGGTATTGCTGCTGAAACAGACGTACGGTAAAATGGAACGGGTGTGAGTGCCTGCAGATTTTTTAAGGGAGCGGCTTATATTTGGGTGTTGTCTTTTTTTCTCTCCCTCCCCCCTTGAATTTTAAAGGTGCGACTTATTTGTGGGTGTGGCTTATATTCGGGCCAATACGGTATTACTCTGAAGTTTGTCTGTTCCCAGTTATATACTTCTACGCTTTATGAAGATGGCAGGTGTTGAGCGGTGGGCAGAAACTCTGAACCTGTCTTTGCTTGCCATCATTTCTGTGGCTTTCCTGCTAAGTGTACAGATTTAGTGTTAAGTTGTGGGTGAACATATCAGACGACACAGCAATTCTTCAGACAGCTCTTGTTTATTCAGAGGCCAGAACAGAACTGAATTGAAGGGCTCAGTCAGCCTGCTTATATAGAGCTCCAGTACCACGTTACTGTAACAACTTTCTAAAACTATCCAATCACTGAACGTCACTTTCGATCCTTCATTTGCATAACTATCTACAGTATCCATCCAATCACTGAACGTCACTTTCGATCCTTCATTTGCATAACTATCTACAGTATCCCCCTGCTGGCCCAGGGTGAGAACTTCGGTACATAACATTTAGTGCACACAAACTACTGCTCCCTGCCTTATATTAGTACTGAGAGCCTTCTCTGGAAGATGTATAGCTTCTCTGAGCTCTGCTTCTCCAATCGAGTTGCTGTTTCCCCTTGTGTGCAGACCTAGCTCCCTCGACTGAACCCTTCTCTGCTCAAACGCTAGGCGCAAAGAACTCCCCTGCCTCTCTTACCCAATCATGGGATTGCCTGAATATATATGTGTGTGAGTATATACTACTTTTAAAAGACGCCTGCTTCTTGGGAGAAAAGTAATGACAAACCTAGACAGCATCTTAAAAAGCAGAGACATCACCTTGCCAACAAAGGTCCGTATAGTTAAAGCTATGGTTTTCCCAGTAGTGATGTATGGACGTGAGAGCTGGCCCATAAAGAAGGCTGATCGCCGAAGAATTGATGCTTTTGAATCCTGGTGCTGGAGGAGACTCTTGAGAGTCCCATGGACTGCAAGAAGATCAAACCTATCCATTCTTAAGGAAATCAGCCCTGAGTGCTCACTGGAAGGACAGATCGTGAAGCTGAGGCGCCAATACTTTGGCCACCTCAGGAGAAGAGAAGACTCCCTGGAAAAGACCCTCATGTTGGGAAGGATGGAGGGCACAAGGAGAAGGGGACGACAGAGGACGAGATGGTTGGACAGTGTTCGCGAAGCTACCAGCATGAGTTTGACCAAACTGCGGGAGGCAGTGGAAGACAGGAGTGCCTGGCGTGCTCTGCTCCATGGGGTCACGAAGAGTCAGACACGACTAAACGACTAAACAGCAACATATACTACTTTAATAGGGATTGTCTAAATTGGTTCCTCTTCTGCCCCCCTTACTTGCCAGCATAAAATTGTGCTATTTCCACACCGAAGACCAATGAACTGAATGATGTTAAAGTTGTCTTTGTTGCCAATATTCTGTTTCTCATCAGAGTTTTTTGTTTATACAGCTTTACTTTTTCGGTCTGGCTTTATTTACTCCATTACTGCAAAAAACCACTGTGTGGAATACTGTATTTCATTGATTCTGAGGAAATGTACAGTACTCCGGCTGTGTTTTTAACGAATGAAGGTAAGTTGGGGGGGGGGGGGCTCCAGACAGAAATAATAATAATAATAATAATAATAATAATAATAATAATAATAGTATGATGTCACTTTCTCTTGTTCAAGGCAGCCCAAAGCAACAACCAAATTTAATTTGTAATCCCTTCTCTCAAGTAAATTTAATTCACATTATTATTCAAAATCCTCCCTAGCCTTCAAAGAAGGGCAGTCAAATGGATGGAAAAGGGAGCAAACAGGGCTATAGGATTGTATGTGGGCGGGGAAGAAGTATGTGCAAAAGAGGCATTTGATTCTATGGTCTCCCTGCCCCTCCGAGCGCTCGCACTAACACAGAGAGTGGAAAACTCAAGGCTCTTGCATTATATAGACTAGGGAGATTGAACTGGCAATGGCTGGGTGACTATTCAAGTACAGTGGTACCTAGGGTTACATACGCTTCAGGTTACAGACTCCGCTAACCCACAAATATTACCTTGGGTTAAGAACTTTGCTTCAGGGCGAGAACAGAAATCATGCTCCAGCGGCGTGGCGGCAGCAGGAGGCCCCATTGGCTAAAGTGGTGCTTCAGGTTAAGAACAGTTTCAGGTTAAGAACGGACCTCCGGAACGAATTAAGTACTTAACCCGAGGTACCACTGTACTGCTTTAGTCAAAACACACAAAGGAGGAAGCCTGCACTGTCAAAGGAGAGCCCGCGTCCTACTTTTGCTACAACTAGCCTCTAGACCCATGGTTCCCAACGTAGGGCACACGCCCCACAGGGGGGCAATTTGATTTTTGAAGGGGGGCAATTTGAGAATGAGTTATTAACAGTTAATGGCCTTTTAGGCCTCCTCCAGGCACGCGGGTGGCGCTGTGGGTTAAACCTAGGACTTGCCGATCAGAAGGTCAGCGGTTCGAATCCCCACGACGGGTGAGCTCCCGTTGCTCGGTCCCTGCTCCTGCCAACCTAGCAGATCAAAACCACACCAGTGCAAGTAGATAAATAAGTACCGCTCCAGTCGGAAGGTAAACGGCGTTTCCGTGTGCTGCTCTGGTTTCGCCAGAAGCGGCTTAGTCATGCTGGCCACATGACCCAGAAGCTGTACGCCGGCTCCCTCGGCCAATAAAGCAAGATGAGTGCCGCAACCCCAGAGTCGTGCGCGACTGGACCTAATGGTCAGGGGTCCCTTTACCTTTGCCTAGGCTTCCTCCACATGAATTGGAGTTCACTTTTTGAATAATAGGAATTATATGTCACCGGGGGGGCATGCACCAGGATTTTGGAGATGCTTAGGTGGAGCATGGCAAAAAAAAAAAAAAAATGTTGGGAACCACTGCTCTACACTTAAATTAGGACCCTATTCTCTGGGAACCCTAATTTGCTGGGTGGGGAACCATGACATTAAAGAGGTATAAAACTGATACAGGACTGCAGTATAGATATGCCCTTTGAGAAACACTCAGCTAGGCAACTTTTACCAGTTGCTTAATCACTGTCTTTGGGACATTTTGCCTGTGAGGTGCTCTCCACGCAGTCTTCACAGAAGTGTGTGTTGTTGCCACCCAGCTCATGCTAAGGCATCCTTTGTGTGAAGAAACTCACTCTTGTCAGTGGCCTTTGTGCAGTCACCCCAAAGCACACAAGACTGAAAAATGTTTACTGATTAGTTGGGTGGAAATTGTGTACATTTAAAAACGCTGGTAGCATTAAGATAACTTCAACAGCGTAAATAAGTTTCAGTGGTGTAATAATGGATTACTGAATGGTTTAGTTCATGTAAAATACGCAGTGATGTATGGTATGCAAAATGAACCACGGAAAGAGAAGAAGGGAGTCATTGATGTAAGGTTGTCTAAATGAGCATCTTGAAATGTAAATTAGAAAAAATTAATAAAAGCTATAGAAAGAAGATGAAGCTCACTCTTATAAGCGGCTTTTGTGTGGCCACCCTAAAGCATACAACTGTAGCTGCTCAAAAATGGCAGCCAGTTGCGTGTGTACAACCGATGCAAAAGCAACACATCACCAGAATTATCTTTTTGTATGAACCCCTGTTCTTTCCTGAGGCAGTTATGTAGGGACCACCTTGTGTGAACTGACCCTAGGCAGTTTTGGACCCAATGAATATTCTGGATGCACTCGGTGACTTTGACATTGCCGAAGCAAAGCAGGTGTAAACTTGATCGATCAAGTACCAACACCTGACCAATGAGGAATTTGTCAGCAAATGGCAGAAAACCATGGCTAAAAAGCCACCTCTATTGGTCTGTCACCCCCAACTGTATAACCTGGGTTATGAAGGTGCCCAAAAGATGTTAAAGCAAAGATTATGGGATAATGCACACAGTGACTTGCGATCTCAATCACACACAGTCTGTAGTCCGCTGGCAGTAGGAGTACAATATGGGTGTGTCTTTAAGTTAACATCTTACATTAAAAACCTGACAGTACCTAACTGTCGAAGGCTTTTCACCAAAACCAGACTAAACGTCTTTCCTTCTGCAGTGTTGGATGGCAGGTTGAGAGGAGTTCCCTACCAGGACAGACTTTGCTCGTGTGCTCAAGACATCGATTCCATAAAACATATTTTGTTGCACTGTGCAAAATATGAGCAAGCCAGGGCTGAACTGATACTACCCTTGCTGGTACCTTTCCTGGGAAAATCAGAGGCTCACTATGTCAGGTTCCTATTGGAAGACCGGACAAATGCTAGAACATTAGCAGTGGCAAAGTTTTTATCGGTGGTTGCAAGAACCAATGATCCCTATATTCTGAACAAAATGCTTGTTTAACCTGGATGTAGGCTGTATGAATTGTGTATTGCTTTGTAATGATTTGTTGGGTCTCTGGACCGTAATAAAGATTGATGATGATGATTGATCAAGTCAATATATTTGCGGCCTTCGCATAACTGACAAGAGTTCTTTCCTGGGATTTGTTTTCAGGTGACGTTCATATCCAGATACATCTTCTCAGAGGGGGAGATGTGGCAGTGAAGACAACCTTCAGCCTTCCTCTGAAGCAGTGGCTTCGACTTGATCTCTCCATTAGCGGCGGGCAGGTATCTATGTCGCCTCAGTTGCCCTCGCGTAGCTGAGTGTGAGGAGAATATGTGTAGCAGTTGGAAGCGCCTGTGAATGGAGATTCTAAAATAGCCTTGTCAGAATTGTAAGGACAATCAACATATTTGCATGTTCAGGCCCAGAGACCTCCCCCTTAAATACATTCACACATGACTCAAATTTTAGTTTTGGTTTTTGGCAGAATTTAGGCCACAACTTTATTGATTACAGAGGGTGAGTGGTTGCATAGGTTCTGGTTCGACTAGCTCCCTGCACCCTTGCAGGCAGCGCTGACCCAGGGCACCAGCATAGGTCAGCCTAGGGCGAACACCTGGATAGGCGGAAAGCCGGGAACAGACTACGTTCACCACCCAAATTTCCCCCTGGACTCAGGCACGGGCACAACCCCCTCACAGGGGTCGACCAAACCAGTTGAGTCCCTGGATTCCTTTAACGGAATGCCCTTCACACAGGGATGGCGAGACCACTCTCCCATCCCTATCACCTGAACCAGAGCCTATCCGCAACCTTACAAGTTGTGACGATTTGCTACGCGGCAGGCAAAATCCAAATGGCACCCACCAATCAGCCAAGTGGGGAAAATTCCTGCTGTGCTGGGCTGGTTTGGTGACTGAAGACTGACTTGGCTCTTACACCAATCTTATATTAGGTCTCCCTTCGGCTTTATGCTGATGTTTTCAGCCCTTAGGTGCATCCACCTGACCACTAGGTCCAGTCGTGGCGGACTCTGGGGTTGCAGCGCTCATCTCGCTTTATTGGCCGAGGGAGCCGGCGTACAGCTTCCGGGTCATGTGGCCAGCATGACTAAGCCGCTTCTGGCGAACCAGAGCAGTGCACGGAAATGCCGTTTACTTTCCCGCTGGAGCGGTACCTATTTATCTACTCGCACTTTGACGTGCTTTCGAACTGCTAGGTTGGCAGGAGCAGGGACCGATCAACGGGAGCTCACTCCGTCACGGGGATTCGAACCGCCGACCTTCTGATCAGCAAGTCCTAGGCTCTGTGGTTTAACCCACAGCGCCACCCGTGTCCATATATAAAGACAGTGAATTCTTGTGGTTCAGCTGACCAACCTGGCAAGAATTTGTTGCATTTTGCAAGCCGTGATGAAATAAACCTGTTTTCCATTGGTTCACATGTATGTTTTCAAAACTAAAATTTAATTTATTTTTGTTTTAGATAGAAATTACCAGTGTTGGAAAGAATCTGAAAATTCATCGGCATCAAACTTTTATGTAAGACTAACTTGCCCTCCATTCTAACAAGTAGTGTGTATTCTTTTCTTTCTTTCTTTTTAAAAAAAGATTAAAATTTTACAATCACATATCCAATATACAACATAAAGGCAAAATCTCCTCCTCCCCTTTGTGGGTCCTATTGTTAATCATTTCTTCCCGCCCTGTGGAATGCCCTCCCATCAGATGTCAAGGAAATGAACAACTATCTGACTTTCAGAAGACATCTGAAGGCAGCCCTGTTTAGGGAAGCTTTTAATGTTTGAAGTTTTATTCTGTTTTTAATGCTTTGTTAAAAGCTGCCCAGAGTGGCTGGGGAAACCCAGCCAGGTGGGCAGGGTATAAATAATAAGTTGTTGTTGTTGTTGTTGTTTTTAATAATATTTATTGAGATTTCAAAAAAACAAAAAATACAAAAATTACACAAAAACAAAAAATAGAAAATACAAAAACTTACACACAATAAGAAAAAGATACAAAAGTAAAAAATAAAAATATGAGAAAGTAAAAAATACAGAAGAAAAATAATAGTAAAGAAGAAAAAACATTAGACCTCCTCCTCCTCCCTTCCTTTGTATTCTAGTTATTAATTATCCCAGCAAATCCTTTCCATCTTTCTATTATAAAATAAACCTTAAAATTTAAAATTTAGATCTTAACTTTACCAGCTTCTTATATTCATAATGTTCTTTCATAATTCTTTAATAGTTATTAATTATCCCAGCAAATCCTTTCCATCTTTCTATTATAAAATAAACCTTAAAATTTAAAATTTAGATCTTAACTTTACCAGCTTCTTATATTCATAATGTTCTTTCATAATTCTTTATACATCTTTACTAAGGCCAAATAATTTCTTCCAACATTTTTCTATCATTCATTTTTCTATCATTCTAACATTCATCAACTTTATAAAACATTCTATTAGTTAAAAAAAGACAAAAAAAGAGAAAAAAGCATATAAACAAGTCCAATCTTAATCCAACGTCCCTTCCTCCTGGTTTCGGGATTTGTCAGTCCTTATTCCTCAATCTAACCCGGTGACCTTATGTCCGAGGCCCTCAAGTCACTTCCATGGCCCTTCCGCAGCTTTTCTTCATATTTGTGGCTGTAGTCACTTGCTCGTAGTAGCTCCAACTTAATAGTGTTTTTAACCCTTCTCATCAGATCAGATCCTTTTCCCTGTTCATCGCTGCATTCCATGTAGTATTTAAGAACATACTTCAAGGGCCCTCCGATTTGTGGGCCCCCACAATTCCAAACATGTCGCAGCCTGTTACTGTATTTAAAAGTCCAGATATCCCAACATAGGGGGTCAATCCAGCCCCCATTTCCAAACCACACCAAACTTTCCCTTCCCATATCTGATTTTTTCCAAGTTCCATTATCAAATCCGAAGGATCAAGCTCCTGTTGAGACTGTTCTGTCAAGCCACACTCCTGATTTAATGCCACAAACCCCTGTTCTGTCAAAACACACTCCTGGTTTGAGTCCTGGATAGACTCCACATATATTCCCACAGTTTGATCAACGCCTTCCACTGCCAGTCTGAGATTTCCAGTCGACTTGGCCATCTGGTTCACCTTATCATGTAGTTCTTCCAATAGAATATTTGTTTTATTGAGCAGGCAAACCACAACGTCTGAAAACATTGTTGCACTCTCCCACGATTCTTTGTAACAGCTGTCAAGTCCTTGGCATTAGTTACAGTTTCTAAGGCTCCCCCTAGGAGAAGACTTATATTTGTTTCTAATACATTTCCATGTTACTTAAAATACTTTATCCATATATATTCCTTTAAAATGCGAAAGGGAACAGTAGAGTCACGAAAATTCTCTTCTTTTAACTATCTGTCACACACAAATACCTTGATTGGTTCACGTCAGTCCTGACTTCCCCGCTCCAGGATCAGGACGAAAATAACTTCCTTTTACTGCTTCAAATAGTCCAAAAAAAATATTCCCAATTTGAAATGTTGGAATCCACTCTTTTAAAAGCAATTTTCAAAGCTCTAGTATAAGTTGTCTTTGCTTTGTTATATTTACAAAAGAACGGAAGGGTGACTTCCTGTTTAGCCCTTACCGCTCCGTACCAAATTCAATCGATTTTTCTTCTTTTTTTTTATAGTCCAATTCTGTCCTTTTCACTAGTCTTCATTTAATGTCCCAATTTGTTCAAATTCTGGGTACTCACGGATATTTGTTTTAAAGTCTGAATTGTCCAGGAAAAAAGGCAGCGCTCTCCGGCAACAGCTACGCGGCTTCACTCCACAAAAGAAGCAGACGACTCGCAGCACAGCGCCTTCACTTCCCCGCTCTGTTCCGGAGCCCGTTGCCGGGCTCCTTTGCAGATTGGGGGGGCGCAAACAGTGCCCGCCGAGTCCCAGGGTCACAGGCTTCACCCGCCTGTGGTTTGAAGGGTCCCCGCTTGTTGTTGTTGTTGTTGTTGTTGTTATTACACTGGTCAACAACAAATTTGTTGTCTGCATTTTTTCAGCTGATTTAGGACGAATCTGATTCGCTGAATCCAAAAATCACATTGGTTTGCTCAATCAGATCAAGTTTTTGAGCTATAGCCACATGTCATTTTTTTATGTTTTTGTTCACATATACGCTTGTGTGGAGCATTTTAGAAGAAGTTGGTGGAGGTAAAATGCCATGTCGAATAATTGTTTTGATTGGAAATTATTATTTTAATGACAAGAAGTATTCAGGTCCGATAGTTCTGGGTGATTATGTCGAAAAGGGATCAGTTTGAAGTCATAAAACCTCGAAATCTTCCATAAATTGGTGCTCAGCATTACACGAAGAAGGACTGGCCTGTGCGGGAGGAATTGGTGCCTTGCAGAAAAAGGATCATCAATGACCCTCTGGTGGACAGAGACAGAACACTCTTCCCACTGCTGCACATCAAGCTCGGGTTAATCAAGCAGTTCACCAAGACTCTGGACAAGGATGGTGACTGCTTCACTTACTTGTGCCAGGCTTTTCCAGGATTGACCATGGAGAAGTTGAAAGCTGGCATCTTTGACAGTCCTCAGATCCGTCAGCTCATCAGAGATCCAGAGTTTGGAAACTCAATGAACGAAGTGGAACTGGAAGCGTGGGAGGCATTTGTTCTGGTAGTGAAGAACTTTCTTGGCAACAATAAGGCCAGAAACTACGCAGAACTTGTCAACAACATGCTGACTGCTTTCAGAAACCTGGGCTGCAACATGAGCGTCAAGATGCACTACCTATTTTCACATATGGACCGGTTTCCTGAGAACCTGGGTTCAGTGAGTGACGAGCAGGGGAGAGATTCCATCAGGACATGAAAGAGATGGAGACCAGGTATCAGGGTCGCTGGGACGCAGTCATGATGGCTGACTACTGTTGGACTCTGAAGAGAGACCTCCCTGCCGCTGAGCATTCCTGGAGTTCCAAGAAATGGATGTTCAAGCCCTGAAGTTTGAAAAATGGTGAAGCAACATGCAATTTACATGTACTTACCTTTATCAATGCCCACCATTCAGTTTACAGTAATCAATGTTTCTATCAGGTAATCAATATATGTTGTTGGAAAAACATTTTTTTCTCTTAAAAACATGTTTAGGATGATATGTGTTGACAAGAATCAGCTGATAATGCCACAAAAATGTAATCGATTTTGTCACTAGATCTGATTTTTTTCAAATCAACATAGCACAAAAACCTGACCTGATGGAGAGAAACGGATGCCATTTCCTGATTCAGCAGTGCAAAAACACCCTAAATCAGTTGTAGAAATCTAGACAACATTCAAAAAGTAAAAAATTGTTGCCCAGTGTTATTATTATGGCACCTTTCCAAATTTCATTTAAAGAAAAGCTTTGTTGACCGATGTCAAACTGGATTTCTCCTCACAATGCAGGGGTCTTTAGAGAGAACACTCTGCTTGTGTCCCTGTAAGCCTCCAAACCATCTTGTTTAAAATATATTCCAGACTATTCCATGACAGAGTCCTCTGCCTGCCCGGCAAATCAGAGGTTTTATTTGCTTCAGAATGTTTCAAAACCTTGACTTTTCTAGTTTTAGGGAGGATTTCTATTTCGATGACACTTCCGGTTACTTGGCTCTTGGAGGCAGCGGCTATTCATCAAGTATTGAAGGATACTTTGGTCCAGTGAAATACTATCGTCTTAATGGCCTAGAGACCAGAAAGGTGAGTGAACAGAAGGTAACAAATATGTCAATATGGATCTAGAGTTACCTGTGCCTGCCTTTGACATTCATTTCCAAGGCAGTACTGTAACTCGGGTGGGCTATCGGTTATGATGTGTAAGGAGTGAGCTCAGATTCGCTGTTCCTTCCTCCTTGAGACGTTTTTGGCCAGAATGCAGGACTATTAACGGCAAAGGCTACTGCTGCAAGGGACGCGGGTGGCGCTGTGGGTTAAACCACAGAGCCTAGGGCTTGCCGATCAGAAGGTCGGCAGTTCGAATCCCCGCGACAGGGTGAGCTCCCGTTGCTTGGTCCCTGCTCCTGCCAACCTAGCAGTTTGAAAAGCTGTCAAAGTGCAAGTAGATAAATAGGTACCGCTCCGATGGGAAGGTAAACGGCGTTTCCGTGCGCTGCTCTGGTTCACCAGAAGTGGCTTAGTCATGCTGGCCACATGACCCGGAAGCTGTACGCCAGCTCCCTCGGCCAATAAAGCGAGATGAGTGCCGCAACCCCAGAGTCGGTCACGACTGGACTTAATGGTCAGGGGTCCCTTTACCTTTACCTTTACCTTTACTGCTGCAAAGGGCTGTGCCATTTTCCTTGTCCTGTTAGAAATCTGTAGGTTTAAAACTTGACTTGACACCAAGCAATTGAAGGAAATTTTGCTAAAGCTTCGCCACTCCAGCAAGCACAGAACAGGAAACACCTGACTTATCTAAATCCAATTAAATCCAATGCCAACTAGTGTCTAAACCATATTGCAACCAAAAGTACAACAACAACAACAACAACAACAATTTATTATTTATACCCTGCCCATCTGGCTGGGTTTCCCCAGCCACTCTGGGCGGCTTCCAACAAAATATTAAAATAAAATAGTCCATCAACCATTAAAAGCTTCCCTACATAGGGCTGCCTTCAGATGTCTTCTAAAAGTCTGGTAGTTGTTTTTCTCTTTGACACCTGGTGGGAGGGCGTTCCACAGGGCAGGTGCCACTACTGAGAAGGCCCTCTGCCTGGTTCCCTGTAACTTGGCTTCTCGCAGTGAGGGAACTGCCAGAAGGCCCCCAGAGCTGGACCTCAGTGTCCAGACAGAACAATGGGGGTGGAGACGCTCCTTCAGGTATACTGGACCGAGGCTGTTTAGGGCTTTAAAGGTCAACACCAACACTTTGAATTGTGCCCGGAAATGTACTGGAAGCCAATGTAGATCTTTCAAGACCAGTGTTATGTGGTCTCGGCTGCCGCTCCCAGTCACCAGTCTAGCTGCCGCATTCTGGATTAGTTATAGTTTCTGGGTCACCTTCAAAGGTAGCCCAACATAGAGCGCATTGTAGTGGTCCAAGCAAGAGATAACTAGAGCATGCACCACTCTGGCGAGACAGTCCGCAGTCAGATAGGGTCTCAGCCTGCGTACCAGATGAAGCTGGTAAACAGCTGCCCTGGACACAGAATTGACCTGTGCCTCCATGGACAGCTGCAAGTCCAAAATGACTCCCAGGCTGCGCACCTGGTCCTTCAGGGGTACAATTACTCCATTCAGGACCAGGGAGTCCTCCACACCTGCCCACCTCCTGTCCTCCAAAAACAGTACTTCTGTCTTGTCAGGATTCAACCTCAATCTGTTAGCCGCCATCCATCCTCCAACCGCCTCCAGACACTCACACAGGACCTTCACTGCCTTCACTGGTTCTGATTTGAAAGAGAGGTAGAGCTGGGTACCATCCGCATATTGATGAACACCCAGCCCAAACCCCCTGATGATCTCTCCCAGCGGCTGCATGTAGATGTTAAAAAACATGGAGGAGAGGACAGAACCCTGAGGCACCCCACAAGTGAGAGCCCAGGGGTCTGAACACTCATCCCTCCCACCACATGTTTTATTTAAATAAACTAGTTATATATAGATATAGATATAGATATAGATATAGATATAGATATAGATATAGATATAGATGATATAGATATAGATATATATAGATATATATATTTATGATATCAAAGTTATGATACTGTTACGATGGAACCATGTAAGCTTTTTTTAAATAAAAAGTTGATGAACGTTATATTATTCTTAAGTATACTAATAATTTATTAAAATAAGAAAAATATATAACTAAATGACAGAATCCACACAGACAGTCTAATGACCAGTTTAGCCACTTGGATGGAATAGTTTATTCCTCTATGAGCCCAGCCTTGGCTGGGGAGGGCAGGGTATAAGTAAAAATTATTATTATTATTATTATTATTATTATTATTATTATGTGAGAACTTTATCAGGAAGTTTTTTTGAAGCTTGCATGAATATGTGGCAATAACATCCCATTAGCATTTATATTAAAAATGTCTATCAAGCATACTTTATACCCCTTTCAGGTGGATAGGGAGAATCTCGTCATCTATAATAAAGTGTTCAAAATAGGCAATTTGTCTGTATTACGCCGATCTGCAAACGTCTGTGGTCACTTGCCTGTGTTCTGCAGTAGGAATAAAAAATAGCGTTCCTGCATTTTAGCAATTTCTTAAAATATATGCAACGGTTTTATAGGAAACGCATACGATTACTACTCTTCCCCTCACCCACAGATTTCTAACCCTTTCTACAAAGAAGACATTTTGGAAAGAATTGACCTTTACTATCAAAAATGTTTTGCTGTCCAGAGCACATCGCCCAGGCATGGATTTGTGCAGAAACACAAAGAGCAAAAATGCAAGTAGCGAGACCAGAACTTGGCATCATGTAGGGTTACAGGATCTCCTATCATTTGTTTGTTTGTTTAATTTAAAAGAAGCTGTGAGGATAAGGCAATTGAGGCCAAATATGTGGAACTAAAGGTATTCCTTCTCTGCTCAATGTTGATTGAAATAGATATTTGTTTACTCATTAAGCATCTTTATGCCTCAAATATATATCTATTCTGTGCAACTTTTGCTGTCATTGTTTCTGAATCTCGAGAATCATATTTTGCTAATGGTACCGAGAGCTCACTGTTAGAGGTCTTTGAATTCCCGCACGGAAAGAAGGAATAATCTGTAAGCCAGTTTAGTGCTGCAATCCTAAATACACTGAGTAGGGAGTAAATTCTATTTACTTCAGTAGGGCTTAACACTGGGAGATGTTTATGTCATGGAATTCTACTCAATATTGCTCCAGAGCAGATTCCAATGTATAGTTAGCAGAGTAAAAACTTAAACATGTTACAGGATTCCCCAAAAATAGACCAGAGGCAATTTCATTTCGTCCAGCAGAGCTTTGCCTTAATTAAATCTTTAAGGCAGATCTTTAAGGCAGCCCTGTTCAGGGAAGTTTTTAATCTGTGATATTTTACTGTATTTTTGGTTTCTATGGAAGCCGCCCAGAGTGGCTGGGGAAACCCAGCCAGATGGGCGGGGTACAAATAATAAATTATTATTATTATTATTATTATTATTATTATTATTATTATTACTGCTACTGAAGGCAAATGAGCATAATGGTCACAAATCCAATACGTTCAGGATTGGCACTGTCCATAAGAAATCCAGTTGCAGCAGACTTAACTTAAACTTACAATAACTCATAATAAGTCTAAACCTTAACACTATAGTGTACTATGTACAGAACACCACACCAGAAGGAAAAGAGATAGAAAGAGAAAAGTGAAACCAAGGCTCCTTCTGGCCTCTTATTATAGTCAGCATGACCTTGACAAAAAGAGATAACAGAGTCTGTTTAAGCCAGCTGTACTCAGCTTCTCAGGACGCGAGTGGCGCTGTGGGTTAAACCACAGAGCCTAGGACTTGCCATTCAGAAGGTCGGCGGTTTGAATCCCTGCGATGGGGTGAGCTCCAGTTGCTTGGTCCCAGCTCCTGCCAACCTAGCAGTTTAAAAGCACGTCAAAGTGCAAGTAGATAAATAGGTACCACTCCGGCGGGAAGGTAAACGGCGTTTCCGTGCACTGCTCTGGTTCGCCAGAAACGGCTTAGTCATTAAAGCGATTAAAGCGAGATGAGCGCCGCAACCCCAGAGTCGGCCACGACTGGACCTAATGGTCAGGGGTCCCTTTACCTTTTTACTCAGCTTCTCTGAAGGTATAACCCAAACACCATGAACCTTCTGCTTGTTTCTTTCACACAGAGAAACTTCCAGAACCCTCTTTAACTGAATTAGAATCAGAAAGATCTCTACACATAAGATTAATCCTTTCTGCACTAAGAAATGCAAACTGACAGTTTAGGATCATGCTGCATGTCTTTGGTGTAGTTGTATCAACAGTCTTAGGTTCAGGCACTTTAAAATCGACCCAGGGGAACACAATCTAAAACCAAAATCAAGTGATTTTGTGACGGCATTAAGTAATTCTGAAGTGGGAAGGTGGACACCTATATGTGAGAAGTTTCACAGATACAGCTAGGATAATAATAATAATAATAATAATAATAATAATAATAATTTATTATTTATACCCCGCCCATCTGGCTGGGCTTCCCCAGCCATTCTGGGCGGCTTCCAAAAAAATATTAAAATACTGTAATACATCAAACATTAAAAGCTTCCCTAAACAGGGCTGCCTTCAGATGACTCGCTTTCATTTTCTCCAGGCCTTTATGAAAACTACTATCTGGAAATGATCAATAAATATGGAGGACGCCCCAAGGATGCAGCCTTCAGCTGGAGACAAGAACTTTTGGAGAAATACTACAACATGTTTAAACAGTTGCAAGAGACAGGTCTACAGTTATCAGGAGGTAATTGGAGATTTTACATCTTTCCTTTTCTTTATCAATCACTTAACTTTTGCAAGAAACATGTGGCTTTTCAGCTTTTTCCTCTTTTGTTTTTGCCGTGATCTTAGAGACTGCTGGTTCTCCTTGGACCACATTTTAACAAACAATTGTGTTAGGAATAAGGTTCTGCTCTTACGCTCTCCATTGTGGCATACCAGCCCCCAGGGTTGTATATTAGTGGCACAGGGAGAAAATCACATCAGATGCCAGACCCAAAGAGATATCTTTGGCTCCTTCCACACTTTGTGGGGATTTCTGATACATTAAGGTAGATACTAGTGTTATGTACTGAAGTTCTCACCCTGGGCCAGCAGGGGGATACTGTAGATAGTTTTCACTCAGGTCCACATATGCAAACAAGGGATTGAGAGTGACGTTCAGTGATTGGATAGTTACAGAAAATGGTTACTGTTGCGTTCTAGTGGAGCTCTATATAAGCAGGCTGGCTGAACCCTTCAGTTCAGTACTGCTCTTGCCTGTGAATAAACAAGAGCTGTTTGAAGAATCGCTGTGTCGTCTGATATGTTCACCCACAACTTAACAAGTAGTATGTGCCCTTTGTGGAATGCGAGTGCAGTTTCATTTCTGTCACCACAAAGAAAATGAATGCCCTGCAATAAATAGCAAGGACTAAATTTGTTTTGGACAACAGATTCACTCCCCTTCCCCTGTAAAAATTGCCGTCCTTTTGCACTAAGAAAAGCGATAATAAATTACACTGGAAAGTGAAGGATAACTGCCACATGACTGGGATGCTATATGTATAACCTCTGTGAATCTGTGAAAGTGATGGCACAATATACATGTTACTGTTGGGAATCAAGCCTTTATCAGGAGAAACTGGCCACTCTCCAGGCACCCGGCTTGATCTCCTGTTGACCTCCCTGTCTGCATTCTCCAGCAGGATCCAGGCTAGGTCGCGATAGGCGATCCTCCTCAGAGTGAGAAGAACACACCCCCTCTTTCCTGCCCCCCCAGGGCAGGGGAAAGAGATAGACAGAAACGTATTTACATTCCTTTATTTCTGTCTTTGCAGCGTTACAAAATCATGTCTGCTCTCTTCAAGCTTCAGCAGTCGAGAGACAAACTCCTCCTGTACTTCCTGTACAGCTCATATTACACTCTGAGCTAATTCCGGTGCCCTCTGCACTGTGAATTGACTGTCCCTCTGTTTCCCACGGAACAGTCCCAACATTCCCATTATGTTTTGCTTTCAAGCTACCAGCTCGCGGCCGCATTGCTTCTATATCGTGACATACTCCCCCATATGAATCAATGTGCGCTGCGAGCAAAGCGTGATCCAGAGAAGAAAACAAACAGTTGTTATACATATAACACTCCCCTGTTGTTTCAGTTCCATCCTTGGAACTACCCGCCACTGGTTTCCCCAGTGTACCTCTCTGGTTGTCTGTCTTCCAAGGAATGAGTGCATCTGCATTACCTTGGCTAGGGAATGTAGTGTTATGCTTAGCAACTCTCTGTTGTGTCTTTGTTTCTGACATAGACACAGCTTCAACCTGTCTTGAGTTGTCAACAATAGTAACACATGCTACAGCTGAGTTAGCAAACTCTTTTGAATACCTCTTGGGTGGTACACCCTTTGTAACTCTCTCAGACCTGCGTATGAGGTGCTGATCCTCTCTGCTCACTGGTTCAGTCTCAGGACTCTTTGGAGAACCAGTTCCAATAGTAAACAGTGGTTCATCCTTCACCTGTGAAGGTCTTTCCATTGTGTGAGATTTCCTCTCAATGACTGTGTCAACTGAGCTCTTTGAGCTACCACTGTCACTCTCAGTACCACTGTAATCAGTAAAATCATCATCATCATCTGAATCGTCCTCAGTGGGAAATGTGTGAACAATTACTCTCTCCTGTTCAGGAGCACTCTCTAGAGAACCACCTGACCAGATTCAGACAAAATTACTCTGTAGAGACCCTTTTCATAACCCACAAAAATGCCTCTAGCATTCTTTACTCCACCTGGAGCTTCAGTCTTCACATGAGATCCAAAACCTTAAAATGGGCAACAGAAGGTTTTCTGTGGAATAGCTTTTCAAAAGGAGAATATCCTAAACCTTTTGAAACTTTTCTCACCCAACTGTAACAAAAACACATTAACGATTCCGCCCAATACTCATGTGGCAAATGTGAACTCAGCAATTGCGCCTTCATGCCATTTTGCAATTCTTTGTTCACTTGCACACAGACACTTTTGTTCCATGCATCTGCTGAAACAGCAGTCTTGTGCCTTATCCCTTTCTTGTCCAGGAAATCCTGAAAATCCTGTAAAAGAAAAACTGGCTTTTCATCTGTGAAAAGACAATCAATGTTAGCATTATGAACATCCTTAACCTTGTCACAAAACTCTTTAAACCTTTCTAAGGCTTCTTGTGGTTTCTGCAATATATATACCCACACATAATGAGAGAAATAATCCACACACACAAGATAATATCTTGCATTGCCTCTAGACGGTGCTAGAGGACCAATCACATCAGCATACACTCGCTGAAAAGCTTTGGTTACTTGCGTCGTCTTCTGGACGTTTTTCGACACACCTGCGAGAGAAATCATGTTAGACACAGATGCATTACAACTTATGCAATCACTTTGATCAAAAGTCAACAAATACAGTCCATCTTTCTCTCTGGCAGAAAGATACAGCTCTCCATCTTTGAAGATTTTGCAGCTTTCTCTATCATAGGACAAAGTCAGTCCTTTCTTTGTGATCTGCGAAACACTCAGCAGATTGAACTTTAAATGAGGAACCAAATACACATTGTTTATAGTCAAGTTCAGACTCTCAAGATACACAGTTCCAAACCCGGTCGCTTCCAGCTCCTGACCGTTGGCTTGTTTCACAGTGTTTTGCTTTCAAGCTACCAGTTCGTGGCCGCATTGCTTCTATATCGTAACAGTTACAGCATTATTGCAGTGGCGTAGCGTGGGGGGTGCAGGGGGGGCCGGCCGCACCGGGCGCAACATCTGGGGGGGGCGCTCGCACTCGCAGCTCTCTGCCCCTACCTGGCTCACTCACTCTCTCTCACTGCAGTGCTGGCTGTGCGAATCTGATCCGAGCCGCTGGGTCACCGCCCACTGTGGAGGGGGTGGGTGCCAGGCGTGCGGTGCGGAGAGAGAGCGAGGGACTATCTGGGGGAGGGACAGTGCAGCGGCCGCCCAGCGCAGCGCTGAGCGCGGGAGAGAACCACACCAGACCAGCCCAGGCAGCAGCAAGAAGAAGCTGGCAGCGGCGGCAGGTTAGAGGTTAGGGGGCGCAAATTACTTGCCTTGCCCCGGGTGCTGACAACCCACGCTACGCCGCTGCATTATTGGTGTGTCTTGCAACCCCCTCACCCCCTTATAGTAACTTTGGATTAGGCACCAAATCTACTTAATAGTAAGCGTGTGGGAAATTAAAGCTACCTAATCAGAACCTGCTTGTTTTCACAGCCAGTAGTTTAATTGAACATTTATATCTTATGATTTTAGCACCTGAAGGCCAAAAGGACGCCATTTTAGAAATTGGGCGCAGCTTATTTGAGACGGCGGCTCAAAATCTTTCCAGAGCTGATGGCCTACGTTATATAAACTCTTCTGTCTCGTCCCTGATGGATTCCAGCTGCTGTGGAGATCACAGAGCGTCCTATGCTCTTGGCGTGATCTTTGAAATAGGATTGGGCAGGCCTGCAGACCCAGCTCAGGTGAGAATTCGGATGGCTCACATTTGCCTAAGAACAGCTTGAGAATTAGCAATAGTTGCTATTTCATCTCCCAAGTCCCACTTTTAGGCTGGAGACAGTTTTTTCAGAGTCAAAGGTGGTGTTTCCACACTTCCACCTTTCACCTCTGATCGACACGCTTGGCATCTTTTTCTATTTGTGATGTTCTCCGCAAGACAAGTGTGTTCTGGGTCCCCTTTTCTTCCAGAGAGTAGGACTAGGAGTCACTTTGGTCTCTGTTCTTCGACTCAAAATCAGCATAGGGCAGGACTGAGGACAGCCTATCCCTCTCAGCTCCCTCTTACAAACACACTGACTATTCTTACAATCTTGTTCTGATACTCCTTTCTCTCTCTCTCTCTCTCTCTCTCTGTCTGTCTCTCTCTCTGTGTGTATGTGTGTGTCAAAAGAAGACAGAGAGACAAAGGAATGTTTATTTATACATTGGGAAGCAAAGGTTCTGCTATATCCCTTTCAGCTCTCTTGAAAAACCATTACTTCATTTGCCCCTTACTGGCCTTATTACTTTACATAACTGTAAGCAGAGCAGGCACAAGACAATGTGCCACCTGAGACCACATCTCCGCTTGCTCCCTGCTGCCACTGCCACCTCACTTCCTCCTCCTTTCCTGCTTCAACAGCATGGTAAGGTAAAAGGTGAAGGACCCCTGGACAGTTGAGTCCAGTCAAAGGCGACTATGGGCTTGCAGCGCTCATCTCACTGTCAGGCTGAGGGAGCCGGTGTTTGTCCACAGACAGCTTTCTGGGTCATGTGGCCAGCATGACTAAACCGTTTCTGGTACAGTGGTACCTCAGGTTAAGTACTTAATTAGTTCCGGAGGTCCGTACTTAACCTGAAACTGTTCTTAACCTGAAGCACCACTTTAGCTAATGGGGCCTCCTGCTGCTGCCGCGCCGCTGGAGCACGATTTCTGTTCTCATCCTGAAGCAAAGTTCTTAACTTGAAGCACTATTTCTGGGTTAGCGGAGTCTGTAACCTGAAGCGTATGTAACCTGAAGCATATGTAACCCGAGGTACCACTGTACAACAGAACACTGCGATAGAAACCAGCGCACATGGAAATGCTGTTTACCTTCCCACCACAGTGGTACCTATTTATCTACTTGCACTGGTGCGCTTTCAAACTGCTAGGTTGGCAGGAGCTGGGACAGAGCAACGGGAGCTCACCCCATCGCATGGATTCGAACCGCCAACCTTCTGATCTGCAAGCCCAAGAGGCTCAGTGGTTTAGACCACAGCGCCACCCGTGTGACAGCATGGCCACTCTGGGCCTCATTCTGAGGAGACACCTAGCCTTTCTCAGAACAAAGCATTGCAGGTGAGATCATCCAGAGAGGGCCTGTGCCACTGCCGCCTGCGCAAACGGCAGCGTGTTGCTTTTTGAAGTCAGCTGGAAAGTTTTGCGCTAACCTCAAACGAGAATCTCCTGCTCTCGCAGCAGAGGAAAGCAGCGTGAGAGCTCCTTGGGGGATCTGGCCCAGAAGGACCCCTTCCTCAGGATGAGGCATGGTATAAAGGGAAGTTCTCTTTCTGCACATAACTGTGGCATTATGGGAGAAGTATTGCTTCTTTTCTCTTGCATTCTGGGAAGTCTCACTTATAATCTTTTCTCTGCTTCTGCACACACTGTACAAACCTGTTCTAAACACCAAGACATTCCCTCATTCCTCAGTTCATTTTAAGTTCATGAACAAACAATATGATCTGTTCTTAATGCATAGCTGACCACATCTACGGAACTCGATTATTATATTCTTTCATGTTATGATCAATCATTAGTAATTGTTTTAGTCATGCTATATCAATCTTTAGTTATAATTTAATTAGGAGGTTTTATGCCTGTCTAGTTCCAGCTCCGTTTCCCAGCCTTTAATCTATCGGTGATTAATGTTATATGTAATTCCCGCCTTGTACTTATGTTAACCAATCAGCAACAAGTTGCTTTGTGTTTGTATCAACCAATCAGCCACAAGCACACCTGTGGCAATGTTTGTAATATTCAATAAAAGAGAGTTCCCGGGGCTTGCCCCAGGAGACGCCTCTCATATGACACCTGTCACTCGTCTGTCGTGAATTCATTCCAACAATGGTGTGCCGGCATCGCTGCTACTTCGTTGGTGGGCAGCGGGTGGGTGGCAAAGAGGGAGGCACAGTGGCAGTCGTGGCAGTCATCAGCCACAAGGGTGGCAGCAGGCCCTCTTGCTAATGCAGTGTTTCTCAAACCTGCGTCCCCCAGCTGTTGTTGGACTACAACTCCCCTTATCCCTAGCTAGTAGGACCAGTGGTCAGGGATGATGGGAGTTGTAGTCCAACGTTTTGAGAAATACTGATAATGGAAGGGGGTGTTCGCAACCCACCTAGTCTTCCTCATCTTCATCTGAGGCAGAAAGTCCTGGCAGGGCCAGGATCATAGCTGTCAACTTTCCCTTTTTTTGCGGGACGGGGAATTCCCTTATTCCAGCGCCGTTTCCCGCTGCTATCCCGGATTGTTAGATATCCCGTAGACTATCCCGTAGACAGGTGAGGCTGCTGATCCCTTATTTTCGAGGCTGCTGATCCCTTATTTTCAAATCTGAAAGTTGACAGCTATGGCCAGGATTGCAAAAACCCCTCAGAGCTTACAGTTGCTGTTCTACGCTTGCTGCTATTTACAGTCATACCTCATGTTACGTCCGCTTCATGTTACGTTCTTTCAGGTTACGTCCCGCGGCGACCCGGAAGTACCGGAAAGGGTTACTTCCGGGTTTCGCCGCTCGCGCATGCACAGAAGCGCAAAATGACATCATGCGCAGAAGCGGTGAATCGCAACCCGCGCATGCGCAGACGTGCCGCTGCGGGTTGCGTTCTTTTCATGTTGCGAACGGGACTCCAGAAGGGATCCCGTTCACATCCAGAGGTACCACTGTACTGAACTTAATCTATGGTTCGCAATGTAGATACTCTCATTTCTCTGGGGTTTTTCTATTGGCCACGATTAAATTTACGCTCCTCTCTTTTAATTTTTGCCAGGGGCTTCTGTACAGTTTGGTTGCAGCTCAGGGCGGTGATAGGCTGGCCTTGATGAGCCTCGGATATAAGCATTACCAAGCCATTAATGGTTACCCACGAGATCTGGAATTGTCATATGCTTATTATAGTGATGTCGCCTTAAAGACGCCACGTGATCAACACGTTTCCGAAGGAGACCAGGTAAAAAGAAACGTGCAGTTGAGATTTGATCCCCGTCTTTCTGATAATGGAATGTTTCCAAATACATTACTGGGAAATTTTCTGTCAAATCACTGTAGTGAATAACCCTCCTGACTGAAATCTGAAGTGACAATGCCTTTTTTAAAAAAAGTTTTTATTTATACTTTTCAAATTTATACACTTCAATAATTTTACAATCATTTTAACATTTCAAAGTTTGACTTCCTTCCCCCTCTTTCTGCGGTTCCTTAAATTTATTTCTTAATATCTTCTGCTTATCCAAATTCATCTATTTTAAATATAAACTCTTATGAAACTGCAGGTTATTACAATAATCCTGCCAATGTTTTTATCTGCAATCTGTAAATATTCAACAAGCCATTTTCATTCTTTTATAAAAAGTTTGTTATCTTGATTTCTTATTCTTCCGGTAAGTTTTGCCATTCCTGCATATTCCGTAAGTTTTTGTATCCATTCTTACTTTGCTGGGACTTCTGCTTCTTTCCATTTTGGGGCAAGTAGAATTCTTGCAGTTGTAGTAAAAAAAGGTAAAGGACCCTGACCGTTAAGTCCAGTCGCGGATGATTCTGGGGTTGCAGCGCTCATCTTGCTTTACTGGCTGAGGAAGCCAATGTTTGTCCACAGACAGCTTTTCCGGGTCATGTGGCCAGCATGACTAAGCTGCTTCTGGTGAACCAAAGCAGCGCAGGGAAACGCTGTTTACCTTCTCGCCGGAGTGGTCCCTATTTATCTACTTGCACTTTGACGTGCTTTTGAACTTCTAGGTGGGCAGGAGCTGGGACCGAGCAACGGGAGCTCACTCCGTCGCGGGGATTTGAAACGCTGACCTTCCGATCAGCAAGCCCTAGGCTCAGTGGTTTAGACCACAGTGCCACCCGCGTCCCATACTGCTGTAATAGCATACATAAATAAATTTCTATAAAATTTAGGTAGTTCTGTCCCTATAATTCCCGAAAGAAAGTGATGATGTTGATGTTTTAATCAGTTTTGTGGAGAGGCAGACAAAAAACCCTCTTGTGAGGAGCAGCCATCTTACTAGCTCCAAACCCTGCTCTGGTGGGAGACGTCAGGGAATAGCTTTGGTGCTTTCTGCATGTAACACATTGCTCTTGGGTGGATGCCATTTTTAATCAATATGGCAGATCAAAAAGTGACTTTGGTGTGACTTTCGCAAAAAATCTTTTGCATTGGTTCAGCTGCCTCTCAATATTTTGTCACTGCACTTCGCATGGGGGTTCCTAAGGTGGAGGGGCATACTTTGTGGCCATTCAGACACTGGGTGCCATTTTGAATCAAGATGGCAGACCCAAATGTCACTTTGACAGTTTGTCTTGCCATTCCATTTTGGTTGGCACAATTTCTTTTTTCCAGTTTTTAGCAATTAGGATCCTTGCTGGAAAAAAGAAATTGTGCCAACAAAAAAGGAATGGCAAGACAAACTGTTAAAGTATATTGAACTGGCTAGATTAACAGAGGCAGTCAGAGATCATACTAGACAAGAATTTCAAAAAGCATGGGGAAAATGCAGAGAATACTTCACAAAACAGTGCCCTAAAATTCATACCTGGACTTGTTTCGATTAATGTCTGCAGGAGACTTTGTGGATATTTACGTTATAATTAGAAAAATCTTAATAATTATTCATAAAGGAAACAGCTTATAAGAAGTAAATAAGGATTCCAGAAACAGGATAAAGGAACTCTTTTATTTGGTTGTTTGTATTGTTGTATATTATGCTTGTTGTTTGTTATGTTTGTGTCTGATGGGGGTGGATTTCTGTGTTGGGGGTGGGGATTGTGTTATGTTGTAAATAAAATTTCCAATTAAAATTTATTTAAAACAACAACGAAAAACGTCACTTTGACATGACACCGCTTTTTTGACATAGCTTTGGCCCCCTCTCAATATATCATTGCCCTATTTGACAAGAGGAATCCTTATTGGGGATAGGGGCAGTCTACATGGATACATGGGTGTTGGGGTACATTTTGAATCAAGATGGCAGAGCCAATAGTAGTCCATTTTCTTTGGCCTTCCTTAGCGCTGACTGACTCAAAGGCAAACTGTCAAGAGTTCCAAGTGCAAGAATGGAGCAGAGCACTTAGACAGCACCTAACATTTTCAGTGTTATGAATGAGATCTCCTCTTCCCCTCTCGCCATTTGTCTGTTTAATGTTTTCTTTCTTTCCTAGGCGTTTGTTGAAACCATCAGGCTCCGGGACGAAGAGTTGTTGAAAGCTCAAACGAAAGAAAATGGCGACATCTTCATGTGGTTGAAGCACGAAGCGACAAGAGGAAACGCAGCTGCGCAGGTGGAGTTTTTGCTAGTAGACCTGAAAAATCGTCCTTTCTCTAGAAACTGAACTGAAGGGCAACTTCTTCTCACTTGGTTAAAATCAAGCTTGCGGCATGCAAAGCCGAGTGCTCAACCCACAACAGCTGGCAGGGATGCATGGTTCCACGCTGTATGCCAAACCGCACTGAAGGGGATTCAGATATACACAGTTCCCATCACTGCGGGTGGCGCTGTGAGTAAAACCTCAGCGCCTAGGACTTGCCGATCGCATGGTCGGCAGTTCGAATCCCCGCGGCGGGGTGAGCTCCCGTCGTTCGGTCCCAGCTCCTGCCCACCTAGCAGTTCGAAAGCACCCTTAAGTGCAAGTCGATAAATAGGTACCGCTTTATAGCGGGAAGGTAAACGGCATTTCCATGTGCTGCGCTGGTGCTGGCTCGCCAGAGCAGCTTCGTCACGCTGGCCACGTGACCCGGAAGTGTCTGCAGACAGCGCTGGCTCCCGGCCTCTTGAGCGAGATGAGCGCACTACCCTAGAGTCGGACACGACTGGCCCGTATGGGCAGGGGTACCTTTACCTTTACCACCACTGCAAGATACAGAGGTGCCTCGCAAGATGAAATTAATCCGTTCCGCGAGTCTCTTCGTCTTGCGATTTTTTCATCTTACGAAGCACGGCTATTAGCGGCTTAGCGGCTATTAACGGCTTAGCGGCTTAGCGGCTTTAAGAAAAAGGAAACAAACTCACAAGAACTCGCAAGACGTTTCGTCTTGCAAAGCAAGCCCATAGGGAAATTCGTCTTGCGGAACGACTCAAAAAACGGAAAACTCTTTCGTCTTGTGCGTTTTTCGTCTTATGAGGCATTCGTCTTGCGAGTTACCACTGTAATGTGATGAGCCTGTCAAAACAGCCCACCACAGAGCCAGTGTGGTGTAGTGGTTAAGAGCGGTAGACTCGTAATCTGGTGAACCGGGTTCACGTCTCCGCTCCTCCACATGCAGCTGCTGGGTGACCTTGAGCCAGTCACACTTCTTTGAAGTCTCTCAGCCCCACTCACCTCACAGAGTGTTTGTTGTGGGGGAGGAAGGGAAAGGAGATTGTTAGCCGCTTTGAGATTCCTTCGGGTAGTGATAAAGCGGGATATCAAATCCAAACTCCTCCTCCTCTTCTTCTTCTTCTTCTGCTTCTTCTTCTTCTTCTTCTTCTCCTCCTCCTCCTCCTCCTCCTCCTCCTCCTCCTCCTCTCCTCATTTGTCTGCTTAGCTATATTTTTTAGATTACCATATTTTTCACTCCATAAGACACACCTGACCATAAGACGCACCTAGTTTTTAGAGGAGGAAAACAAGGGGAAAAAATTCTGAATGAAACAGTGGATGTATCATTTTTGTGGTTCATGGTGTGGCCACAGACATGTGATTTGATGGTGAGTTTGGGGTAGCCCAATGCAAAAATCCTGAGAATCCATGTGGACCCGTCCTTTGTAACCACGTTTTTGCGCCATTGCGGCCCCAGGCAACAATGGGTGCGTGATTTTTTTGGTGCAGGCTGTAGCCATAGACATGCTATGTGATCTGATGGTAAACTTGGGGTGACCCAATACAAAAATCCTGAGGATCCATGTGCTTTAAAGGAGCCAACCGGACAGGAGCCGCTTACAGCCGTGTATACAGCTCCTCTCCCGCTTTGCTACTTCAAAGCGAGCCACGGAGGAGGGAAGGAAGGGGAACTATGGATCCTCTGCTGCCGACTGCAGCAGGACCCTCCTGTCATCCATAGGCATTCGCTCCATAAAACAGACATTTCCCCTTACCTTTTAGGAGGAAAAAAGTGTGTCTTATGGAGCAAAAATACAGCATTTTATTTTATTTTTTAATGTATCTGTTTATTTGGTTTTACATGTTAAAATTTACACCCATACCACAACACCTTCCACAAATACAAGACTCCCACAAATCCCTGGACTTCCCTCCTCCCCTCCGTGGGTCCTGTTTTAAAACGTTTTCTGCTACATCTTTTATAGTAATCCAAATTATTATGTTTCCATTACATCTATAGTTCTTGTTACATCACAAGTGTTATTGCAATCCCACTTAAAACAGGTTTTAACTGTTTACAATGGTCTCCAAGATAAGTTATAAATTTTGCCCATTCCTTATTAAAGATTTGATCTTCCTGATTTCTGATTTTCCCAGTCATTTTTGCCATGTCAGCATAGTCCATCAACTTGATCTGCCATTCTTGTCTGGTAGGGAATTTTTAGATTACTTTAAGCACCACCCTTGGACTTACGAAAACTGGCATAGATTCGCAAAATTCTGAAATGGATCTTGACAAGTACACACCTGAGATTTACGAACATCTTTCCTTTTGTTTCAGCAACGTTTAGGACAGATGCTTTTCTGGGGCCAGCAAGGAGTGGGGAAAAACACCAAAGCAGCTGTCGAGTGGTATGCAAAGGGAGCCTTGGAGACAGGAGACCTTGTATCTCTCTATGATTATTCCATCGTGTTATTCAAGGTAAAATAGAGAAACTGCTGCTTTTGTTACAGAACGTGACAGCATTTCAGAGAAGCATTCTTTGCAAACCTTACATAATCAAAATAAACATTCCAGTGTGAAATGAGTGATTTCCACCACTGAAATATGCTCGGAGTCGAGAGTGGATTTCATACTCTTTATTCAGCTCATAGCGGTGAGGAGGAATGGAAGTTCCCCCAGAATATCTGCTTTATATACATTATTTACACAATGGGCCCCACGTGATTGGCTAATTCCGGGATTCTCCCGTAAGCCAATCAGGTTGCCGATTCACTTCCACCTGGAGCTGGATTGGGTGGATCCTGCAGACCAATCATACTGCTGCATTGTTCTAGGACCAATCAGACTGCTGCATTCTGGGTCCTGTTGTTCTAGGACCAATCAGACTGCTGCATTTTGGATCCTATTCAACTGAGTACATAACAACCACCAAGTCAGCAATCCAGCCGAACCCCTTGATTTATTTCTTCAGCTCATAAATACCAAGTAGCCTTCCCCTGGTACCCACCCACTTCCACCACAAGGTGGTCCTGTCTGCCCCCATCCCCTTGAAAAGTGCATAGAGCTGGGATGCGGGTGGCTCTGTAGTCTAAACCACTGAGCCTCTTGGGCTTGCCAATCAGACGGTTGGTCGTTCGAATCCCCATGACGGGGTGAGCTTCCGTTGCTCGGTCCCTCTCCTGCCAACCTAGCAGTTCGAAAGCATGTCAAAGTGCAAGTAGATAAATAGGTACCACTGCGGCGGAAAGGTAAACGGTGTTTCCGTGCACTCTGGCACCCCTCACGGTGTCCCGTTGCACCAGAAGCAGTTTAGTCCTGCTGGCCACATGACCCGGAAAGCTGTCTGTGGACAAACGGCGGCTCCCTCAGCCTGAAAGCGAGATGAGTGCCGCAAACCCATACAGTGGTACCTCGGGTTACATACGCTTCAGGTTACAGACTCCGCTAACCCAGAAATAGTGCTTCAGGTTAAGAACTTTGCTTCAGGATAAGAACAGAAATCGTGCTCCGGCGGTGCGGCAGCAGCAGGAGGCCCCATTAGCTAAAGTGGTGCTTCAGGTTAAGAATAGTTTCAGGTTAAGAACGGACCTCTGGAACGAATTAAGTACTTAACCCAAGGTACCACTGTAGTTGCCTTTGACTGGACGCAACCGTCCAGGGGTCCTTTGCCTTTTGCATAGAGCTGGAGGAGGAAGCGAAAAGAGCAATGCTGGAAATGGTCATTTCAGGAACAATCTCTGCCCTTCTTATTCTGCAACTTCTCTGCAGTCTCCGTTATCAAGCCTTTCACGGCTTTGCCATCAAATGTCCTGACTTCTTCCTTAGCCAGTTTCCTGATTTATTTAAACAATCCTTTTATTGCTGGCTTTAATCCCCCCCTTTTTTTTTGCATCTTGTATTGGGTGCATTTTTGCTTTCCCTGTTTGGCCAAACTTCCATTTAACAGAACTTGCCTCTGTGTGGAATTACCCATTGGTACACATTAATATCCAGGGTCCTTTACCTTTAACCTTTACCTTTTACACATTAATATTAATGTGGGATGAGGAGGTTGCATTTTCGTGTGGAGGTCCCCAAGTCACCCCTCAAAATAATTCACAACTCACACATACTTTTTGTTTAAGGTTTTTGGCATAATTTTGGCCACAACTTTATTAAAATACATAATCTGTGAGTGGTTGCTTAGGCATTGGTTATGACTATCTGTCCTCCCGCCCGGGACAGTACTGACTATCCGAACTCCCTCGGAAGCCAGTGAAGGGAAAACAATGCTGGGGATCAGTTGAGCTGAGCAACAGTCCCTCACCGCTCACCCAACCAGCTCCCCAAGGCTTGCCGGCCCTGGTCCCATTTCAGGGACTGGACGAAATCGTGGCAAGCCCCAGGATTCCTTTAACGGAATTCCCTTCCACACCATCATTGGTGTTTTTATAACCAATGCCTAACCGCAACCTTACAAGTTGTGACGAATTGCTAAGTAGTAGGCAAAAACCAAATGGCCCCAGACAATCAGCCAAATGGACAAAATTCCTACAAGGCCCCTGCCCCAACGGCAGATGATCCCATGACAGGCATAGCAAGGTCAACCGGAACACAGGGCGGGCGGGCAGGTGATCTGTTGCACTCAGCGAAAGAGAAAGCAAAAGCAGAGTGCCCCAATATTTAAAGCCCTTGGTCCCACCCACAACATTGTAACATGCAATTTGCCCCAGCAACCCGGCCATCCAATCGTTGTCCCAGGCCAGCACAATTTTACCCGCCTGGCAACAGAAGGTTGGCTTGGCAGACCCCACCGCAACACGTGCTCTCATTTCAGGGAGAACACACTTTGTCAATTGGATACGAGGTTTTTGACGTTTCATGAGCATAAAAGATATATGGGTGCCTTGAGGAGGAAAAAAAATCCATTTTTTTTGCTAGGACACCAATTAATCATGGGAGAATCCTGCACATTTGAAAGTTACATCTGCATTTTTGTCCCTTTAAGCTAATGTGACTTTTCAGTGAGCGGGAATAGGAAAGGCTTTGTATAATCCTGATTTTTGTATTGCTTTAGGGCCAAGGTGTGAAAAAGAACAGAACACTTGCTTTACATCTGATGAAGAAAGCTGCATCCAAGGTAACTTCTACAAAAAACAGCTTCTGTAGGGGAATTTGAGCTGTCCAGCACTGTCTCTTGCCTGATGGAGCGTCCCCTTGCTGCAACACAGCGACATGCCGTAATATATCTGCTAATTTTTAAGGTCCCATGAGATTGTTGTTTTTTGCTGCAGGAGTCTAAGGCTTTGTATACCTTTAAAGCACATCCAAAGCACATTTTTTCCTCTCAGAGAATTCTGGGTACTGTATCTTGTTGAGCGCTGCTGAAAATAGTAACCCTGTGAGGGGAAAACTGTTATGTACTGAAGTTCTCATCCTGGGCCAGCAGGGGGATACTGTAGATAGTTTTTACTCAGGTCCTCATATGCAAATAAGGGATCGAAAGTGACGTTCAGTGATTGGATAGTTACAGAAAGTTGTTACAGTTGCGTTGTACTGGAGCTCTATATAAGCAGGCTGGCTGAACCCTTCAGTTCAGTTCTGTTCTGGCCTGCGAATAAACAAGAGCTGTTTGAAGAATCGCTGTGTCGTCTGATATGTTCACCCACAACTTAACACAAACTGCAGTGCCTAGACTTCTTTGAGAGAAATAATGTCCTTCGAATATGCTTTGAATGTGCTTAAGTGTGTACACAGCTTAAGGCAGCGACTTCTCCAGAAACTGCCAGGTACAGATGCAATCCTTGAAAGTCTAATGTACCTTAAGTTGCATTTAGGTCCCCGCAAATCCTGTGGTTGGTTTGTTTTTTATTTTGTTTGATTGTTTGTTATTTGTTTATTTTTTAATTTACATTTTTCAGGTTTATACATTTCACTGATTTTACAATCATTTTGACATTTCAAAACTTGACCTCCTTCCCCCTCTTTCTGCGGTTCCTTAAATTTATTTTCTAATATCTTCTGCATATCCAAATGAACGCAATTTGCTCATTTATTCATCTACTTTAAATATATACGCTTATGAAACTGCAGGTTATTACAACGATCCTGTCAGTGTTCTTATCTGTTTACAATTTCTCTGTAAAAAATCAGTAGACCATTTCCATTCTTTTATAAAAAGTTTGTTATCTTGATTTCTTATTCTGCCGATAAGTTTTGCCATTTCTGTGTATTCCGTAAGTTTTTGCATCCGCTCTTCCTTTGCTGGGACTTCTGCTTCTTTCCATTTGGTGGCAAGTACCAATAACATTCTTGCCGCTGTAGTAGCATACATAAATAAGTTTCTATACAGTTTAGGTAGTTCTACCCCTATAATTCCCAAAAGAAAAGCTTCTGGGTTTTTTACAAACGTTATTTTAAACATCATCTTCATTTCATTGTATATCATTTCCCAGTAAGCTTTAACCTTACTACAAGACCACCACATATGATAAAAATAACCTTCTTTCTCTTTACATTTCCAACAGTTATTTGATTTAGATTTATAATTTTTTGCCAATTTGCTCAGTGTTGGATAATATCGATATATCATTTTCATATAATTCTCTATTATAGTGCTGTAAATTTTATAACCATATTCCACAATCGTTCCCATGCTTCCGTGTCTATATTATGTTTGTTTGTTTTTTAAAGCTGTTTAACTTCCTGCTTTTATAGATAGACAAGACTGACCATAAGCATATCTTTATTATCATCCTGATTCCTAAAATATGTTAATCAGGCATCTCCCTCCATGCTAGAAACAGCCACATGAGACAAAAAGTTGCTCTTGCATCCTTGTTTGCTGAAATATACTCGGAGTCGAGAGTGGATTTCATGCTCTTTATTCAGCTCATAGCGGTGAAGAGGAATGGAAATTCCCCCAAAGTATCTGCTTTATATACATTATTTACACAATGGGCTGCACGTGATTGGCTAATTCCGGAATTCTCCTGTAGGCCAATCAAGTTGTGGATTCACTTCCATCTGGAGCTGGATTGGGTGGCTCCTGCAGACCAGTCAGACTGCTGCATTCTGAATCCTATTGTTCTAGGACCAATCAGACTGCTGCATTTTGGATCCTATTGTTCTAGGACCAATCAGACTGCTGCATTTTGGATCCTATTCAACTCAGTACATAACATTTGCCATACCCTGCTGCCCTGTGTAAGATATCTCTACATACAGAAAGCTATTTATTTTTTTTGTGGGGGGAAGTTTTGATGTGAGGGAGTATTCATGTGACTCACCTGTAACAGAAACAGGGCGTGAGGGGTGCTAAAAAGTTACAATATGACTTGGGAATTCCAAAGATATTTTGGTTAATTTAGTTTTCCTTGTTAAGTAATATGTGCGCAGAATGGCATACAAATCATTAACAGTGATTGCCAAGTTCTTGTGGTTACGTTATGTATTAATATTGACAATGGTGGCGATGCATTACCTGACATTTTCAGAAGGAAAAGAATTTAAATTCTTTGGTTTTTCCAAAAGCAGTTTATGCACCTTTTCATCAAACATAGTCTTGCCAAGCTAAATGTTGCCCAGTCACAAAAATGATAGCAGATTTGAATTCCTCACACCCCAAAAACATATATTTTTAAGGCCCGTCACTGAATAAATTTGCAAAAATTACATTTCACCCCTTAAAACAATACACTCTGATTGCATCATGTCCTCTTTCCGGAGGTTTGATTTGATTGCTTGACAATTGGCTGGGAATAATAATAATAATAATAATAATAATAATAATAATAATAATTGTTATGTACTGAAGTTCTCACCCTGGGCCAGCAGGGGGATACTGTAGATAGTTCAGGTCCACATATGCAAATAAGGGATTGAAAGTGATGTTCAGTGATTGGATAGTTACAGAAAATGGTTACTGTTGAGTTCTAGTGGAGCTCTGTATAAGCAGGCTGCCTGAACCCTTCAGTTCAGTTCTGTTCTGGCCTGTGAATAAACAAGAGCTGTTTGAAGAATCGCTGTGTCATCTGATATGTTCACCCACAACTTAACAATAATAAGAATAATAATTTATTATTTATGCTCTGCCCCTCTGGCTGGGTTTCCCCAGCCACTCTGGGCATCTTCCAACAAAATGTGGGAGATGTCCCCAGGGGTTTTATCTGAGAGCAGCCTGGACTTAGCCCCATGTCTTTCCATAAGGTGTTGGGTCCTTAAACAAAAGAAATCAGGGACTGAAACACTCTCAGCCTGAAAGATCTTAAGATTTCCCCTTTTGCTCCCTTCCTGCCTGCAGGGACTGCCTCAAGCACTGAATGGCCTCGGTTGGTATTATCATAACTTCAAAAGAGACTATGAGAAGGCAGCCGGATACTGGTTAAAAGCTGAAGCTATGGGCAATCCTGATTCATCCTTCAACCTCGGCGTCTTATATTTAGATGGAGTGTATCCAGGAATAACTGGGAGAAACAAAGTGAGTGTAAATAGTTTGTTTATTTACCTTCTGGTGATATTGCAGCACGGATAAGTATTAAACAACATTTTTCTCTTTGGATTCTCAAAATTTTAATAGAGAGGCGGCCATTTCAAATGGCAGTCAGTACACAAATGGTAGCTAATAACTTCTGTTTCAATTTTTTTTAAAACTTGCATTTTTCCTTATGCATACATTGTTGACATTATAGAAAGATGAAACAAGCAAAAGTTTTATTTTTCTACTGCTTTTCCCCCACTTTGCAGACTGTTGCTGCTGACTATTTCTTGAAAGCGGCAGAAAGTGGTCACATGGAAGGCACATTACGGTGTTCACAGTATTATATTACAGGAAACTTAGCGAGCTTCCCCAGGGATCCTGAAAAAGCAGTAATGTAAGTAGTGCTAAGAAATGCATTGAGAACAAAAAAATAAAATAAAAATCAAATTTCTTAAACCAGGAATCATTGTGACTGCAAAAAAGAAAAAGAAAAAAGAAAAATGGTTGCATGTTAAAATCACCAAAACTGCCTAGAAATAAATTCACACATGACTCAAATTTTAGTTTGAGTTTGGCATAATTTTGGCCACAACTTTATTGATTACAGGCTGTGATTGGTTTGCTTAGGCATTGGTTCAGACTGTCTGAACCTGTGCCAGACTATCCAGGACAGGAACAGAACTGACAACTGCCAGTTGCAGAGATTAGTCAAGGTAAGCACCCCGGGAGATCGATTGGGATGGGTGCAGATCCCTAAGATCACACTCAGAATGCTCCCGGGGGCTCTTGCGCGGCCCTATCCCCCTTTCAGGGGTCAGACAAATTCATGATGAGCCCCTGGATTCCTTTAACGGAATACCTACGCAGCAACCATCGGAGGGACAAGTCACAGCCACGTCTCGTCCCCTCCATACACATTAACCAATGCCTAACCGCAAACCTTGGGTGGTGCTGTGGGTTAAACCACAGAGCCTAGGACTTGCCGATCAGAAGGTCGGCAGTTCGAATCCCCACGATGGGGTGAGCTCCCGTTGTTCGGTCCCAGCTCCTGCCAACCTAGCAGTTCGAAAGCATGTCAAAGTGCAAGTAGATAAATAGGTACCGCTCCGGCGGGAAGGTAAACGGCGTTTTCCGTGCACTGCTCTGGTTCGCCAGAAGCAGCTTAGTCATGCTGGCCACATGACCCAGAAGCTGTACGCCGGCTTCCTTGGCCAGTAAAGCGAGATGAGCGCCGCAACCCCAGAGTCGGCCATGACTGGACCTAATGGTCAGGGGTCCCTTTACCTTTACCTAGGCAAAAGCCAAGTGGCACCAGCCAATCAGCCAAGTGAGAAAAATTCCTACCGGGCCCTTGCCCTAAAAGCAGATGACCCACAATGGTATAGCAAGGTCAACATGAACCCTAAATATAGGGAGAGGATGAGATGGTTGGACAGTGTTGTCGAAGCTACGAACATGAGTTCGAACAAACTGCGAGAGGCTGTGGAAGACAGGAGTGCCTGGCGTGCTCTGGCCCATGGGGTCACGAAGAGTCAGACACGACTAAAGGACTAAACAACAACAACAAATATAGGGAGGGTGGGTGGGTGATCCGGTGGGCGAAACAGAGGAATCTCAACGCAACGTGCAGCAGTATATATCTGTCCCTCGGAAGCAATTTCTGCAACCCCATTGGCCGGAACAAGTCCCATGCTTCCGAGGGACCAATCGAGTATCTGTGGCAAAGCGGGTTCTCCTTCATGGAGAGCGTGTGTTACGGTGGGGCCAACCATGACATCCCCCTGTTGCTGGGCGGGTTAGTTTGGATGGCCACGAATTTGGGCACCTCCAATTGTTGCTGGGAAGAATTTATTGTTGCAATTTTATTTGATTGATGGGCTGCTATATATTCCCTATGCGCAGCGTTGAGCTTCCTCTTTTCTCTGCGCATATCGGATTACCTGCCCACCCTCCCTTTATTTAGGGCTTGTTTGCGCTGACCTTGCTACGCCTGTCATGGGGTCGTCTGTTATTGGGGCAGGGGCCTGTTGGAATTTTACCATTAGGCTGATCGGCTGGTGCCATTTGGTTTTTGCCTACTGTGTAGCAAATCGTCACAACTTGTAAGGTTGCAGTTAAAAGGTAAAGGTAAAAGGACCCCTGACCATTAGGTCCAGTCGTGACCAACTCTGGGGTTGTGGCACTCATCTCGCTTTATTAGCCGAGGGAGCCAGTGTACAGCTTCCAGGTCATGTGGCCAGCATGACTAAGCCGCTTCTGGCGAACCAGAGCAGCGCATGGAAACGCCGTTTACCTTCCCACCGGAGGGGTACCTATTTATCTACCTGCACTTTGATGTGCTTTCGAACTGCTAGGTTGGCAGGAGCAGGGACCAAGCAACGGGAGCTCACCCCGTCGTGGGGATTCGAACTGCCGACCTTCTGATCGGCATGTCCTAGGCTCTGTGGTTTAACCCACAGCGCCACCAGCGTCCCATAAGGTTGCAGTTAGGCACTGGTTAATTTTGTTTGGTGTAGGGGATGTGGTTGGCTGTGCCTGCCCCTCCAATGCTGCTGCTGGAAGGGTATTTCGTTAAAGGAATCCAGGACTCGCCATGCACTTGTCCGAAACCCTGGCAAGGGGCTAGGGCCATGCAAGAGCCCCTGGGAGCGTTTGGGGAGAGGTGAGAGCCTGACGCCCAGCTCTATTCTCTCCTCAAAAATGTTTACCCTTACTGACTTCCACAGGCTTGCGGTTGTCAGTTTTGTTCCTACCTCTAAGTGGAAACAGATAGTCGCTAACCAATGCCTAAGCAACCACTCACATACTGTAATCTATAAAGCTGTGGCCAAAATTATGCCAAAAACCAAAACAATTTTGTGTGTGTGATCTTTGTCTTTATTTGAGGGTGTGCTGGGGGTCCTCAACACGCAATCCAAACTTACCCACCCCAGCAACAGAGAGTCTGTTGTGGTGACCTCACCGCAACACGTGCTCTCTGGGAGGAGAACCCGATTTTCAGTGACCTTGACGTTCCAAACCTATACTTGTTTTCTTCTTTCTTTTTCATACCCTGTTCACTGTGTCACTTTTTGGGCTGAGAGGATTTGCATTTCTGAAGCTTAAATTTCACATTTCATGGAGGGAGGGAGCCCTGAGTCTTACATTGGCAGTGAAGCAAACGCCCTCCTTCCTTTCTCTTCTCCTCCAAGAAGGTCCCCATCTCATCCTAATCTGGAAGTACTTAATGGAGTTGAGGGCTATTCTCATACTTCTTCACAATGTGAGGACTGCTGGCAGGTGTCCGCCATTGCAGAGACGGGCAAGAAAGCAAGGGGCTAGAACAACGTGAGAAACAGCATGTTGGGAAGCAGGAGATTCTCCTAGAGTTCATTGATTTGGGTTGAGGTGTGTGCAGGCGTTTGCCTGCCACAAAGTTGGCTGCAGACTTCGAATGCTAATGTTTCTGTTCTTATTTTCAGCTGGGCAAAATATGTGGCAGAAAAGAACGGCTATTTAGGCCACGTCATTCAAAAAGCTCTCAACGCTTATCTGGAATTGTCTTGGTAGGTCTGGTGCTTCTTTTCTGTATGTATAAATAATAAATTTATTATTATTATTATTATTACAGTGGTACCTCAGGTTAAGTACTTAATTCGTTCCTGAGGTCCATACTTAACCTGAAACTGTTCTTAACCTGAAGCACCACTTTAGCTAATGGGGCCTCCTGCTGCTGCTGCGCCGCCAGAGCACGATTTCTGTTCTCATCCTGAGGCAAAGTTCTTAACTTGAGGTAATATTTCTGGGTTAGCGGAGTATGTAACCAGAAGCGTATATAATCTGAAGCGTATGTTACCCGATGTACCACTGTATATGCAAGAGGTATGTTAACTGAGAAAGCAAAATAACACAATGACTACAAAAGATAAATTAAATTCAGAATGGGAATTCTATATTTCTATGCTGTGAAATGGCCACCTAATAGTAGTTAAATTAGAACAATTGACTGATTTATCCTTTTCCTAACACTGTGTTCCCAACAGATGCAACTGCACAAAGGCCAAATCATTAGCTCAATACGAAAAACCCAGGGACAAACTAGATGAGACATTTGTGACCTATTATTAGATCTCCAGTCTCTTAAGTTTTGGCAAATAGCAGCCATGGGTGGGGAGGGCATATGTAAGTTTCTTGTAATGTGGCAAATAGCCACTCTGCGTGAGTGACCTTTATTTGGAAAACGGTGTTTGGTGGTGGTGGTGGGCTGTACTGCAGCCCCGATTAGAATCCAGGAGCAACTACCCTTGGGGGGGGGCAGTGCTATTTGCTAAAATTTAAAGAAATCAGATCTCCACCATTCCCTCAATTTTGCCCTCAGCATGACCTAAAACAATTCAGTGTTCAAAGCAGAAAAACCTAATGAACCCTCCATTATAGCACAAATAAAGGTAAAGGTAAAGGTAAAGGGACACGGGTGGCGCTGTGGTTTAACCACAGAGCCTAGGACTTGCTGATCAGAAGGTCGGCGGTTCGAATCCCCGCAACGGGGTGAGGTCCCGTTGCTCGGTCCCTGCTCCTGCCAACCTAGCAGTTCGAAAGCACAAAGTGCAAATAGAAAAATAGGTACTGCTCCGGTGGGAAGGTAAACGGCGTTTCCGTGTGCTGCTCTGGTTTGCCAGAAGCGGCTTAGTCATGCTGGCCACATGACCCGGAAGCTGTACGCCGGCTCCCTCGGCCAATAAAGAGAGACAAGCGCCGCAACCCCAGAGTCAGTCACGACTGGACCTAATGGTCAGGGGTCCCTTTACCTTTAGCTAAAGGTAAAGTACCCCTGGAAGATTAAGTCAAGTAAAAGGTGATTATGGGGTTGCGGCACTTATCTTGCTTTCAGGCCGGCGTTTGTCCACAGACAGCTTTCCAGGTCATGTGGCTAGCATGACCAAGCCATTTCTAGTGCAACAGAACACCATGATGGAAACCAGAGCGCATGGAAACTCTGTTTACCTTCCTGCCCCAGTGGTACCTATTTATCTACTTGCACTGGTGTGCTTTCAAACTGCTAGGTTGGCAGGAGCTGGGATAGAGCAATAGGAGCTCACCCCGTCGTGGGGATTCAAACTGCCGACCTTCTAATCGGCAAGCCCAAGAGGCTCAGTGGTTTAGACCACAGCACCACCCTTACAGCACAAATATAATAACAATAAACACCATCACAGACAACTTTCTGCCCTTTAATGATAGTCTGAATTTAGTGTATCTCAATCCACATGCAGAACTCCCAGAGCATTTTCTGGCTACAGTTTGGTGAAACTCTACATGCAAAGGATCCATGTGAAAGCTAGGAGGCAGATTGCCAAAGTTTAAACCAGCTGCTAATCCTTATCCTTCACTTTTAAGTTTTGACCAGTAGATGTAGCTGTTGATTCGGAGTGCCAACCTTTCTTCCCCAAGCTCTGTGTAAAAGCCACAACCTATTTCAGATTGGAGGGAAGCACCAATGGGATCTTCTTTTCAAGATCTAATAGCATCTCTGCAGGCAGGGAGAGTTTTCATGACGTAGTCCTAACCATGACCATGGGCTGGGGTCAGGGTGGGAGCACAAGCAGCTGTTTACAGTTTGCTTTCTTCAGATTAATTCAGCTAAAAGTGATGCATTTTGCATCATGTGTCATTTTTCCGAAACTCTTAGGGCCTAACTAGACATACAGTGGTACCTCAGGTTAAATACGCTTCAGGTTACACACTCCGCTAACCCAGAAATAGTGCTTCAGGTTAAGAACTTTGCTTCAGGATGAGAACAGAAATCGGGCTCCGACGGCGCGGCGGCAGCAGGAGGCTCCATTAGCTAAAGTTAATGGAGGTTAAGAACAGTTTCAGGTTAAGAACGGACCTCCGGAATGAATTAAGTACTTAACCTGAGGTACCACTGTAATAGGAGTGGACTCATTTATCTGAATTGGATAATCCTCAAATTTACATGAAGCAGAGTAAGGTAGAGCTCTTCCCTGCTTTCAGCTTTTTCAGCAAGTTTTTTCTTTCTCAATGGAACTCTGAAATCAGAGGTAACCTCTACAGGGCAAAATATTAGGATAGAATCAGAGAACAAGGATCATCTAGTGGCAATGCAGGAATCTCAATATGCGTTCCCCATCCAGTTTGAAACCATACTGGACCCTGCTTAGCTTTGCAAATTTGCTATCCATTTTACTGCTGCACCACTCAAAGGGGAGAAGAGATTTTCTTAGAAGGGGTTTTTTTTTTTGGCATGGGTAGGTTGGATGTTCAACAGCTGCCACCTGCACAACACCGTTGCACTTCAAAAGCTCCCCACCTTGTATTAGTTCTGCATGAGCTGAATGGAACTATGCCAATGTCATCTCTAATTTTGTCCTTAATTTAAACCCGTTGTCTTCTCAGAACCCTTCCTTCTCTTTCAAGCAAGGCCTGTGTTCTGCAGATGATTCTGTGGAATGTTTTAGGGTGTGTACTCTGACCTGTCCCATCACTGTCTCTCTGCCTAACCTACCTCACAGGGATGTTGTGATGTGGAAATGAAGAGCGAGTGTGGCTTCCTTGAGCTCCTCAGGCCTTATTGTTATCCTGTGTCAATTGAGAATGTGCCCTAAAACAGACTTAAGACTCTTTTGCTGTGGCACATTCCAGGAGGAATATCAGTACTGCTGAACAATCTGTCTCTATTCTTCTTCCTCCACCTCTTCTTCTTCTTCTTCTTCTTCTTCTTCTTCTTCTTCTTCTTCTTCTTTGGCGATCACTGATAGCCAAGTAAGATTGTCTTACATAAACACGGTCTTAACAGTGAGTCCGTAAATGATTGTGGAGGCCAATTCTGGATCCACACATCCTTCCACAGTGGGGACATAGGTTTCCAGGTGGGAGATGATCATGGTGAGGTTTGGCCAAGCATGCCTTCCTCTTAGCATGTTCCACCATTTCGTCCTGAGTTCGAGCATCTTCAATGCCCATGGCACCTTTGGTAAATCGGGTCCTCCCTTAAAGAGGGCACATATTGTGGTGAGATCTGGCAACCAAACCCTGTGTTGTGGGTGGGTTTGATTGAATATCCACAACACCCAATTGGTAGGTCCCTTGATGCTGGGTTCAATCAGGCCAATGGGACACAAGCTAAATGGATCAAGGGACCTATATATACATATGCACATGACCCAGAGCTTCCTCTTTCGGTGCGTTCATCGGAACACCCACCCACCTCTCCCTATATTTAGGGCTGTGCGCTTCACCTTGCTATGCCGTCATGTGTCGTCTGTCGTTGGGACAGGGGCATGGCAGGAATTTTCCCCACTTGGCTGATTGGCTGGTGCCATTTGGGTTTTGTCTGCTGCATAGCAAATCGTCACAACTTGTAAGGTTGCGGATAGGCTCTGGTTCAGGTGATAGGGATGGGAGAACGCTCTCGCCATCCCTATGTGAAGGGTATTCCATTAAAGGAATCCAGGGACTCAATGGTTTGGTCAACCCTGTGAGGGGGTTGTGCCCATGCCTGAGTCCAGGGGGGCATCTGGGTGGTGGACATAGCCTGTTCCCAGCTGTCTGCTTATGCGGGTGTTCACCCTAGGCTGACCCATGCTGGTGCCCTGGGTCAGCGCTACCTGCATGACAGGGAGCTAGCTGAACCAGAGCCTATGCAACCACTCACTTGCTGTAATCAATAAAGTTGTGGCCTAAATTCTGCCAAAAACCAAGCCAAAAATTTGAGTCTCGTCTGAATTTATTTAAGGGGGATGTTTAAAGGTCTGAACATGCAAAGGCTGTTCTCCAATGGGAGCGCTCGCGGGCCAGTGTTTCCCAGTTATCAGTGTTCTGCCGCTGTTTGAAGCCACTGTGCCAAACTATTTCTGATGTTTCCTTGTATTCACCTTGCATTTCTCTTTCTCACACCCCTTGGGTTTTAGGCATGAAGCCCTGCTTTATTACCTTCTGTCTGCAGAGACTGGAATCGAGGTGTCACAGACAAACATGGCACATCTCTGCGAAGAGAGGCCAGTAAGTACCATATATGTGATTCCACACCCTCTTGTTGTTTTAAATCCTTAAATATTTTCCTGGAAGCATACTGAGTCATTCTTTCTCTCCCACACCCTGTGTTCTAGAATATGACAGAAAGATACATGGATGTTGACTGCATTTGGAGATATTATAATTTCTCGGTTTCTCAGAAAAATGCTCCCTCATTTGGTACGTATAACAACCCGTTACAGATAAAGTTATTTGTGTGCTTTTGAGTGTTGCAAAATGACCTCCTTTTTTCTTTTTTTAAATAATTGGTTTTCAGATAAAAGTTTTACAATCATATATCCAATATACAAGGGACGCGGGCGGCACTGTGGGTTAAACCATAGAGCCTAGGACTTGCCAATCAGAAGGCTGGCGGTTCGAATCCCTGCGATGGAGTGAGCTCCCGTTGCTCGGTCCCTGCTCCTGCCAACCTAGCAGTTCGAAAGCACGAAGTGCAAGTAGATAGATAGGTACCACTCTGGCGGGAAGGTAAACGGCGTTTCTGTGCGCTGCTCTGGTTCGCCAGAAGTGGCTTAGTCATGCTGGCCACATGACCTGGAAGCTGTACGCCGGCTCCCTCGGCCAATAAAGCGAGATGAGCGCCGCAACCCCAGAGTCAGCCACGACTGGACCTAATGGTCAGGGGTCCCTTTACCTTTTATCCAATATACAACATAAAAACAATATTCCTGGACTTCTCTCCTCCCCTTTGTGGGTCCTATTGTTAATCATTTCCTCCTGCATCTTTTATGATAATCCAGATATTTTACATCTCCATTGTGTCCAAAGTTCACAATTAAACTGCGTGTGTTATTCCCATCCTACTAATGATTTTAACTGTTTGCAATTGGTTTTTAAGATAAATTATAACTTTACCCCAATCCTTATTCAAATACTGGCCTTCCTGATTTCTGATTCCTTCGGTCATTTTTGCCAATTCGGCATAATCCACCAACTTAATTTGCCATTCTGTTCTGGTAAGGACTTTATCTTCTTTCCATCTCTGGGCGCAAAATGACCACCTTTTGGCTTGTTTGCAATCAATCAAAGATCATTGCAAAAGATCATTGATCAGGACCACTGGAATTTGTCATAGCCTGAGCTGCGAAGGAGGGAATCACCTACGCAGTCTTTAATGCAGCTGCTTCTTTCCACAGCTTATCTGAAGGTGGGAGATTTCTACTACTATGGATATCGGAATCAATCCAGAAACTTGGATATCTCAGTACAGATGTATGCACAAGCTGCCTTGTATGGAGACGCACAGGTAGGTTCTTGCTGGTTGGGGAATGAAAGGGCTGATCATCAGAAAACCTGAGGCCTTTTCTGAAGGCTCTTGAGATCTGCAGTGTCCCACAAACCCCTGTCACGTTCAGGGCCGTCTTTAGCATTTGCGCGTGGAGGTCCCCAAGACACTCCCCAAAGAAAAACACAATTGACACTTAATTTTTGTTTAAGGTTTTTGGCATAATTTTGGCCACAACTTTATTCAAATTACAGCAATGTGAGTGGTTGCTTAGGCATTGGTAGCACTAACTGACCCCGCACGGGGACAGCTCTGACATTCGCACCCCCCGCGAAGTCAGCAAGGGTAAGTCACCTGGGGAGAGAGACGGGACTGGGAACCATGCCTCACCTCTCCCCAGAATGCTCCCAGGGGCTCTTGCGTGGCCCTAGCCCCTTGCCAGGGGGTTTTGGACAAAAGCATGGGGAGCCCCTGGGTTCCTTTAACGGAAAACCCTTGAAGCAGCAGCAGCATTTTGGAGGGGCAGGCACAGCCAAATCCATACCCCTCCACCAACCAATTCCCAAACCAATGCCTAACCGCAACCTTACAAGTTGTGACGATTTGCTACGCAGTAGGCAAAAACCAAGTGGCACACACTAATCAGCCAAATGGACAAAATTCCTACCGGGCCCCTGCCCCAAAGCAGACGACCCCATGACAGGCATAGCAAGGTCAAGCAAACAGCCTAAAATTAGGGAAGGGAGGGCGGGTGATCCGAAGCACGCAGCGAAAAGAGGAAGTTCGTCGCTGCGAGCATTGTATTTAACAAATAGGGCTGTCAATCAACAAATGGCAACATCTAGATTTCCCCAGTAACAGCCCGCCCCTGCTTAAAGGATGGCCAAACCATTTGCCTAGCAACAGTGAGGTGTCTCGTCAGCCCCGCCCGCAACCCGTGCTCTCCATGAGGGAGAACACACTATGCAGCGCCGGGGTGCAAAAAAAACGCCCAGTGCCCCCAATTTGGGGGGTGGGGGAGACTAAAGCTGTTGAGCTTTCTTGCAGGTTGTAATTTATGAATTGACGAGGGAGCTTCTTGCTCCAGGCCTGCATTATCTGTCTTGGTGAATTCTTCACCAGCTTCTCTGGCTCCTTGTCCCCTTTAAAAGCAAAAACGCCCAATGCCTTTTGCCACAGAGCCGTGAAGTGCTATTTGTTTGACTGGAAATGCCTTCGTTTTGCACGTTGCAGGGGTTCTTTAATTTGGCTGTTCTCCTGGAAGAAGGCTATTCCATCCCTCATCACATTTTAGACCATTTAGGAATTGACAGGACCATCAACTCCAGTAATGCAAACGTGCTCCAGGAGCTTTATGAAAGGTGAGACTCTTCTTGTCCATCATTGCCGTCCTTAAAACGTTAAGAGCAGGTTTTTATTTAGCACGGTGTGAAATGTGAAGCAACAGAAATAATAGCAAGATGCCATAAAATTGGCAACAACGTTAAAATGCCTAAGATGGTGGTCTTCAAAATGTATTCTAGGGGACCCTGGGGTCTGTCAGAAGCATACCAAGAGTTCCTCAAAGAGAAGATCAGTAACGGCAAATCCTTTCCTGGAAGACAACTCTCTGCCTTGCCACTATTTTCTCCATGCAGCGTGCAAGTTGCAGGAGAAGCTCTGAGCACCCTCAGAATGGGCCCATGCTCATTGTGAACTGATAGTGTTCCCTGAGCTCCATGAAGTTCCTCTGGCAAGCAAATCCTGGGGAAAATATTTTCCTGAAGGTAGAAAGCTTGAGACTCCCTGGTCTTTAGGAATGGAAAAGTTATCACAAGCCACCAAGAACAGCAAAACAGGATGGCTTGTTGGGCCACAGTACTCTTCCAAAAGAATGCTAGACCTCTTCAGGTGTTCTCCTGTGTCTGCTGGCCGTTCCTCCTTGACATCTACACATAACAACAACAACAACAACAACAACAACATATTATTATTATTTATTTATTTTTTTAAATAATATTTATTAAGATTTAAAAGATTACAAAAAGAAAAAATAGAAAACAGCATATTAAGCAAAAACAGAACATCATATCATGATAAAGAAAAGAAGAAAAAAGGGGGGGGGATACAATGAATCTTCCCATAACTTATCTTTCATTTGCTTGTTTCCTTGACCTCCTCACACCTCCCTTTTTTGTATTCTAGTTCAGTTAGCTATTTCAGCAAGTCCTTTCCATCTTTTCCAGTTTTTGTCCTCTATTTTATCTTAATATAATGTAACTTTACTTTCCCTCCTTTCACCATTTAACAATCTGTTTTTTCTTAATCCTTTATAGCATTTCTGCTAAAACCACATTACTTCATTCCAACATCCTTCTAACATTCCTTAATTTTACAATGTTTCTGTAAATAAACTTTAAATTTCTTCCAATCTTCTTCCACCGACTCTTCTCCCTGGTCTCGGATTCTGCCAGTCATTTCCGCCAGTTCCATGTAGTTCATCATATTATTATTATTATTATTTAAATCCCGCCCATCTGGGGGGCTCCCAACAGAATATTAAAAACACGACAAAACTTCACACATTAAAAACTTCCCTAAATAGGGTTGCCTTCAGATGTCTTCTAAAAGGCAGATAGTTGCTTATTTCTTTGACATCTGCTGAGAAGGCGTTCCACAGGGCGGGTGCCACTGCTGAGAAGGCCCTCTGCCTGGTTCCCTGTACCTCACTTCTCGCAGTGAGGGAACTGCCAGAAGGCCCTCGGCGCTGGACCTCAGTGTCCGGGCACAACGATGGGGGTGGAGACACTCCTTCAGGTATCCTCGGCCGAGGCCGTTTAGGACTTTAAAGGTCAGCACCAACAATTTGAATTGTGCTTGGAAACGTTCTGGGAGCCAATGTAGGTCTTTCAGGACCGGTGTTATATGGTCTCAGCAGCCTCTCCCAGTCACCAGTCTAGCTGCCGCATTCTGGATTAGTTGTAGTTTCCAGGTCACCTTCAAAGGTAGCCCCACAGAGAGCGCATTGCAGTAATCCAAGCGGGAGATAACCAGAGCATGCACCACTCTGGCAAGACAGTCTGTGGGCAGGTGGGGTCTCAGCCTGTGTACCAGATGGAGCTGGTAGGCAGCTGCCCTGGACACAGGATTGACCTACGCCTCCATGGACAGCTGTGAGTCCAAAATGACTCCCAGGCTGCGCACCTGGTCCTTCAGGGGCACAGTTACCCCATTCAGGACCAGGGAGTCCTCCACACTGAGAAGGCCTGAAGAGGAAAAACATTCTCCTTCCTCCTGCTGGCCTTTGACTCAGAGTATGGATTTCGCCATGTTCTAAATCACGAGGAGTACCTACATGCACAGAAAAAGGCTTCGCTCTTCAGAGTTTCCCTTCTAACACATGAATGACAGGTCTAGGGCCTGTGGACATGGTCCCACTCTCTTCCACCTCATGACTGTTATTACCCAGGTGAGAATGCCCGAAGGAGGCTCTGAAGCCACCACTGACTGAGAAGACCTCTTTCCAAAACAACACAAGATCCAAAACTTCCCCACAAGCCTAGGCAGCATGCTTGCTCAAAATTTCGTGCCAAGAAGCTGAATTTGACATCAACAGAAGTAGCTTTAGGACTGCAATCTTTAAGTTCTAGATGGTTGAGAACCTTTTGATTGTTCCTCAACTCTCATCAGAGCTGCAGCCATTTCCTCAAGCTACCTGAACAGCTGGTCATAATTTTAATCACAGTAACTCAACTAATAAATGAGAACATGTCATAAGGTGGTGGTGGAAGACCATATGATGGGCTCTTTGATGTGGAAGGAAAGTCTGTGCCCTATCACTGATGGCCCCAGTTAAGACTCAAGCCTTCTATCTGCCTGGCTTTACTCCTTCATCTGCATAGTCCTTGTCTGCTCTTGCGACAGGCTGCTGAGATCAATAATAATAATAATAATAATAATAATAATAATAATAATAAATTTTATTTATATCCCGCCCTCCCCAGCCGAAGCCGGGCTCAGGGCGGCTAACAACAATAAAATAATACAACATTCTAAAATCATTTCATTCTAAAATTAATTCAAATCAAATTGATGGCAACCATTGGGCTAGAGTTCTGTGAAGATTGCCAAAGGAGGGAGTCAGGCTGTGCCCTGGCCAAAGGCCTGGTGGAACAGCTCTGTCTTGCAGGCCCTGCAGAAAGATGTCAAGTCCTGCAGCGCCCTAGTCTCTTGTGACAGAGCGTTCCACCAGATTGGAGCCACAGCCGAAAAAGCCCTGGCTCTAGTTGAGGCCAGCCTAACCTCTCTGTGGCCTGGGACCTCCAAGATGTTTTTGTTTGAAGACCGTAAGTTCCTCTGTGGGACGTACCAGGAGAGGCGGTCCCGTAGGTACGAGGGTCCTAGGTATATTTTTTATTTGACATTGATGTCTTTCTTATTGTTGTCCATAGGTGTTGGAGCTATAGCAACCAAGAATCAGTCAGTCCATGCACTTTAGCTTTGCTTTATTTCCACCTGCGTGTTTTCTGGAAGACAACTTTGCATTCTGGTCTGGTGCGTACAACTCCACTGTTCTTTCAGTAAATGCCTGGCATTTTGTGCTCTGACTAATACAAGCTTCTGAATTCCTTGCAGATTTACTTCCTGGGCTCCTTGTTTGTCTCTACATTGGTTGTATTTGTCATACAGTGTTTCCGGGCTCTGTTGGGTAAGTATCTAGCAGCAGCCATAGCCCTGAAGAACAAAAAAATAATAACAAAATCACAGGTGTACAAGGCTTTTTTAAATAGAATATTCCATGTGTTTGATTACATAAGCTGTTGCTCTGTCCCATTTGTTTTCCTCGATAGAAAAAGGAATCAAACTAGATTTTTTAAGACTACTGAAGGCAAACAGGTCAAAAAGCCTAGTTTACTTTTTCACTACAGAGGGGAAAGAATTGAGATCGGATGCCAGCATAAATAATAAAAACATGGAATGAAAATGTAGCCTTGCACAGTTCTGATTTTATTCATATTTTATTTTTATTTATTTCATTTTGATCCACATTTTGATCCATTTATTTATTTCATTTGGTTCACCCCTTGTGAACCAGCAACTCTTTAAAAAGGGACCACCTACAGTGGATACGAACGGGATCCGTTCCGGAGCCCCGTTCGCATCCAGAAGCAAACGCAACCTGCGTCTGCGCGTGCACAGGTCGCGATTCGCCGCTTCCGCGCATGTGCGTGATGTCATTTTGACTGTCTGTGCATGCATGAGCGGCGGAACCCGGAAGTAACGCTCTTCATTACTTCCGGGTCGCTGCAGCGCGCAACCTGAAAATACTCATCCCGAAGCTACTTCAACCCGAGGTATGACTGTATAGCCTAGCCCAATACCACCAGTAACTAGGTAAAGGTAAAGGGACCCCTGACCAGTAGGTCCAGTCGTGGCCAACTCTGGGGTTGCGGCGCTCATCTCACTTTATTGGCCAAGGGAGCCGGCGTACAGCTTCCAGGTCATGTGGCCAGCATGACTAAGCCACTTCTGGCGAACCAGAGTAGCGCACGGAAACGCCGTTTACCTTCCCACTGGAGCGGTACCTATTTATCTACTTGATGTGCTTTTGAACTGCTAGGTTGGCAGGAGCAGGGACCGAGCAACGGGAGCACACCCTGTCACGGGGATTCGAACCGCCGACCTTCTGATCGGCAAGTCCTAGGCTCTGTGGTTTAACCCACAGCGCCATCCGTGTCCCTTCCAGTAACTAGAGACCTCCCTTTTTCAATATATTGCTTATATAAATTCCAGACAAGTAATTGTGGAACTTCTTGTGGAGTAATAAAAGGAATATGAGCAATGCTGAGGTTCTACATCTGTGTTTTCTAAGCTGAGGCACAGGGTTTGTTGTTTCATTTTGTTTCCCATGATTATATACTGTGTAAGAACTGACCTTACTCCTCAAAAGTCCAGAACCACTTCTCCCTTCAAAGGCTGATTAGTGAGCAACGGCCTCTGAGAGTGGATAGTTCTGTTGCATTTCCACATTGTGAGGGACTCAACCAACTTTCTTCTTCTTCTTCTTCTTCTTCTTCTTCTTCTTCTTCTTTTGACAAAGTAACAATCATACATAAATAAGAATAAAGATGTGCACCCCACCAATGAGACCATTCCATTATAACTACCCAATCTCCCAAAATTTCAACACCTCTCGTGATGGTTTGACCCCTTTCCATTTTAACAGTACAAATTCCACAAACGCCCTCCGTATCTCCTCAAAATCATTTCTCCTGCATATTCCCCGTATTACTTTAATGGCACATGTTAATTTATCCTTAATAGCCATATCCCACACCTCTTTATATCATTCTTCCATTTTGTATTCTGCTTGCCCCTTCCACTCCCTAGCTATCACAATTCGTGCAGCCGTCAATAAATTTGTGAGAAAGTCCTTCCTAGCCTACGAACTTTCCACCCCATCGTAAATTGATAATAATGCTACCTCTGGACTTTTGGTCAGCTTTAACCCAGTGATTTCTGTTATCTCCTTAAACACCCTTTGCCAGAAAAATTGTGCATCTTTACACCCTCACAACATGTGAACATAATTCCCGATTTCCTGGCATCCCCTGCCAACATCACACCAAATATTCCTTGTTTATTTGATTTAGTCTGACTGGCGTTAAATAAAAGAAATCAACCCTCTTTCATCAGTTGGGATGGGGGTGAGAGAGGGGGACTTCCACAATTGTTTCCTTCTCCTTTCACTGATACAAGCATGACACAGCTAGCTTGGGGGTGGGGGAGTTACGTTATACAGCACTTCCTGTTCCCTCACCCAAATCCTGGAAAGGGAGGCGGGTGTTGCCAGTATGGGTGGGTGTAAAGATTTTGTGCAGTCTTATTTGCAACCGGTAAAGGGACCCCTGACCATTAGGTCCCGTCGCGGATGACTCTGGGGTTGCGGCGCTCATCTCGCTTTATTGGCCGAGGGAGCAGGCATACAGCTTCTGGGTCATGTGGCCCACGTCCCTTTTGCAACCGGTATTTAACCTTTATTATTTTTTTATTTTTTACTTGTGGTTCAGTTGCTCTCCGAGCGTGAGAAAGCCAAATAAAGCTGGTTTAAACCTGTTTCTAGTCAGTATTCAACTAAAGCATTCATCTAGATTTTTTTTTTTTAAAAAAAAGGATTGTTGGTAGAATATTAACAAGACAAGATAGCAGGAAGAGACAACTTTCTTTACAACATTCATGTTTCTCACCTGATGGAACTGTGATTCAGTTGATTATTTTATAGTGTAATCTTAAGGTTATCTACGATTCAGATCAATGCGGTTTACTCAAGGATGGTATTGAAATGTCATGCAGAGAGCATAAATTGAAATCGAGTCCACACGCACACTCAGCATAAGAACTTGGAACCTCACCTGCAATTTAACATTTACCTTGCTGTGCAGAGTTTAATGACTTCTACAATAGGGATGGGATGCGGGTGGCGCTGTGGGTTAAACCACAGAGCCTAGGACTTGCTGATCAGAAGGTCGGTGGTTCGAATCCCCACGACAGGGTAAGCTCCCGTTGCTCGGTTCCTGCTCCTGCCAACCTAGCAGTTCGAAAGCACGTCAAAGTGCAAGTAGATAAATAGGTACCACTCCGGCGGGAAGGTAAACGGCGTTTCCGTGCGCTGCTCTGGTTCGCCAGAAGCGGCTTAGTCATGCTGGCCACATGACCGGGAAGCTGTACGCTGGCTCCCTTGGCCAATAAAACGAGATGAGCGCCGCAACCCCAGAGTCGGTCACGACTGGACCTAATGGTCAGGGATCCTTTACCTTTATTAATAGGGATGTACGCTGGCTCCCTCGGCCAGTAAAGCGAGATGAGCGCCGCAACCCCAGAGTTGTCCGCGACTGGACCTAACGGTCAGGGGTCCCTTTACCTTTACCTTTACAATAGGAATGGGGATGACAAATCCCCGATTAGTCCAGAAAGGAAAATTATTCTGCAATAAGAGGTGAAGAAGCATCAGACCCTGAAAGAGGTGAGAAAGGACGGAAGAGCGTGCAAAGCTATGAGCAAGAATTACTAAGACTGGAGTTAAAGTGTTTAAGCAGCAAGTGAGTGATCTGAAATATGTAACCGTGTTCCGATAGGTGTTTTGACCACAGTAGTAAATCTGGGAGGCAATGAAAGTGTATACCTCATTTTTGCAGACCGCTTAAACCACAATCCTACATGTTAAGTGCACTTTAGTCATTTATTTTAACAGGAGTCACAACTTAATTCCCATTCCATAGCTTTCAGTGGCTTGTGCTTAGCATTTGCTAGATTTTGCCATTAGTATAAGCTTTCATTACTCTAATGGGCAAAGGAGGCAAAGTGTTAAGTTGTGGGTGAACATATCAGACGACATAGCGATTCTTCAAACAGCTCTTGTTTATTCAGAGGCCAGAAAAGAACTGAACTGAAGGGTTCAGGCAGCCTGCTTATATAGAGCTCCACTACAACGCAACAGTAACCACTTTCTGTAACTATCCAATCACTGAACGTCACTTTCGATCCCTTATTTGCATAACTATCTACAGTATCCCCCTGCTGGCCCAGGGTGAGAACTTCAGTACATAACACAAAGTATTCAAGTGAAGGAAGGGAATTTGGAGAATTTGGTATTTGTTTTGAACTGCTATTAATATTGTCGTTTCCACTGGCTGTGACCTGCCTTTGAATGTTTTGGAGAAGGGTGGGTATGAAATTGGATAAATGATAACGATGATGCCACACAGACATTATTGAACACTGCTTAGAGACTTTTGAAAGATTAAGTGGTTTAGAAGTGCTTTTAAGCAAATGATAAATCATATGGGGAACTGAATTGACCATCAAATTTAAATCAAGAGTCACCATAAGAAATGTTTGAATAGGAATCCAGACGTTAAAAAGGGCAAAGTACACTTGACAGTTCTGCTATGCAAGGTACTGTTTAAGAAAAGGATGCTCTTCCAGGCCATCTGCATATGGACTGTGGGTTCTGTGTGCGAATCTCCCTACTGAATCAGGTTCCATATTCATAAAGGGTGTCTTCAGGATCTGGAGCTGTGTACGTAGTCCTCCTTGTTGGAGAGGTGATCTAAACCACTGAGCCCCTTGGACTTGCCGATCAGAAGGTTGGCAGTTCGAATCCCCGCGACGGGGTGAGCTCCTGTTGCTCTGTCCCAGCTCCTGCCAACCTAGCACTTTAAAAGCACACCAATGCAAGTAGATAAACTGGTACCTTTGTGGCGGGAAGGTAAATGGTTTTGTGTGCGCTCTGGTTTCCATCACAGTGTCCTGTTGCGCCGGAAGCTGTTTCGTCCTGCTGGCCGCATGACCCGGAAAGCTGTTTCTGGACAAACGCCGGCTCCCTCAGCCTGAAAGCGAGATGAGCACCGCAACCCAATAGTTGCATCACCTGAGTGATAGTGGGTGTGCTAATCTATAACGCTACTTTCATCTGCTGTATTATATTGTGTGTTCTGACAGTTGTTCATCGCTGGATATCACGAGTGCCGGAAGAGGCTGCAGCTGAACTCTCTTCCACAGAGGAAAATACTAGTGAGACAGGATCAGCAGAGCACAGAGAACCTACGGTGTCAAATAATTCAGAGGAGCATGTCTTAAATCCTCAACATCCCTGCTCCAGCAGCTGAGGCATGCATTTTCTCAAACAGTGACATTCTGATGTCTTCAGGAGACAGAAACCTCCCCTTTCTATGCCAATTTGGAAAATGCCCCCCCCCTTTTTTTTTGCGACTTGGCGGGTGCTCTCACCATGGGAGTAGGCTATTCTGTTGTTGTAGCACTTCCTTGCTTGAGCTTGAAGCACCCTTGAAGGTTTCACCCAAAATTTGGTTAGGAAGGGGGCAGTTTGATTCAAGGAGGAAGGACCTTCAGATTTAGTGTCCTTGAGGTAATTTATTTTCAGATTCAGAAACAGTGTGAACTAGAACATAATCGGTCCTATTGTATTACAGTGGTGCCCCGCAAGACGAATGCCTCGCAAGACGGAAAAACCGCTAGACGAAAGGGTTTTCCGTTTTGAAGTTGCTTCGCAGGACGAATTCCCCTATGGGCTTGCTTCGCAAGACGAAAATACCTTACGAGTCTTGAGATTTTTTTCGCTTTTCCCCCTTTATCTAATCTGCTAAGCCTTTAATAGCCTTTAATAGCCTTTTAGCAGCTAATCCCTAAGCCTTTAAGCCTTTAATAGCCGCTAAACAGCTGATAGCGCTAATAGCGCTAATCCGTCAATGGGCTTGCTTCGCAAGACGAAAAAACCGCTAGACGAAGACTCTTGCGGAACGGATTAATTTCGTCTTGCGAGGCACCACTGTATTGGGAAAGGGATTTCTGTTCCTTTAAAATTAATCAGGGTTTTATTTTCAGTTCGGAGAATTGATAGACCTGGTTTGGGGGAAAAGGACTTGTCTTAATCAGTCGTAGTGTGCTCCAAAATCATTTTTGCCTTGGTGGGCTAAGGCTCCAAAATGTCATTTCAAAGACAGTATATAGGAATATTTTGTTCACCTTAAATATATACAGTGGTACCTCAGTTTATATACACTTCAGGTTACATACGCTTCAGGTTACAGAATCCACTAACCCAGAAATATTACCTCGGGTTAAGAACTTTGCTTCAGGATGAGAACAGAAATCGTGCTCTGGCAGCGCAGCGGCAGCAGGAAGCTCCATTAGCTAAAGTGGTGCTTCAGGTTAAGAACAGTTTCAGGTTAAGAATGGACCTCCGGAATGAATTAAGTATTTAACCCAAGGTACCACTGTGTGTGTGTGTGTGTGTGTGTGTGTGTGTACACACACACACACACACACACACACACGTATGTATGTATGTATGTATGTTTGTATGTCAAGGCCACTGGTATTTCAGCACTGAAGAGGTATCTGAGCTTAGAAAAAGCTGCTTCTGATATTGCTGCACCCTATAAAGTTGTTTTAACAATTATGAAGATAATTTATGGGCAACACATCAAAACTTTTCTAAAGCACAAATTAAATCTACACATTAGTTTCATTAATACGCAATATTGCTGTATGCAGTTTAAGTGGCTTCTGGCTGTGAAGTGGTTTACGAATCTGGATAGCTCAGTTGGTTAGAGCATGGTGCTGTGAATGTCAAGGTTGCAGGTTCAGTCTCCCTTTGGGACGGCTTCATATTCCTGCACTGCAGAAGGTTGGACTCCTCAGGGTTCCTTGTTGTTGTTTAGTCGTTTAGTTGTGTCTGACTCTTCGTGACCCCATGGACCAGAGCACGCCAGGCACTCCTGTCTTCCACTGCCTCCCACAGTTTGGTCAAACTCATTCTGGTAGCTTCGAAAACACCATCCAACCATCTCATCCTCTGTCGTCCCCTTCTCCTTGTGCCCTCCATCTTTCCCAACATCAGGGTCTTTTCCAGGGAGTCTTCTCTTCTCATGAGGTGGCCAAAGTATTGGAGTCTCAGCTTCAGGATCTGTCCTTCCAGTGAGCACTCAGGGCTGACTCTCATGGGACTCTCAAGAGTCTCCTCCAGCACCATAATTCAAAAGCATCCATTCTTCAGCAATCAGCCTTCTTTATGGTCTAGCTCTCACTTCCATACATCACTACAGGGAAAACCATAGCTTTAACTATATGGACCTTTGTCGGCAAGGTGCAATTCTATTATTATTGTGCTTGTTGCCTTTGCCTGCAATGTATGAACTAGTATACAGTTGGGAACGACCACAAGTGAACGATGGTAACCTCTAGGAAGAGCACAGATGAGGGCCTGACCATTAAAACAGCCAACTAAGCTTCCATTTTATTGCGCCTGTTATGCTCCCACGTGGCATCTTGCATATTGTTATCAAATATTGTTTCCACTGAAAATATACAAAATGCAAGTGTGAGGCTGCTGAGTCTTTTAAGGGCAAACTGACATGTGAAACGGAAACGAGATTGGTCGTAGAAATTGCCATAATAAACGCTAGAAGATGTTTTGACGCCATTGTGACGACAATGGTGATATCAAATTGGAGATATTAGAGATGAAAAATGCCGTGCCAGCAGTTTATTGATTGGACTAAAGTAATAAAATAGATGATAATAAGATAAACACTTCAAACCTTTAACTTAAGTGCCCTGTAAATGAAAGGTGTTCTGCAATGCACTAATTAAGTACCGTATTTTTTGCTCTATAAGACTCACTTTTTTCCTCCTAAAAAGTAAGGGGAAATGTGTATGCATCTTATGGAGCGAATGCAGGCTGCGCAGCTATCCCAGAAGCCAGAACAGCAAGAGGGATCACTGCTTTCACTGTGCAGCGATCCCTCTTGTTGTTCTGGCTTCTTAGATTCAGAATATTTTTTTTCTTGTTTTCCTCCTCCAAAAACTAGGTGCGTCTTATGGTCTGGTGCGTCTTATAGAGCGAAAAATACGGCACATTATTTATTTCTTCTCACAGTTTGGTTCAGGCATACACTGATACTCCCATCGCCACCTTTCCTTCACCAACTTCTTTTTGCATTTTCCCAATGTCTTACAGGCTACTGGGGTGTGCCTCCCCCATCTCCCACACCCAATGACCTGCTCAATTCTGCCAGAAAGGGCAGGAGAGAGATACCAGTCTTCCTTGCTCCACTTGCCATAGCTTGCCACTCCTGACACACCTGTTCAATAAGTGAGAAGGATGGGGAGAGGACCAGGGCTTATTGGAGTGAGTTTAATTTCAAATTCAATCGACTTGGAAATAAGATGCTTTTATCTATTTTGGGGGAAATAGCTCAACTTATTTCTGAATGAATCTAATGGCAGAAAATGGAATGCTCACAATTTGAACTCCATACTGGTTCTCTCAAACTTTTACTACGTTGAAATGATTATATATTCTTAATATTTTAATAGATATACCTCCATAACTATTATCCATCTACTATGGATTCCTAGGTAAAGCAGGTCAATTGGTATAAACTATATTTGCTTTCTTGGGCTCCATGATCACTGCAGTTGGTGACAGCAGTCATGATAAAAGACGCCTGCTTCTTGGGAGGAAAGTGATGACAAACCTAGACAGCATCTTAAAAAGCAGAGACATCACCTTCCCGACAAAGGTCCGTATAGTTAAAGCTATGGTAGTAGTGATGTATGGAAGTGAGAGCTGGACCACAAAGAAGGCTAATCGCCAAAGAATTGATGCTTTTGAATTATGGTGCTGGAGGAGACTCTTGAGAGTCCCATGGACTGCAAGAAGATCAAACCTCTCCATTCTTAAGGAACTCAGCCCTGAGTGCTCACTGGAAGGACAGATCCTGAAACTGAGGCTCCAATACTTTGGCCACCTCATGAGAAGAGAAGACTCCCTGGAAAAGACCCTGATGTTGGGAAAGATGGAGGGCACAAGAAGGGGACGACAGAGAATGAGATGGTTGGACAGTGTTCTTGAAGCTACTAACGTGAGTTTGACCAAACTGCAGGAGGCAGTGGAAGACAGGAGTGCCTGGCATGCTCTGGTCCATGGGGTAACGAAGAGTTGGACATGACTAAACAACAACAACATATATATATAGTTTATACCAATTGGCCTGCTTTACCTAGGAATCCCAGGGACTGAAGTCTACAGAGGTTGTTGAGAAGTGTCTTTTTGAGATCTCCACCTCCACCTTTCCCTAGAACGCCTTTCTATGTTCACTGGAAAAAGGGAACTTAAACCAGTTTCCCACCTTCTTATATTCCTTGGAAGGTGCCCCGGGGCCATAGGAGACATTGAACCTCCTCCTCTGAGAAATAGATCTCCAACCTTGAAGATGTCAGGTAGTCCCTTTCTGCCACCACCTCAGAAACCTTTGCACCCTTGATAACTGTGGGACCAATAAGGGGGTAGTTTGGGGATGTATCAGGGACAACCACAGAAAAGTTTGGGTTCATATGGCCGAAGGCCTTCCCAGTTCTCTGGTGTGCCCTCAAATCCAGCAGAAATGTACATTACCCCAGAGCTGGAATATTTTGTTTCCAATCAGAGGGAAATGTTTCTTTAAAGACTATTTATTAGGGTTGCCTTGTTATACCTAATCTGTTCTGCCAAAGCACTTGTGTTAGCTGCTCCACAAAGTTCTGGGCCTGCAATTTCAGAAGCGTACATGTGACCACCCCCAAATGCTAATTTCGGAAGAGATTAAGGTCTAGATTTAAGTTCTAAGTCAGCCATACTGTGTTTTTGAAGTGAATCCCCCATTTGATAAGGGGCAGAATGAAGAGGGCTTCCTTTCTACAGAGTCGTTAAACTGACATCTAATTGGCATTTTGCATACAGGCCTTAATTTAGCAATACTATCACAGTCTTGCGTTTTCGTCTGAGCTTGGGAAGATAACGGCCAACGTACCTGGTCCCAGCAAGATGAGTAGGATGTTCCTTTAAATTTATGCTAGTGTCAGGGTAGGGATCAATATGTACCTTCAAGCGGAGGGAGGGGGGAGATAAGAGAAATTTAATCACTTTTATGTGAAAGAACAAGCTTAGTTTTCAGTTCAATGAGACCTTCTGGGAAGGAAGATTATATGACATTGCTGTATGTCCTGGCCACAATATTGCCCTAGCTCTGTTTGCTAAGCTAGAAGCACCAAGACTGTTGGGTAAACAGTGGTCTGTGTTGAAATTTGAGCCAGAAATTCAAGAATAATCCCCACCGTGAGTTCAATGAGTACATGGCAAGAGCCACTGAATAAGCAGGTCACACTTAGGAGCAGTCCTTAAGCACACTTACAGGATAAATTCCTGTTGGACGCAATGCAGTCGTGCCAATGACGGCTGGAATTTATGGCAGAAACTACAGAATGAGCAGGAGAGTCTCCTAGCACATCAGGGCTCGCTTTCCACATTTTGAAGTAATGCATCCTTCAGAGGAGCAAGAGCATTAAGGACAGAGTCCAGAGTCTAAAGTGACCTAACTTCATCACTGACACAACGGAACAAATGTCTGAGTAAACATGTTTAGGATCACAGCACGCAGCCATATTTCCCAGGTGTTGTAAATGCAGAAGATGTCTCATTTCCAGGAAATCTTTGCTTTCCAGCATTCAGACTCCTATGACAACAACTACGATTCTTGTCCCATGAGGTGTCAGCGGTCGTGCTTGTTCTGCTTTGCGGATTGTACTTGATTATTAGATATGGATTTCTACAAATACGTACTGAAAGTGACATTGGAAGAGAGGTGGTAATGTTGCAAAATACTTGTTTACAACCCTACTAATCATAGAATAGATATCTTAAGCTCCTGTGGTTTGGGGTCCATGGATGAGAAACTGAGTACAGTCGTACCTTGGTTGTCGAATGCCCTGGAACTCGGACGTTTTGGCTGCCGAACACCACAAACCCAGAAGAGATTGTTCCGGTTTGCAAGCGTTCTTTTGGAACCCAAACATCCGACAGGGCTTCTGCGGCTTCTGATTGGCTGCAGGAGAACTCCCGTTGCTCAGTCCCTGCTCCTGCCAACCTAGCAGTTCAAAAGCACGTCAAAGTGCAAGTAGATAAATAGGTACCACTCCAGCGGCAAGGTAAACGGCGTTTCCGTGCGCTGCTCTCGTTCGCCAGAAGCAGCTTAGTCCAGCTGGCCACATGACCCAGAAGCTGTACGCTGGCTCCCTCGGCCAATAAAGCATGATTTGGTTTACAAACGTTTTGTGAAGTGAAATGGACCTTCGGAACGGATTCCATTCGACTTCCAAGGTGCGACTGTAATACGCAAATGGTCAGCCACAAGTCTGCTCACCTTATCTGATGGGCAGTGTTGTGGCTGCGCCATGGGCCCTGCAGTGATCTGGCGAGGGCGCCGGGGTTTGGTTGCCTGCCGGCAATTGGCATGAGCAGGCAGGCTTTCCCGGGGGTGGGGGGGAGAGGTGGGCCTGACTGGTCAACCAGCGCCACCTAGGCCCACTCCTTGGGAGCTAAATTGCAGCCCAGCTTGGCAGTCCCTCCCCTGCCCCTTTTCCCTGCCAGATTCCCCACTGTCCCTCCCTTTAATTTTGCTGCAGTTCATACTACAACCTTGCTATGGATCACATCGGCTGCCATATTTGAGGCAAGGTAGGATTTTTTTGCTAGTGTGGTGTAGTGGTTAAGAGCAGTGGACTCATAATCTGGTGAACTGGGTTCGATTCCCTGCTCCTCCACATGCAGCTGCTGGGTGACCTTGGGCCAGTCACACTTCTCTGAAGTCTCTCAGCCCCATTAACCTCACAGAGCGTTTGTTGTGAGGGAGGAAGGGAAAGGAGATTGTGAGCCACTTTGAGACTCCTTAGGGTAGCGATAAAGCGGGATATCAAATCCAAACTCTTCTTCTTCAAATGGGCACCCGCCATTTTGTTGTTGCCTACCTCCTAGCAATCGTCACAACTTTGTGAGGTTAGGCCTTGGTCTTGGCTGGAGGGGAGGTTGTAGCCTTTGCCTGCCCCTAATCCACATTTATGCTGTCACTAATGTCTTCTCTGAACCCAGTCACATGCAGAGAAGGCTGGGTCTGCCACCTGAGGCTCACATGTTCTCATGGGTGGCCTTGCCCAGCCCATCTCCCGTCAAAAGGTTCAAGCTTCCAATAATGTGTGTCAAAAATGTGAATTCAACAAAAACTTGCTAATAAAGGAATTACCTGGAATAACACTTACCCACGTTGTTATATGAATTCAGTACTATTTCAAGCTGAGAATGAGCTATTCAGAGGTGATTTCATGTTGATTAGGCTCAATCTCATTTTCTCAAGTATCTTATCGATGTTCTTCCTTTTACAGACCTGTTGTGGGTAATAATTTTTTAAAAGGTCTTCGTAGCAGTGTGGTGAACATAAATCCTAGTAGATTAGCACTTGGTGTCCTACATGTTTTATTTGACTTTGCATAAGGTCATTTTAAAGTGTAGACCGATCAAAGTGATTAACTTTTCTTCTATTGCTTCTCCTAAAGTCAACAGCATCCAGTTATGTAAAAATACATCGTCCGACCCAAAGCTTAGTTCTCAGTTCACTTGAGACCTTCTGGGAAGGAAGATTAAGACAGGGTGTGTATTCTGGCAACACTATTGCTCCCAGCTCTATTTGCTAAGCTAGAAGCATCAAGGATCTTGGGCAAACAGTGGTCTGTGTTGAAGTCCAAGTCAGAAGTTCAAGAATAATCCCCACAGTGAGGGGAAGTTCAATGGGTGCATGTGCTTTCAGTCCGTAAAAAGCAAGCCCCACTGAATACAGTGGGTCACGCTGCGAGGCTGCAGGGGAATCCTGTTGAACACAATTTACTGGTGCCACTAAGGGCAGGGCTTGAGGGCAGAAGTCCAGGGTCGCACTCAGCAGAATGAGAAGGAGGGTCTCCAGGGCTGGCTTAGCACATTTGGAAGTAAGTGAAGTAGTGCAGTTTACCATCGTAAAAGCGGAGGGGGAGCAAGAGCATTAAATGACCTACCATATTTTTCGCTCTATAGGACGCACTTTTTCCCCTCCAAAAATTAAGGGGAAATGTGTGTGCGTCCAATGGAGCGAATGCAGGCTCCTTGGCTTCAGTGATAGCAACGCGAAGCCTCCAAAGCGCAGAGGGAGCGCTCCCTCCGCACTCCGGGGGCTTGACGTTGCTTTCGCTGAAGCCTGGAGAGCAAGAGGGGTTGGTGCGCACTCATCCCTCTCGCTCTCCAGGCTTCAGGCCTGAAGCCTCCGGAGTGCAGCGGGACATCCTGCTGCGCTCTGGAGGCTTCGGGTTCCTTTTGCTGAAGCCGGGAGAGCAAGACTCTCCTGGCTTCAGCAGAGAGGGAGAGCTGCGCAGCGCCCCTTCAGCAAAGCGGGAGGAGAAATGGAAGGGTTTCCGTTTCTCCTGCCACTTCACTGAAGGGGCGCTGAGCAGAGAGGGGGAGAATTTTTTTTCTTCTTCTCCCCCTCTAAAACAAGGTGCGTCCTATGGTCGGGTGTGTCCTATAGAGCGAAAAATACGGTAACTAAAATTGCCCAACTGACACAATGGAACAAATGTCTGAGTAAATGTGTAAATATGCTTCTCGGGTGTTATAAATGTAGAAAAAGTTCTATTTCCAGTAAATATTTGCTTTCCAGCATTGAAGCTATGATTGGGAAAGCACACTGTCCACCCACTGATTCCAGTCCTGCCCTCTGAAGCAAGAGAGAACAATTCTGTATATTTGGCAACCTTCTTCATGTCTTCCCTGTCTTCTGCATTCTAAACATACCCAGGCTAAATTGTGATGCCTGGAACATTGCAGTCTGGTGGTCCAGAAGATTCGCCTCTGCCTTGCCTCCACCATGTTGAATGCTCTGCCAGTTGAGTGTTGAGGTCCCCAAGACACCCCTACCCCAATAACTCACACATCACACAGAATTTTTGTTTAAGGTTTTTGGCATAATTTTGGCCACAACTTTATTAACATACATGGATGTGAGTGGTTGCTTAGGCATTGGTTAGGACTATCTGTCCCCCCGCCTTGGGGACAGAATTGACTTCCGGATTCCAGTGAAAGTCAGTGAGGGGAAACAATATTGGGGAGAAACTGGAGCTGCGCCACAGGCCCTCAGCTTCTCCCCGCATGCTCCCAGGGGCTTAGACGGCCCAAACCCGATTCCAGGGATTTGGACGGAAGCATGGCAAGCCCCTGAATTCCTTTAATGGAATTCCCTTGCAGCAGCAGCATTGGAGGGGCAGGCCCAGCCAATCCTTACCCCTCCTCCAACCAATTTTAACCAATGCCTAACCGCAACCTTACAAGTTGTGACGATTTGCTATGCAGTAGGCAAAAACCAAATGGCACCAGCCAATCAGCCAAATGGACAAAATTCCTACCAGTCCCATGCCCCAAGGCAGATGACCCCATGACAGGCATAGCAAGGTCAATGCACAAGACCCAAATTAAGGGAGGGCGGGCGGGTGATCCGAAGCATGCAGCGAAAGAGAAAGCAGGTTGCTGTGTGCACGGCTTAAAAAACCTCTGTTCCCACTCCCAAATTTGCAACATCAAAATTACCCCAGTAACTCAGGATACCAATCCCTGCCAGGGCCAACCATCCCAAACATGCCTAGCAACAGCAGGGTGTCTTGCCTGGCCCCCACCACAACACGTGCTCTCTTTTAATGAGAACACGCTTTTTCAGCTTCTTTTCATACCTTCTTTGATCTGCCGCATTGTTTTTTCTGCTTGGGTGTATGGGGTCTTAGGGGAGGAATGGTATCTCTGGTGGGGGACATATCATGCTCCTTCTGTCCACCTTTGGTCCCCACCCTGTACTAGGCTCTCACCTGTGGCTCCAAGAAGCTGTCAGCATGCAGCCGCCGCCACACCCCTGTCAAAACGGCTTCGACTGGCTGGCTAAACCAGGTGAGGGTAGCTGGTGGATCTCAAACCCTCAGTGAGTGAAGGGCTTTCCCTGCATGTGAAGACAGGCTCTGGTGGATTGAGTGGATGAGACCAATAGTGGATCCCATGATCAAGAAGGTGGTTTCTGCACATGCTGCAGAGGGAAGTGAGGGGCAGAGGGGGCTTGTCAAACTGGGAAGGTAGCCCATCTAGCAGAAGGAAAACTCTGACCCTAAACCTCATCCTCTCATTTGTAAGAAAGGCTTTGGGAGTAAGCCCTGGGTAAAAATCTGTACCCACTGTGTGAGTATCTGGAGGCGGTTGGAGGATGGATGGCGGCTAACAGATTGAGGTTGAATCCTGACAAGACAGAAGTGCTGTTTTTCGGGGACAAGAGGCGGGCGGGTGTGGAGGACTCCTGGTCCAGAATGGGGTAACTGTGCCCCTGAAGGACCAGGTGCGCAGCCTGGGAGTCATTCTGGACTCACAGCTGTCCATGGAGGCACAGGTCAAATCTGTGTCCAGGGCAGCTGTTTACCAGCTCCATCTGGTACACAGGCTGAGACCCTACCTGCCCGCAGACTGTCTTGCCAGAGTGATGCATGCTCTGGTTATCTCTCACTTGGACTACTGCAATGCGCTCTACGTAGGGCTACCATTGAAGGTGACCTGGAAACAACAACTAATCCAGAATGCGGCAGCTAGACTGGTGACTGGGAGCGGCCGCCGAGACCATATAACACCGGTCTTGAAAGACCTACACTGGCTCCCAGTACGCTTCCGAGCACAATTCAAAGTGTTGGTGCTGACCTTTAAAGCCCTAAGTGTCCTCAGTCCAGTATATCTGAAGGAGTGTCTCCACCTCCATCGTTCTGCCTGGACACTGAGGTCCAGCGCTGAGGTTCCCTCGCTGCGAGAAGCCCCAGGTTACAGGGAAGCAGGCAGAGGGCCTTCTCAGTAGTGGCACCCACCCTGTGGAACGCCCTCCCACCAAATGTCAAAGAGAAAAATAACTACCAAACTATTAGAAGACATCTGAAGGCAGTCCTGTTTAGGGAAGCCTTTAATGTTTAATAGGTTATTGTATTTTAGTGTTTTGTTAGAAGCCGCCCAGAGTGGCTGGGGAAACCCAGCCAGATGGGCGGGGTATAAATTATTATTATTATTATTGTTGTTGTTATTATTAAAGGCACAATGTAAAATGTGTTAAGTATGTACACCAGAGCTTGCCTCTTGTCCTCTCTGCTGCTTGAGCTACCTGGCTGTTCACCTGGAGCAAAGCTAACCCGGTGAGGATGGAACTGTTTCTTTCTGTTCTTGACGCTAAATGAGGGAAGCCCAACTCTCACAAGTAAAGTGCCCAGTGGCATTCAAAGTACTTCTTCTTTTGTTTAATTGCTGTTGGCAAATAAGATAATTTATAGTGCACTTCAGGTTCCAGATAATTTATCGTGCAATTCAGGTTCTTTTACAACCGTTTAATTGCAAGAATGGCCTCTGCCAAAGAAGTTTCAACTTTCCTTCCCTGATATATGTGTCAGTTTATTTAAAAGGAAATCATAGTCCCTTGTGTTGAGACAGCTGTTGGCTTAGAATTTTTCATCGAACTGTCACATTTGTGCAAACATCTCAATATTCTTTTAATTTCTCTAATTTTAGTTTCTCTTTAGTCTGATGGTGAATACATTTAGCTTGCATTTGGGGTTTTAGTTTTCATATGATTCTGTCAGTGCCAATGGATGTTGTTTTATGGATGATTGGCTGCATTATTTTGATTTTTTTGGTAAAGTTTATTATTATTATTATTATTATTATTATTATTATTATTATTTCATTTTATAATGTATATAAAACAGAGAGAACAATTCTAACAACAGATGAAAATTAAAAGATGCAAAACAAAACTCTAAAATAGGCACACAGAATAAGTTGTTGCAACATGAGTTTAAATAACAAAGTCCAAGTAATGACCGTTCCCCACATTAAACGGGGGGGCGCCCTTTGCATGGTTGCGTGCAGCTCCTGGACCCTATGTGGCACCATTAGCGCAGGCTTGGCTTCGCCTTCCCCAGGTGGGATACCTGGAGGTCTCCGCCTACCTCAGCCAGTTGCCCAATCCCGCCTGGGGAGGCGTTGCCAAGGTGATCAGGCCAGGTAGGGGGAAGGACTACCTGCCCACACAATAGGGGAGGATCTTACCTGGGAATCGTCAGTTGTCTCCAGAGCTTCTCCCACCCTACCCACCCTCAGTTAAGACTTCTTTTGCAGGTTAACCTTTTCTCCACAGGTACACAGGCGCTGCTACGTCAAGGACGCTGTTGAAGTGCTGGAAAGGAATTCCCCTGCATTGGCAGGTTTTGCCTTTCCCGTAGCAAAACGTCACAACTTTGGCGGTATCGGGCCTTGGGCGGAATCCGTTAGTCTATCTTCCCTAAATGGGGGGGGGGATGCAGAGGTGACCCACGCCCCCTCCTCTTCGCAACAGCGATACCAGGGTTCCCCATTAAAGGGGTTGTTTGAGGGGAGGCATTGGCCGTACGCCTAGAGGTCGTCATTGCTCTCCCATGCGGTGGCGGTGTAACAGGGATGGACTCTCTCTGCTTGAACATATGTTCTCCAGAGCCAGCCCTCCCCCCCCCACATTGGATGTTCCCCAGATCCCCGGCGGGAGACTGGGAGGGATAAACGCCCAATGCCTAAGCCAAGGTCTACCCACATCTGAAACATAATAAAGTTGTGGCCAATTTTAACCCCATAGCCCGTTGTCTTGAGTCGTTATTCCACACGGGGGCCGCCCAGGGTTTGGGGGACTCTGGCTGTGCACGCAAAGACTACCAACGTTATTTGATCATCAAGTATAGTTCTAGATTTGGCAAGTCTTGAAAATGATGGTTCCACTGTATATGCCATAAAGGAATGCCAAATTATATAAAAAGGTGTCTGGGAGTTCCAGACCTTGTCAGAATCTCAAAATATGCATTTGCATTGTGTTTTCTTTGCATTGAAATGAATTGTGTGTAATAATATAATCAATTACATAATTAATCGTGCAAAATTCTGCCACAGAATTTTCTGAGGACAGAGAGATGAAGAATGTAGTTTTTGTTGGAAGCCGAACTGCAGTAGAACGGAAACAGCTCTGTATGTGACAAACATGGGTCAGAATGGAAATTGATGCATTTTCACATCCCTAATTTGTGGTGCTGTGAGAGCCTAGCTAACTCCGCTATGCTCCGTTTGTATGTTTGTACAGAAAATAGGTATTCCCTGCTTCCTCACTCCATGAACAGCATTAACAGCCAACACAACACACACACACAAACACAGAGAAACAATATGAGCCAAAGCTTTCTGCGAAAATGTTGACAGCATAAAAATGTAGATTGTGGAACTGTTTTAAAAATCTTTAATTTCTCATTGAATGGCCTGTACTTCCTTTAACGAACAAAATCAGACTACAAAATCACATCTTTCCCCATTGCTGGTCATACATACTATCCTCCTAATTTATGAAGAAATCTTAATACAAAAAGAGAAGTTTCGTTCACAGCAAAAAAAGGAAACAGTGCATAAAAATAGTTAAATATTTTAATACATTGCAGATATACGTAGTTTCATCTTTTAAGGGTTTTAATTTTGCTTTATCAGCAAATCTCGTTACAACTTAAAATAACATTACCACCCACACTTTTGGCCACAGTCAGACACATCATAAGCCAAGCCAGAGTTTATGACAATGTGGTTTATAGTGCATGTTTCATTACTCCCGTTGCGCAAGCAGGAGGATAATTGAATCATAAAATTGAAGAGTTGGAAGGGACCCGAGGGTCATCTAGTCCAACCTCCCGCAGTGCAGGAATCTTGCCCACAGCCATCCCTGGGTGGTCTCGAACCACCAACTTTGTGATTAACAGCCAGACACACGGACCCATTGCGCCACAGCAAGCAAACCAGGAAGTGGCAATTAAGCTTGGCTTTCCGTTGCAACAGAATCCAGAATCATGTTTTGTTTCTCCTTGAGAAGCCAGCCTTAATTCTGGTTTGTTGTTGGTTTATGGATCTTCTCACTTGCGACAGAGCAACAAATCACAATCCTGGGTTGAGATGTAGCAGGAAAGCAAACAAAATTGTGTTTAGGGGTAGGTGAATCTGTCGTTTTTGCTTTTTTCCTCAGTTTCTAAATTCTCCACATTTCCTCATCAGTTGGTGAATTTTTAAAAAGCAAGTCCTTGTGAACATTCTGCATTTTACTGAAAATTTATATTATACGCATCTTGGTATGCAATTTTATCCAATATAATGCATTTTATAAGCTATTTCCACAAATATATACCAGGGTAATATACAGTTTACCCTAGTATATGCATTTATGTAACACATTTCTTGGCTGGAGAACTGTATCGCGAATTGCAAGCTTGGCTGTGTTTCAGTCCAGGTATTGTTTCGGAGAATGGTTTGCCTATAAAAACTGGATCAAATTTCTCCCCGTCCCTTATTACACCTTTCTGCTTTGCTTCTCCCGCTTACGGCTGCAGAGGAGCAAAGCAGGAAGAAAACCGTGGCTTATCATGACATGTGCATGTGAACCAAATGTGCAGACACAAAAAAATACCATTTCGAAAGCCATTTCTTTTCTTTAAAAGCATTTCTTACCACAGTGCGCCAAATTGGAATGTTCAATATAAAAGTCACATCTCAAGTTGAGGTGCTTCTTACACAACTTATGAAAAAAAAACAACTATACACTAAAAACAATTATAAATAAAGAGTCTAAAAAGCTAAAAGATATGACAGGAGTCGACGTTTCCATAAGACTCTGAGATTTCCACACAAAGGAGAGGCTACTTCACTCACACTGCAAGACAGGGGCAGCTTAATGTACACAGCACTCGAGAGAATAAAATTTCTTGCATGGCCAGTGTTCTAAATCTAGGAAAGGGACCCGTCTCACACGTTCCCCTCCAATGTGTTGATGATGGCAGTGTGGGGTTCATGAGATGTCACAGAGGGGATAAAATACAGCTGCTGTTTCTAATTTCATGAGGGGTGAGTGGTTAGATCCAGAAGATCTAGACTGTGCACCCACAGAGCTAAAATATTTGAAGCCAGTGGTCTGGCCAGAATGGGGGAATGGGGAAAGCTGGTTTCAGCCTCCTTACTCTCCCTTTCCTGAGAAGCTTTTCCGCAGAAATGTAACCTTTCAAATGGACTCAAAAACTGCATCTATTTGTAACGCACACAGGTCCCAATCCAGCTCAGACGATACATATGGAAACCTATGTTATGCATTCAGTGGTCTGGGTTTGCCTGAGCTTCAGTCTGGACTAAGGATTCTGAGCCCCTGTGTTCTGATTCGATACATGATGTCCAATCGCAGAACATTTCAGGATTTGGGCCTCTGCCATTGGCCCTGAAACTCTGAGTCATGATTCACAGCTTGGAAGTTTAGGCAGCCAATCACGTTGGGAGTGGGAGTGGCCCAAGCCTTCAGAAATGTATATAAGCAGTTGCTTTTGCCCCTGTTGTCCAGTTCTGTTAGTTCAATAAAGGTTCTTGCTGTTATCACTGTGTCTTGCCTCATGGGAACCCACCTACAGTTCAACCTACTTCCACATGGAACACCTTTTGCTGGGTTGGGGCGAGAGTCAGCAGCAAAACACTCAACAGGCCTTTCCTATTACTGTCTAGGGAAGAGGAAGTTTTTTTCACTAAAGCATGCAACTCATGTGTGAAACAGTAGAACCGAGTGCAAAAGCCTTTCCAGAATTGTATTACTTCGGAGAGCAGGGACTCAGCTACGCAGCTTCAAATAAAACATTTTAGATATGTTGTAAAGTGCAATATATAAATGTGACACTAGATGGTGAAAGTGAGCTATGCAAAATTCAATGTGTTTGTCAAAACGTGTGTGGGGTCCTTTTTAAAAAAAAAAAAAATTCACAGCATTTTTTTTTTATACATGTGTAGATTTCACCGGGGTGGAGGGTTGAAGGTTTGCGATAGAGAAAAGTACCACTTTAGGACCCAAAAAGTTGTAGCAGTAGCAGATCTGTTTGCTTAAACCTGGACCTGTAGAAATCGTGTAGATTTTGGAGAAATCATGTAGATTTAGGAGAAAATGGGGAATTAGGAGTACATCCAAAGTTTTAGCTTCTGGCAGCCTCCCTCTTTCCTCCATGACTTCCCCCCGCCAAGTGAACCAAGTAGAAAGAAAACTGGTATCCAGGGAAAAGACCTCTGAATGTTCTTCTTGCTCCCAGCCTTAGACCCATCTACACCACTGTCTATGTCGAGGGCTGGCCGATATCTGGTTTTCAACATTGTGATATATCAGCAGCTAAATACTGCAATATGCTGATATATCATGATGTCTGGCTCTGGAATGGATCTCAAATTGTCTGAAACCAGTATCACAATCTGAACGACAATTTATCACTATATCGCCCTGCTCTATCTATATCATTTCAAAATAACTGTGTTTCAACAGAGATCTTGATAGGATACATTCTGCTGCCACATCTAGCTTGGTCTCTACACTACCTTTCTTCCCCTTATTCTGTTTTCCAATGTGCAAAGAGGGTTTTCTTTCACGATGAACCATGCATACCATCCATCCAAAATGAAATGTTACAGTTCAGGAAAAGCTTCACCACTTTATTCTGCCAGTTGTACAAACTGGCCTTAAGTTCAACAAACTACCCAGAATGAAATTGACTGATCAGGACTCCCATTTAACTCTCAATGAAAGGAGCTCTGTGTTGGAACATAAAGAAAAACGCAATACTAGTAATGGTCTTCTCCTTTTTGTTAAGTGTAACTCTGTCCTGTCTCCTCTCAGTGTTTTTAAGTTGAGATCCACATCCAAATCTGTGTACCCTAGCCTCAGAGTATCAGATTTCCCCTCCTACAAACTCAATATTGGAATAGAGAATGTGTATTTTATAAGCTTTTATGGACACCTCCTCTAAAGGTAGATGATGCTAGAGAGAAGGAGGTAGATGAGGTTCAAATAATATGGTCTGTGACTGAGTTATCCAGAAACCAGATAAGCTGCTTGCCTCTATCCCAGAGTTATCGCAGAGTAACACAGTTTCACTTAAAAATAAGTTTGTCAACATTCTCTGACAAATGCGTTAAATAAACTAGTAATGATTAAGCATAAAGACAACATTTTCCATGAAAAAACAAGCAATTAACAACATTACATAAAAAGAATACAGGTACAATTGGATTATGCCCTATCAAATTCAGTAGGAGGGTAAGGCATACGCTTAACAGTGCAATTCTGCATATTTCTACTCAGAAGTAAGCTCTACTGAGCTCAGTGAAGCTGACTTCCAGGTAAATAATATGAAAGCAGCCTAAAATTTCAATGAGACTGAAAGTGCTTCGTGTTGGATGGACTCTGCCCTTTGTGCCAGGTGCAAGCCATTGTATAAAATCTGAATATTTTTCTTATATAAAACAGGTGACTGCTTTAAGTTATATAAAAGCCATATACAACCTCAAAGATCAGTGGAACTATAAGATAGAAACCCACTTCTTTAAGAACAACTGCAAGCAAAAATGCTAGTGAGGGTGTCAGAAAGTCTGTGCACAGGACCAAACCCTCTTTTTTTTTTTAAAAAAAAATGTAATACTGTTTTTCAGTTAAAATTTGTGTCTGGTTAAGCTTTCCTGAACGTGGTAGGAGTTACTGTCTAAGTAAATGTGCATAGAACTGAGCTCCATGTTTGATTTCTCACTTTCATTATAAATTATAGTGGAGAAAAATATGTAGACAAATTTAAGCACTTTTAAATAGCACTGATTTCAGTGGAAGGCGTTCCATCATAAACAATGGAGTTTAAAGGTGTATAAATCTGGCTGGTTCTGACTTAGAGTTTTAACTAGCCTATTTCAACATCATTTTATCGTCTCTGATGTGTTAACAAGTGGGAGTGACTTTCTTTTGAACCTTTTTAAAGGTCTGGCCGCAGGTGGACACTTCTAAGTCCCTAATGATCCCCACAGGAAAAGGTAAAATATTTCCCATGAGAACAACTGGAGGAGAAGAATCCTTCACTTTTACTTAATCTTGCAGATATAAATGTCGTCTTCATACTTGTTCCATCCCCTGAAATCAAAGCTTAGACAATGCCAGACGTATATGTTAACATTTCCTGCTCAGTCTTAGCTAACAATTAAAATTCACCTCAAAGTATTTTTTGCCAAATAAATAAATGATGCACATCAGATGCAACTGTGTTACATAAATCAACTGATGGTTTCGTTTTCCATCCACAGCTGACGACGCAGCAGTATGGTTAGGACATGTTACTCCCAGCCCCATAATATTTTCCAGGGTTTGATTCTCATAAGCCCCTTCCAAAATCCCCTTGGGAAAACATCAGGTTGTCAAACACTTTGGCCTGGAATTCATTACAAAATTACAAGACCTAAAAATGTGCAGTAATCTCAAAAGTGCTTTTTTGCATATGCTGCAAATTTCATCCATGAGGGTCTAAGTCTCGACCTGAACGCAAAATATGCATGATACTACAGTCAAACCTCGGTTCTCAAACGGCTCCATTATCATACATTTCAGCTCCCGGACGCCTAAAACCCAAAAGTAAATGGTCTGGTTTGCGAACGTTTTTCGGAAGGCTTGCAACCAATCAGAAGCCACGTCTCAGATATCGAACGGTTCGGAAGTCGAACGGTCTTCCAGAAAGGATTACGTTCGACAACCAAGATTTGACTGTACTTGCAAAAATGTATTGCTTAAATGCTGGCTGTTGCAGCCAGAAATCATAGGACAAGGTGCACTCTGTTATTGGGGTGCTATTAGAAAGCCATGCAAAAAGTTTGGGGTCACAGGAGGTTATTCCTCAGGAGCTCCTATGTCCCTGTCTATGATGAGGTATAAAAGAAAAGTTATCATAGCAAATAGTTTTAAATCACATTCCATTTTTATGCAATTTAATTTTGCCAAGAGCAGACACGTGGGCCTCAGTGGGAATCTCTCCACCCCCAAAGTCCCTTTGCTCTCTCTTCTGAAAAAGTGCTCTGTCTGTAGGAAGCCAGGTCTGTAATGGTTAGATCCTGCAACTGTTCTCTCTTTCTGAATTTGATCCTCAAAAAATTCAGGCACAGGAAAGACAAGTGCCCTAGAAAGTCAGGGCAAATGTCCCTATTTTCCAGGGACATTCCCAGATTTACAAAAGCCGTCCCACTTTCTGATTTGATCCCGGAATGTCCCGCTTTTCCTGAGGACGTCCCTATTTTCATCAGAGAAATGTTGGAGGGTATGGAGTTATGTGATCCCTGAACCAAGGAGATAAAAGCAACTGTACAACTTTTAGAAGACATCTGAAGGCTGTAGGAAAGTTTTTTTAATGTTTAATGTTTTATTATGTTTTTATATACTGTATGTTGGAAGCCGCCCAGAGTAGCTGGGGCAACCCAGTCAAATGGGTGGGGTATAAATAATAAAATTATGATTATGACTATTATTATTATTATTATAGAATAGGACGTCCCTATTTTCATTGGAGAAATGCTGGCGGGTATGGAAAGTTATCCTGATTTCTAGCTAGAAGACACAAACTACTGGAAGCATCAAGCTAAAAATTATAAATTCCTATTCTTACATGCCCAGCTTCTTTCAGTAATATTTCTTTTTTTTAAAAAAAAGTTTGGTACCTTTAAGATTTTCTTATGATGCCCTGTGCCTTAACTTTTGAAACCGCCAGAAGGGAAGTGGTACTATCTCAAAGTTCTTGATGCAACGCTACTAATCACAGACTAGATCCCTTCTGTACCAATGTTGCCTCAAGCCCTGTGTACCTGATTTTGGGTCCACTGATGAGAAGCTGAGCAACCACAGCTGGCAGACGCAGTTTGGGTCTGTAGCAGTACTGGACAGGAGCAGGAAGGCCCAAAGGCCTGGCTATGGCACAGAGTCAGACCTTCACTCCAGCACTGTACTGCTGCCCGCTTCCTGGCTCAGCAGACTAGAGGCAAGTTCGTGCACAAGACCCCGGGGCTACATGTGTCCTTAAGTGTGTGTGTCTGGTATTTTGGACTTGACTTCTCGCCTGCTCGCCCAAATGTTCAGTTACCAACAGAGCAATACACACTTTTCGCCGGGTGCAAGAAGATGGCATACGTTTCTCTCCTTTGCTTCTTTCCTCTCCCTTTACATTTTGCCCCCCACTTTTTTTGTCCCTGAGCCCTCGGCTGTTGAAGTCCTGTCTTCTGCTACAAGGGGGTGGTGGACAAGTTCATTTCAGTCGCCTGCGGTGTCTTTGAAAAGGCGTTTTTCTCATCGGCCAGCGAAACTGGGTTTTCGTGAACTTCCATGGCTTTCCCTGGCGCCACGCTTGCCATTTGTTCGCCTCCCCGGCGTTTGCAACATTTGCAACAGTATTTTTCACAGGTAGCGCCTGTAGACACCACCATATCATCCCACGGGTCCAAGGACCGCATCCACAAGGGAAGGTAGTCCCAGTTTCGGAGCTTCTCGGGCAGCTTCTCAGGCCGCTTCTTTTGAAGATAGTTGATGATGATCACAGCGAAAAAGATGACCAAGATAGGAACACCGACACCCACGAGGTACTCCCAGCCGGCCACCGACAGACCAAAGACACCAACAGGAACCACAAGGAAGGCGATGAAAAGGTAAAAAATAGCAAACCACCTGTACTTGGCTGTTATGTTCCCCAAAACCTTGGACAGGTGGATTGGGATACGTGTGTAAGGGATCGGGTACCACAGGAGAATCCCAGAAACATTGAAAAAGAAGTGGCAGAGAGCAATCTGAAAAGACACAAAATGAAGCAAAAAGAGAACTAATCAGAAGAACGTTAAAACAAGTGTGACTTTTGTACAAATACCCTTGAAACACTATTTTCCTCCCTTCATTGGATCCTCTCCTACTATTCCACCTTTTATGACCTTCAAAAAAAAATATTTAATTAAATAATTTATTTAAACAAAATCAAAGTAAGGGCAAAACTAGACATGGCATTAGAGCTTCAAGGGGAAATAAAACAATTCTTGCCATGGGGAGGATAAGTTGGATTGGTGCCCTGTACTAATTTTCCTGACTGGAGATCTCCCCGAACTGTTATCTGTCCCACAGCAAACATACAGCTATACAGTACCTGATATACCAGGTATGTGTGTTTTAAAAAGCAAGCCAACATATTAAAGCCTGTATTCATAATTTTATAAAATGAATCGTGGTCATCTGTCAAATAGACTGAGTTAAAGAACCATGGGAGGAAATATTCAACACATGAGGTTAGTCACATCAGACCAGGGTTTGGCATTTCATGAACGAGCCTTGGGTGTGCATATTCCCATTGTCCCATCCTTCATCCTATTCCACACTAACATACTTATTTCCTGTGTAGCACACATTACAGCTGAAAGGGCAAACCATGGTTTATGTTGGTCCTCCGAAACAAAACTGGGAACGACACTCAAACCATGAGTTCCAACTCTGCTTTGGAGGGGAAGCACAAACCATAATTTGCCATTTGAGACAGGAAGTGAATCGGAGTGTGCAAGGGAAACAAGGAAAGAGAAACCAAGGAAACAAGCAAGTCCAGGGCTTATATAAATGCCAAACCATCATAGGTTCAAGAATCTAAGAGGTGTCATTCTGAACATCATCAGGTTCATCCAAAAAGTAAATATGGGCGATCTTCTATTCCTATTTTGTGCCCTCCAATGAGTGCAGTGTGTTCAAATAGCATAAGACATTTATTTTTATCCAACTCAGAAACGTTATTGTGTAACATGGTTTCCAGGAGAAAATAATTTCCTGCACAAAAACAACAAAGTAGCAAGCACCTCCTTTAGCATTTCCTTACTGACCCTTGCAGACATGGAGACTTTAAAATGAAACGTAGCAGAAAATATACACACAGCTACATTCACCATGTCCCTTCTCCCTTACACCTTAGTGTAGCATGTTAAAGACTCTCTTGGAGCCCCAGAAAACCAACTACAAGCTTATTGTTAAGTTCATGCTCAAAGGACTTCTCTGGATCAAAAAACCCCCAAGTGCTAGAATTGCACTCACAGTTCTTTACATAAGAGATAAAACAGTCGTGACTGGAGTAAATGTCATGATCAAATTCTCCCATTTCCTCTCTGTTTGGAAATAATATAAAACAGAAATCACAACTAACCTGTAAGGAAGCCTTTAATTTGTTCCCCGGACTGGCCATAGCAGCAAGAATCGCTGTTGTAGTTGTACCAATGTTGGACCCCAAAGTTAGGGGATAAGCTCGGTCGATGCTTATAACACCAATTCCTAGTTGAAGGGGGGAAAAACAACATGAATTTTATCATTATTCATATGGCACTTTGAAGACTCCAAAGTATTTCATGTTTACGGCGTCCATTAAGACGGCCATAAAACTATAAGGTTAAGGGATAGCAATTTACCTACTACCACTTAAAGTCACAGCTGTATCAAAACATTCCTGCACTTTTATATACAATTTTTTTATTTCTTAAATTTATGTACCACCCCTCATCCAAAGACTTTTTACAACATAAAAAGACAGAATGGAAACACAAAGCAAAAAAACAAAAACAAAAACATACCCAATACCTCTTCTCCCACAAAGACATTTAAAAGGCCATGGGTGGTTTAATCAGCCCAAGGCCTGGTTATAGAGGAACATTTTTGCCTGACACCTAAAGCTATTTAACAAAAGCACCAGGCTAGCTTTGCTGGGGAGAGCATCCCACAAGCAGGGAGCAATTGCAGGAAAAGCTCGTTCTCCTGTTATCGCCCTCCAGACCTCTTGTGGAGGGAAGCACACAAAGAAGGACCTCGGATTGCGATTGGTTCATATGGGATCCTTGAGGCATTGTGGTCCTGAGCCATTTAAGGCTTTATAGGTCAAAACCAGCCCTTTGAATTGGGCCCAAAAACTAATTTGAAGCCAGCGCAGTTGAGCCAGGATCGGTGTTATATGCTGAAAACATCTCGCCGCTGAATTCTGCAACAGCCGAATTTTCTGAACCGGCATCAAAGGCGGTCCCATGCATAGAATAGAATATTTGTATTGTATTATTGTGTCTACAGTAAAATTCTGTTTCTTTCAAGCCCCCATTTTGGAAGCATGGCAATGGGCTGTCAGTCTAAAGCCACAAGTCATAAGAAATGGGGAACAGAGGAGGCGGGGGGAATGTTTCCATTTCTATGCCATAGTCTACCACTAGAGATCTAGGCAGGTCTATCGTGTAGATTTATTTTTGTTTCTTTAAAAGATCTGACAAAAATATACATAGTATTATATAAAAACCTGGAATTACCTCATTTGCTCCTAACTTTAGCAGCTGAAAGTTAGGCTAATTCAACACCCCCACCCCAAAAACCGTTACTTAAAATGCTTCCACACAACACTCACCAACCAGTGGAGTAATAGCAGATGTGAACACGGAACTGCTCTGAACCACAAAAGTCATAAAAGCACCAACTAACATGGCCATGTATCCTGTCACCCAAGCAAATGGATAAGGAAAATCTGGAAAACAAAAGTACAGGAGGCATCAGAGTCAGAATATTCTGCTCAAAATTACGTGTGGAACTGTTTAGCTAAACAACAAGGTGCCCTACTTAAACCACTTGCCAGAAAACTTGAAAGTCATTTGATCTTTACCTGAAATAAGAAGCTAAAAGGTGGTGACTTGTCCGCTAGGTATGTTTGCCTCATAGAACACTTTTTGTGTTTGGAAAGTTTAAAGTACATTTGTTGCCTTTTCCTGCTTGGCACCCTACCTTCTGAATCGCAGAGCTTGGAGTGCAACCATTAGATATTATTTGAATCAGGTTGAGGGATACTTTACTGGGTCAGGCTGAAATGTCCCCTGCCTCATAAATTTACTGCAGAATAAAGTTTCTTTCACAAACATCCCGTCCTGATCTGCTACTTCAGTAAGTGTACAAATGCTGTAAAGGCCAAACAGATGGATCTCTTCCACTCAACTGGCCCCTCAGCAGAAGAAAAATTGCCGACTGGTTGGGAAAACTCACATATCTCAATGGAAAAGGACCACAGGAAGCAGCTTCCAGGCAGCTTCATGAATGTATGATGGGTGACAAAAAAATTCTAGGGCTTCTAACATTTCCGCCCTCTATGCAGCCCAGTACTTTTCATTTGGTGATATATAAAAAGGTAAAGGGACCCCTGACCATTAGGTCCAGTCGTGACTGACTCTGGGGTTGCGGCGCTCATCTCGTTTTATTGGCCAAGGGAGCCAGCGTACAGCTTCCCGGTCATGTGGCCAGCATGACTAAGCCGCTTCTGGCGAACCAGAGCAGCGCACGGAAACGCCGTTTACCTTCCCGCCGGAGTGGTACCTATTTATCTACTTGCACTTTGACGTGCTTTCGAACTGCTAGGTTGGCAGGAGCAGGGACCAAGCAACGGGAGCTCACCCCGTCATGGGGATTCGAACTGCCGACCTTCTGATCGGCAAGCCCTAGGCTCTGTGGTTTAACCCACAGCATATATCTTTGTGATATATAGGTACAGGCAAAAGCAAAAGCAGGAATGGGGAAATATTTCAGTTTGCTCCACAATTTGGAGTGAACCTTCCTGGTCTGCATCCAATGGATCAGGCAGCCATCTTTCTTTCTTTTTTCCATACAGTGTCCCTGTAAACTCATCCCCATAGGTACATAGAAGCAACTGGGTTTTTTCTCTCCATACAATTACCAACGGAGAGATGGTACCCCATAGCATACTGTTGCTTCCAGGGACTTATTGGTCAAAAGTTTTTAACAATCACAGCAAGCAGAAGCAAATGATTTTTAAGTGGGAAAGAGAAAGAGCCATGAAAGCCCTCAGACCGCTTTCTAAGTGCTTTATAGTTTAAAAAAAAAAAAATAATAATTATGCAGGTGTGGTTTTTTGTTTGGTTTTTTGGATCCTGCCTTAAAAAGTCCAAATATGACATTTGACAGAATGGGCTTGCCTGGCCACTTATGACCAGGGACGAGAGCTGGATAAAAACCGTTCTGTTCCTCCAGAGACAAAAATATATGACCCACTGGTACATGTTGCACTAGCTTTTATTGATTCCACTGCATTATGGACAAGAAAAGCCATTATACATTGTGCTTAACGTATTTCTATTTGCTATGCTATGTAATAAAAAGAAAGAGAGAGATTGTTACCCGTGTTGAATGTCTTCTTGATAATATTTGCTACTTGTCCTTGCAGTACAGAATTCAGTAATTTAACGATGAGTATCAGGCAAACGCACAAACAGAGCAGCGAGAAGGCAAGGAGGATGAGGCCGACGGCAGTTTCTGAGAGACCTGAGTCTACAAAAATGTGATTACCTATGGGGGGGGAGAGATACAGAATTTTTAGTCACACACGCACACAATTAGTCTGCTCTGGGAGCTGTCAAGTTGGCATGTTATTCCCCATGCAAGTGCAACTCCCCTCACCTCCATGGCGATGCAGCATGTGGAAACAATGATAACAAAAAAACCTTTTCCTATATCTATCCATCCAAAATATACCAATGCTATACAGTGGGCGCTCGGGTTGCGAATGTGATCTGTGCGGGATGCACATTCGCAAGCCACGTCTGCGCACATGCGGGTTGCAATTCCGCACTTCTGCTCATTTGCAAAGCGCGATTTAGCACTTTTGCGCATGCGCAACCGCCGAAACCTGGAAGTAACCCGTTCCAATACTTCTGGGTTTTGGTGGTCCGCAACCCGAAAAAAATGCAACCTGAAGCGGCTGTAACACAAGGTATGACTGTACAGTGGCACCTTGGGTTACATACGTTTCAGGTTACATACGCTTCAGGTTACAGACTCCGCTAACCCAGAAATAGTACCTCGGGTTAAGAACTTTGCTTCAGGATGAGAACAGAAATCGTGCTCCGGCGGTGCAGCGGGAGGCCCCATGAGCTAAAGTGGTGCTTCAGGTTAAGAACAGTTTCAGGTTAACAACGGACCTCCGGAACAAATTAAGTACTTAACCCGAGGTACCACTGTATTTCCCAAGGGGTCTCCCTATTCTGACATGCATTGGGGCAGATAGATGGGATACACTGCATGTTTTACGTTGCATTTGAATTTTTGCGGTTTTGACAACATCGATGGCACAGAACAGGCATGTCCAGCTTGAACTAAGCTGTGATCTACGATCTAATATAAAAACTGGCAGTGATCTACCACCCAGGGATGGGTGCAAGGTGGGCAGGCGGGTACTGGCTGCTTCCCCTGAGGGGGCAGGCGCACGATCTACGAACATTCATCCCACAATCAACTGATCGATCGCAATTGACGCATTGGACATGCCTGGCATTGAAGAACTACTAGTCTTGGCTGTCCTTGAGTGCAAACCCAGGTCATCAAGTCTGAGCTTTCACAGCTGCTGCCCACACTGAACTGCCATAGGCAGACTGGCAGCAATAGCAGCAGATACGTTCTATGCCAGGGGTCAGCAAACTTTTTCAGCAGGGGGCCGGTCCACTGTCCCTCAGACCTTGTGGGGGGGGGCAGACTATATTTTTGGGGGGAAATGAACGAATTCCTATGCCCCACAATATCCCAGAGATGCATTTTAAATAGAAGGACACATTCTACTCATGTAAAAACACCAGGCAGGCCCCACAAATAACCCAGAGATGCATTTTAAATATAAGGGCACATTCTACTCATGTAAAAACACGCTGATTCCCGGACCGTCCGCAGGCCGGATTTAGAAGGCGATTGGGCCGGATTTGGCCCCCGGGCCTTCATTTGCCTACCCATGTTCTACGCTTGAGGTAATACTTTATTACATTGCATTTTTGTATATATATATATTTTCTTATACACATCCTTCCCCCTTTTTTCTCTGTATCACTTTATTTCTTCATAAGTGACATTCTTTCAATAAAATATTAATATTAGAAAAGATAAGACTTTATTTCTTGCTAATTATGCTGTTTCCAATGTGCGTTTTATATCTGACGTCCTTTAGTAATGTTTTCTTTTGAAATGTTAAGGTGACTTTTTTGTTAACTTTGCTGCGTTACTTGTGCATTCTGTACTTGACATTCTTTGTAATAAATAATAATAATAATAATAATAATAATAATAATAATTTATTTATACCCAGCCCATCTGGCTGGGCTTCCCCAGCCACTCTTCCAAAAAAATATTAAAATACTGTAATACATCAAACATTAAAAGCTTCCCTAAACAGGAAAATAAAATATTTTTAGTTTCCTGTTAATTATGTTGCTTTGAATGTATACTTTATATTTGATTTTCTTCTGAAGTGTTTTATTCTGGGTTGTCTTATTTGATGCTTTAATGTAGGTTTGTAAACCTACATTATATTCCGGTTCCTTAAAAATATAAAGCAGTATAGCTGAGATTCCTGCATTACAGGGGGTTGGACATTGCTACGATTCTATGATTCTGTGAAATAAAATGAATGAATCAATAATCAATCAATACAAAGACTAACCCTTTAGATAGTATTACCAGGAGCTTTTCGGCAGTGCTTCCATTGTGGGTGGTAATATTTAAACCAGTTCACAGCACTGTTGCGTTTTGCCTCACCTGATGTGTCTCACAAAACAGACTTATTTTAAGACTGCCTTAGATGAAAGATAGTTGGACAACAATCACAATCTTCCAGTGCACCACAACCAGTTTGGGTGCATTGCCTCTACAATTTTCCAGTGCTGGAAAAATTCCCCAGCCAAGATTACCGTGTTTTTCGCTCTATAGGACGCACCCGACCATAGGATGCACCTTGTTTTAGAGGGGGGAAACAGGGAAAAAAATTCTCCCCCTCTCTGCGCAGTGCCCCTTCAGCGAAGCGGCAGGAGAAACGAAGCCCCTTTCATTTCTCCTCCTGCTTCACTGAAGGGGCGCTGCGCAGAGAGGGAAAACTGTGCAGTGCCTCTCCAGCGAAGTGTGCACCGACCCCTCTTGCTCTCCCGGCTTCAGTGAAGGCAACCCGAAGCCTCCGGAGGGCAGCGGGAACTCGCACTGCACTCCGAAGGCTTCAGGCGGCTCTCCCTGAAGCCTGGAGAGCGAGAGGGGTCTGTGCGCACCGACCCCTCTCGCTCTTCAGGCTTCAGCGAAAGCAACACACTCCCCCTGCGCTTCGGAGGCTTCACGTTGCTATCGCTGAAGCCAAGGAGCCTGCATTCGCTCCATAGGAAGCACACACATTTCCCCTTAATTTTTGGAGGGGAAAAGGTGCGTCCTATAGAGCGAAAAATACGGTATATCGCCTCCCCCCCCCCCAACACTCTCTCTCACACTGCACACTTCATTTTTGTACAGGCATACCTTTGATCAGAATGGCACCACTGCAACGTTTGAATCACACCCATTGATAGAGAGCCATCGCCATAATATTTTATATTGTGCTGTCTCTGCGAAGAGGTTTTACAATGCAAGGGGCAGAGATGGATTGCTGGACTCGAAAGCCCGAAAAAGCTCTACGTTATGAGATACAGAAAAGCGGCGTTTTACTTACATTTTTTAATATATTCTGTGGTGGATATATTTCGTATCGTCCAGGTCAAATTTCCATCTCTCCAACAAAGGTCTGGGGAGGTGCAATTTTCCCACGCTGGGATAGTAACATTCATTGGATCCTAGACATCAACAAATAAAGCAGAGCAATGAAATAAACGCTCCACATTTATTTATTTATTAAATTTGTAATCTCACCCTTTCCCTGCAAAGGAGCCCAGCGTTGCCAAACAAGTGATAAAATAATAATAATAATAATAATAATAATAATAATAATAATAAACAATTCCAGTACAGATGCAGACTGGGAAAGGTCTCAGGGTTTTCTTGTAATGATCTATTGCACATCTCAAAAGCACTATAACAAAGAACTCATCACAGTGGTTAAAGTAGGATACCTCTAATGGATGAATCCTCTCTTGGCCTCCCTCCCACACTCATCATAATGAAAAGCATTCTATTAATGAGGCTAATAATATTATTATTATTAATCTACCTTGCCAAGCAGAGCTTGGATGTATTTGAACACTCTAAAGCATTATACAAATGCTAAGTAGTATGATTGTGCCAATCCAAACAATGAATCTCAAAACTAAATCTCCCTCCCTTTCTTCCTTCCTTTTCCTTCCTTCCTTCCTTCCTTCCTTCCTTCCTTCCTTCCTCTCTCTCTCAGCTTTCAGTAGCTGTAAAGCAGTGATATGATACCCCAACGCAATATTTATAATCTTCGAAGGAAGAATTGTAAAGCCAATTTCAGCATTTTTTATCTTTTATTTTTGAGGCTGGATAAAACCTCCCCTTCTGAAGATTTGTAGTCAGGTGGACTGCTTATTTAATGATGATACAATATCTAATGTACATTATGGAACACAGGAACTTAATACTTACCACTTCGGTCTTGGTTTCGCACCAAGTTAGCACTAGGCTTTTGTTTTTTGCTTCCTCATCACCTGTAGCAATTGCACTTATCACCGATTTATCAAGCTGTTAAAGCAAATGGGAAATAAGGTTTGGGTTATTGCATCATTTAATAATACATTCCTCCCAAGTTCCATCTCTTTGTCACAATCTAAAAGGTAAAGGTAAAGGGACCCCTGACCATTAGGTCCAGTCGTGGCCAACTCTGGGGTTGCAGCACTCATCTCACTTTATTGGCCGAGGGAGCACTGTTTACCTTCCCGCCGGAGTGGTACCTATTTATCTACTTGCACTTTCGAACTGCTAGGTGGGCAGGAGCAGGGACCGAGCAACGGGAGCTCACCCCGTCGCGGGGATTCAAACTGCCGACCTTCTGATCGGCAAGTCCTAGACTCTGTACTTTAACCCACAGTGCCACCCGCGTCCCTGTGTTGTCACACTCTACTAGAACCAAATAATACGATCCAGGGCTAGCTAGGCAGATAGCAATGGTCTCATTTAAAACCTGGTTGGGTCAGTGTATCTGCACTACTTGCAAGTGTGGAGAAAGAGACAGTCCTAGTCCTGAAGCTGGGATTATATCAGAAAGAGAGAAAAATTTAGTTCCCCACCCTCGCGATGTACCCAAGTACACCCTTTTACATTCTCCCTTAGATATGAATGCCTGAAATTCATTCCTGTAGTAAAAAATAATTAGATGAGCCACTGGAACAGACTTGTAACACTTAGTGGCCTGTATCCCACTGAGAGGGGATGATAACAACAACAACAACAACAACAATAAATAATAATAATTATTTATACCCCATCTGGCTGGGGTTGTGGCACTCATCTCGCTTTCATGCCAAGGGAGCCAGCGTTTACAGCTTTCCGGGTCATGTGGCCAGCATGACTAGCCGCTTCTGGCGCAACGAAACACCATGACGGAAACCAGAGCGCACGGAAATGCCGTTTGCCTTCCCGCCCCAGTGGTACCTATTTATCTACTTGCACTGGTGTGCTTTCGAACTGCTAGGTTGGCAGGAGCTGGGACAGAGCACTATAACACTATAATGGCTGCTTATCTGGGGTCCCAGGGTGGGTGGGTGGCAGTTGTGACCCTTCGCGGACACCCCTAAATTCCCAGAGGGCAGGCAAGGACTGCCTCAAGGGCCAACTGTTGGGGAATCACCCTGGCCAGCTGCTAAGGATGACAGGATATCCTGCCTAAGCAAAGCTTGGATGGCAGACCGAAGGGGAGAAGACTTCACTCTGGTCCTCTGCCTAGACATTTAAGCCACCTGGGTCTGAGTTCGGAACAACACTTAGCTGAAAACCAACATATGGTACGCACTGTAACACCATAACATATGGGGCTCCTCTGTATTTTACCTCCACGCAACACTATATTAAGCTTTTTTTCCTATCACAGCAGTCGAAAAGGCATCAACAAAAAGGGAGTGGAATCATTATTGCCGCTTTGGTCTTAAGCCAATTGGGCCTGTATTTAAGTAGCATGCCCTTTCATCTCAGGACTTGCTTCCTGTACCCGTGAGGGCAGTTAGTATGGGAAACAAATCCTAAGAGGAAAGGTAAAAAGGAAATAGCTTAGCCTGAAAATAGAAAGGAAGAGGTCGGGGTGGGGGCGACACACGATAGCACTCTTCAAACTCTGAAGGGCACAGAAGGCAGAATTAGATTGATCAGGCTTAATTTCCATGAGGATAAATTTCAGCTGATCATTAGGAGAAATTCCCTAGCAGCTGTTCGACATTGGAACCTATGACCAGGGCTGGTGGGGTGGACTCCCTTTGCTGAAAATATTCCAAGTGGAGTCCAGAAGACAGACATTAGTTTGGGATGCTCAAGCGCTGAATTTTCTGTGTTTCACAGAGCTTGCTTTAGCTCACCTCCACGATTCCTTCCAACCAATTCTAATCTATTTTTATTGTAATGTTGCGAGGCTTTCATGTCTCTTATGTCTGGAAACTGAAACACCGTACTTTTCCATGTAGAAGACTGGGGGTTTTTTTACTTTAGAATTATGTGGAAAACTGTGGGTCGTCTTATACATGGGGCAATCTCCCCCCTATTTTCTTAAATTGGAGTCCCTAAAAATAGTCTTATACATGGAAAAATACGAGAGAGAGAGATGGTTTATGATCAGTTCTCAGCTCAGTTCTCAGTTCTTTGAAGTCAAGCTATGAAGGCAAAGTGCACATTCTAAAAAGCATATTTTTTCAAAAACAAGATTCTAACTCATGGGAATAACAATAACATCTGCTCAGAAGCCTTCCCTCCATAAGAACGACAATACTATTAGGGAGGGACAAGTCATATCTGAGTACCTAAAGATGCTTCGGCAAATATTAACTAACCGAGGAAAAAGCCTACCTGGATTATAAGTTTTGTAAGTGGATCGGTGATCACTTTCAGCAGCTGAGGGGCATCTTCCCCACTTTCAAGCTGAAACGAGTTCATAATGACATTGGTGAGGTGATACAGATAGTGCGTGGCAACTTCAATAGGCAATAGGACAGCCACTGACAGCCAGTTAAAGAAATCGTGGATTGTTGCTCCGGCGAAGGCCCTGCAGAAAAAGCAAAGGAAGACAAAAGGGTAAACCCACATGCTGGAAGACACCAAAGAAAGGTAAATTAACATTCTTTTAAGAGAAAGGAGCAAGTAATCTATTCTTTATCACGGTAGATTAACATACCCTGCAACACCTCTCTGATGAAACTACGGAAGTTCTAAGGGAAAGTGGGGCATTCCGGGATCAGATCAGAAACCGGGAAGACTTCTATAAATCTAGGACAGTCCCCGGAACATAGGGACACTTGGAAGGTCTGGATTAAGAACAAGAGAGACAATTTGCCACCTCATTGCTCAAGATTCCTATTGCTGAGCATTCCTGGCTTCCACAGATGGCAGGAAGTCTCAGTGGTAGTGATACTTGGTCCTGGTTCACAACTGAGGAGGTAAAGGTAAAGGTAAAGGGACCCCTGACCATTAGGTCCAGTCATGGCCGACTCTGGGGTCGCAGCGTTCATCTCGCTTTACTGACCGAGGGAGCCGGTGTACAACTTCCGGGTCATGTGGCCAGCATGACTAAGCCACTTCTGGCGAACCAGAGCAGCGCACAGAAACGCCGTTTATCTTCCCGCCGGAGAGGTACCTATTTATCTACTTGCACTGCGTGCTTTCAAACTGCTAGGTTGGCAGGAGCTGGGACCGAGCAATGGGAGCTCACCCCGTCACGGGGATTCAAACCACTGACCTTCTGATTGGCAATCCCTAGGCTCTGTGGTTTAACCCACAGCGCCACCCGCGTCCCTCAAAGGTAATGGGACCCCTGACCATTAGGTCCAGTCACGGATGACTCTGGGGTTGCGGCGCTCATCTCGTTTTACTGGCCGAGGGAGCCGGCGTATAACTTCCAGGTCATGTGGCCAGCATGACTAAGCCGCTTCTCAGGAGTGGTGCTACTTAGTCCTGGTTTGCAACTGAGAAGAGAGCACTGGAAACCTATGCTGCTTTCAAAACAGAGGCGCCATGTTGTGCCCAAGATTGAGGGAGCCTGCCACACAATGTGCTCTTGTGGCATCACGTGCCTGGCATGTGGTGCGTGTGTGATGTCACATTTTGGGGGTGGCCAGCGGCTCCTCCTCTCTCACGCTCAGGTGGGGCTGGGCCCTGAAACCATACTGTGCTTGGCTTGGCCTCTTTGCCCCCTCAACCCTGAGGGGCCCCGGCCTCCCTCCCATCGGATATTGTGGGGGTCAAAGGCATCTCATCCCTACAGAGTCGGCAGCCCTGTCTCAAAACATCTGCTTCGTTTGCAAATATGCAGAGAGAAAAGCACAACTATGTTTGCTATGTGGTGCAGATAGCCTGAGACAACTTCAACAGGCAATGACACCAATGCTCAAAGTCAGTTAAAGAAACTGCAACATCAGAATAAACCTTCAAACTCTGAGGACTCCAAACCAACCACCAATTGATAATACAATCATCAGGCAAATTATTAATTCTTGGATTCAGTAATAAAAGATTAATAACGACCAATCTCACAACGCTGTTTTATGACAAGGACTGTATGAAAAGGTTACTGTACAAATGTAGGGTAGATATGATTTGGCTTAAGAAGATTTATTTGTGACATCAATCTCACAATCCCAGGGCACAATACACAAACAGGCAGCACTGATGTGCAGATAATGAAAGGAGCACATGCTCCACAACACAAGGTGTAGCAGTCATATGGACACAGGAACAACCCAAAGTTCATTCATCTAAATAAGACCACAAACTCTTCCCCTGCTGTGCTACCGCTCAGTGGCGCTGTGGGTTAAACCGCAGAGCCTAGGGCTTGCCGATCAGAAGGTCGGCAGTTCAAATCCCCGCGACAGGGTGAGCTCCCGTTGCTCGGTCCCTGCTCCTGCCAACCTAGCAGTTCGAAAGCACGCCAGTCCAAGTAGATAAATAGGTACCGCTCCGGCGGGAAGGTAAACGGCGTTTCCGTGCGCTGCTCTGGTTCGCCAGAAGCGGCTTAGTCATGCTGGCCACATGACCTGGAAGCTGTATGCCGGCTCCCTCAGCCAATAAAGCGAGGTGAACGCCGCAACCCCAGAGTCGGCCACGACAGGACCTAATGGTCAGGGGTCCCTTTCCCTTTACCGCTCAGTTCAGATGCACCCGATACAAGAAGGTGCTTTCACTAGTCATGTTAGTTGCTTGTAAGTATTGTAGGATGTTATACTATTAACATAAAAAAGGCAACTAGTGAAGTAGTAATGCTCGTGTTTTTCTTTGACCACAGAGAACTGCCATATTGGGCAACAACCATTTTAGTTTCAATGGGTCGAGAGGGGGGCATGGTATGAGGAGAATTGGAATGGCTGAGGGACTCACTGCTATCCTGTGCTCAAGGGCCCCCAAACTATAAAGGCCCATATTTTGGGGGATACGTCACCCCTGCATGGGACGCGGGTGGCATTGTAGGTTAAACCACAGAGCCTAGGACTTGCCGATCAGAAGGTTGGCGGTTTGAATCCCCATGACGGGGTGAGCTCCCATTGCTCGGTCCCAGCTCCTGCCAACCTAGGAGTTCGAAAGCACGTCAAAGTGCAAGTAGATAAATAGGTACTGCTCCGGCAGGAAGGTTCACCAGAAGTGGCTTAGTCATGCTGGCCACATAACCCGGAAGCTGTACGCCGGCTCCCTCGGCCAATAAAGCAAGATGAGCACCGCAACCCCAGAATTAGCCACAACTGGACCTAATGGTCAGGGGTCCCTTTACCTTTACCTCACCCCTGCATATTAGTACTGCTGCAAGGCTTCAACCAATATTCATCTAGCCCGATTATTGCACATTTTGCAGATGAATAATGCATTCTTGTGTGCTAAGAGGCGTTGTCTTAAGCATGTAGCCACTGAGGGTAGGGTGAGAAAGGTGGAAAACAGAGTGACGTACTTTATTTTTTACTATTTTAATTTTATAGATAATATAGGAAGCAATCAGTGTTTTTCTCAACTGTCCAGTAAAAGAAACTGTTTAATCAAATTTATATACCATGCTTCATCAAAAGATCTCAGAGGGTTTCACAGAATATCATGCAATACTGTAATGCAGTATAAATAAAAATGTCATTGCATACATTTTGGGAATTTCTACAGTTAAATATCACAACCTGCTCCTATATTTGATTGTAGCTTAAGTTTAAAACACTGGTACCTTCTAAACTGGTTCCTGTCTCCAGCTTGCATGAGCGCCACAACGGTGTTTGTGACAGAAGTACCAATATTGGCTCCCATCATGATCGGAATTCCATGCCGAACACTGAGTACTGCAAGATATCGGAAACAACAGGAGATGAAAAATGGAAGGGATGGGCAGTGTTGGTATCTACAGTACATTGAACCAACTTAGGACCTTCCTTTGTTCTTGAGACACAAAAGTAACTAACTTGAGGATCAGAAAGCTTGTTTTGCACTAATCAGAATATGGAGAAAGCACCAACTGTTGAGTTTAGAACATGGCTAAATGATATCACAGTGGGGTTCGGATCTAAGTCATCCGCCAAAACATTACAACCCAATTTCCAACAGGTTATTGACTGCGTCTTATATTTTAGACTTGCAGAGTTGCCTTTTTCCCTGTCATTTCCCCCCTCCCCCTTCACCCACTACATTGCTCCTAAGAGTCCTTTCCTACTCAGGGTTATAAAATCCAGACCAAGTCTCACACAACTGAAAAGAGTTGCTCAGAAAGGCAACATTCTGTCAGGTGTACTTCCTCCTATCTTTACAACGGGGAAAGGCACAACAAACACAATGTCCGTTCCTGTTTCCAATATGATATTCCCATAGCAGTTTTTTATGAAAATGTTTTTCCAATATCCCCTTTGCTCTCTATATTTGTGTGTGCACAACTTTCAGGATGACCTGCACAAATCTATAATCATAGAATTTATTTATTTATTTATTTATTTATTTAAAGATTTTCTTGTTTTACAGAAGTATGTGTAATGTCTCTCGTATTTTTTCCATGTAACATTTTTATAAATCTGTTTCATTTGTTGAGACATTAGGGGGAGAAAAAAAAGGGGTGGAGGGGGGGAAGATGGGACGGGGTGGTGATGTTTCTAATATGCTTAATGTATGTAGAGTTTGGTGTCAGCGTTGCTCGTGCAGGTTCTCTGCTGTTCGCTTGTGTTCCTTTGGTGGTGAGAGAGGTTGGGGTTGGCCTAGCGTGTGGTTCTTTGTTTGTGATTGGCTGCAGTGATCTTTGTTTTCGTGTGTGAGTGAGGTGGGTGGGTGTTTTGGATCAGGTTAGCCATATTGATTTGTATGCTGTTGGTGAATTATTGTCATTGTCTTGTTAGACTGTGTATGTGATAAAGGGGAGCCATACCGGGGTGAAGGCGTCTTCTTCTGTTTGTCCCCGTGTCAGTTTCAGTTTATTGGTTAATTTTTCTAGTAGGGCTGTTTCCCATACTATTTGGTACCATTGGTCCATGCTTACTCCTGACAGGTCTCTCCAGTGTCTGGTTATGGTGTTTCTGGCTGCTGAAAGTAGGTGGGTTATGAGTTCTTTGTGGTGTAAATGGGCATTGTTGTCTTGGAAGATGTTTAGTAGGGCCAGTTCTGGGGTGATGTCTAATACGTGCTTAGTTATTTTACATATTTCTCGTATGGCTGTTATAATCACAGAATTGTAGAGTTGGAAAAGACCCCAAGGGATGACCCCCTGCAATGCAAGAATTTCAACTAAAACATCCATTAACTACCAATCCTTTGTACCATTAACCTACTTGAAGAGGACACCATGCTGACGATGATGGATGAAGACGTGCTTGAGCTCTGCACCATGACTGTCACCAGAAGGCCAATCATCACGCCTGCAAGAGGATTTGCTAACACGGAGCCTTCTTTGAAGATGTCCCCTGCTGCTTTGCCTACAAAAAAGATAGATTGTGTCTTTGAATAACATAATTGCTACCTATATGAAGAAAACCCAGTTTCCAACTTCTAAATGGTTCCAACATCTAAAAAAATGTAGGATAAACACCAACAACTGGGAAACACTGGCCTGCAGTCGCTCCAATTGGAGAACAGCCTTGACCAAAGGTGTCATGGGCTTTGAAGACGCTCAAACTCAGGGCGAAATGGAGAAACATGCTAAGAGGAAGGCACACTTGGCAAACCCTCACCATGATCAACGCCCACCCAGAAACACATGTCCCCACTGTGGAAGGACGTGTGGATCCAGAATTGGCCTCCATTGTCACTTACGGACTCACTGTTAAAACCGTGTTTATGGAAGACAATCTTACTTGGCTACGAGTGGATCGCCAAAGAAGAAGAAGACCTATACGCAGAAAACCCAGTTTCCAATTTTCTGTCGTGCTTTTGTGCCAGGGGGCAGCTCTGCGTATTGTGGCAGGGGTGATTATTGACTCACCAAAGGTATTTCCTATGCCATTAAATAGAGATTGCCCCCACCCCCACCCCCACCCCCCAGAGAATCCAACTCTTATGCTTCCTGTATAAAATATTTTGGCTGCCGTTCATTCATGTAAGGAAGAGAAAATAACTGCTTGCTCTGATGCAAAGGCAAAAGCACCCCAAGACTTAGGGCCTCCTCAACCTCGGCCTTCCAGATGTTTTGAGACTACAATTCCCATCATCCCTGACCTCTGGTCCTTCTATCTAGGGATCATGGGAGTTGTAGGCCAAAAACATCTGGAGGGCCAAGTTTGAGGAAGCCTGACTTTGGGCTTATATCAACACTTCCTTTTGTCCTATTCCTTCCCCCCAAGTAAAACCACTCTTTGGTGCTCAATCGAAGCAAACAGCCATTTGGGTTTCCCCCAGATTGCTGTTTGTTCCTATCTATTGCTAAAGAGCAGTTTTTCCCTTAGAAAGGAGAGGGGCAAGGGGGAAATTGCTTGAAGCCGCACTTTCCAGGCATGGGACAAGCAGATGTGTGGGAGATCCCTTGTCCAGATACTACTGACAGCAATGAACAGTAGACATTATTCTTCTTCCTCTTTCTGACAGCAGCTGCAGGGTTTTGGGAAAGGTATCACTATATAGAACCATAGGGGTGTGTGGTGTTTTTGTGTGTGTGTGTGTGTGTGTGTGTGTGTGTGTGTGTGTGTGGTGTGTGTGTGTTCACTGCCTTTGTCATGAATCTGTAAAGTGGTAATAATAATAATAATAATAATAATAATAATAATAATAATTTATTTTTTATATCCCACCCATCTGGCTGGGTTTCCCCAGCCCCTCTTTTACCCACAAAATCTCACACTACATAATGCCTTTGTAAAAAGTTTAAGGTTCCATAGAACAGTCTAGCTTGACTTGTAATTCATCCCAACGACTGACAGCATCTATACCATCCGAGACTAATACCTGAAGCTAAAATAAAGCAATGTCAACACCCCCTTGGAATGCTGAAAACAAAAGGTGCCTTTGCAAACAAAGGGGCGTCAGCATTCATTTACTGACACTTTCTTTTTCTGTTCATCTGTTTGAAGTGGGTTCTTCTGGAGGGGTGAGGCTTAACCCAACAAGATCCTTTTTACAGAAACAGAGACTTAGGCAATCAAGATGAAAGTGTTTTCCTACCTCCTACTAACTGGAAGCCTGAGCTGAGCACATCCAAGGCACAGACAAAAAAGTAGAGCAGGACAAGCAAGAGAATAAACTTTCCAAATCCTTTTGTCACACGGAGTATTTTGCCTTTCGCATCCAGCTCTGTAAAACACAAAACAAGTTTGGATATACAAAACAGCAAAGAATCTAATACTTGATTTTCCGCAATCAATCGGTTTCCTGCAAGTCTGTGGAGTCAAGGCTGATGCTGTGAGTTTGGTGGATGATAAACCAGAAGGAATGTTCTCATTATTAAAATTTAACTGTAGCTAAAAGATTCTTACGAAGCTATAAAAACCCAATAAGATTTTTTTTAAAAAAAACACAAAACCAATAACCCCTTCTCACCCTACTTAAAGCAAAATGTGAGAATGATAAACTTTATTTTTTTATGTTTTTACTCAAATTTCATAATATTATTAGTAATAGCATCATTAATTGTAAACAAAAAGGGGCAGAAGATTATTACAACAGAGTTCCCATGCACTTTTAAGCGTTGGAAGATCGCGCTGAATTTGCCTGTTGTGCTACACATCAGCACAGGTCGATGTGAATTTAAATAATTCACTGTATATCCCTAATAGGTGGTGTCTTCGCTTGATGGAATTGCCTGGTTGGCTCCTCCATCTTGTTTCTACCCCTGGAAATACAGAAGGTAAAGTGTTTCCATGGGTAGAGGAGGGTTCTACAGAACCAGTCCACAACTCTAAACTTCCACTTGTCACCAAAACATAAGCAGCTCCTGTGCGGATCTTCCCACCACAGGAAGTGGAGAACTGCCTTAGACCTCGCTAAAAGACTAAAGGGCTCCAGAAAATGAAACAGACTTTGAGGCCAAATAATGGTTTGGAGGCACAAGCCACTGCAAAAACAAAGGATTTCTGAGCTTGTTAAGATTCCTGAATGGAGTCTGCCTGGTAATCCACGTGAAAACCATTCTGAGCTGTTTGGACAACAAGGCATTACGTCTTGCCACTGAGTTCAGCAGGAAGAATAAAGGTAAAGGACCCCTGACCATTAGGCCCAGTCGTGGCAGACTCTGGGGTTGCGGCGCTCATCTCGCTTTGTTGGCCGAGGGAGCCGGCGTACAGCTTCCGGGTCATGTGGCCAGCATGACTAAGCCGCTTCTGGCAAACCACAGCAGCGCATGGAAACGCTGTTTACCTTCCCGCCGGAGTGGTACCTATCTATCTACTTGCATTTCTACGTGCTTTCGAACTGCTAGGTTGGCAGGATTTCAATATTGTAGCAGGTATTAATGGGCAATGGTGCCATAGGTAATTTTAGACTCTGGACTGAACAGTCTTAGGGGAATCTATCGATGGCAATGCGTATTATTTCTGTTGAAGATGTGGTACCCAGCCATGACTAAGCTGCTTCTGGCGAACCAGAGCAGCGCACGGAAACACTGTTTACCTTCCCGCCGGAGCGGTACCTATTTATCTACTTGCACTTTGACGTGCTTTCGAACTGCTAGGTTGGCAGGAGCAGGGACCAAGCAATGGGAGCTCACCCTGTTGCGGGGATTCGAACCACCAACCTTCTGATCGGCAAGTCCTAGGCTCTGTGGTTTAACCCACAGGAAGAATACAATTACAAAATAATAAAATAGCAAACATGGAAAGCTTTTAAAAAGAATGAGTGGTGTACAATATATTCCGTAGTGGAAGACAAGGTTCATATTTGTACCAAGCATATCAAATGATCATGAATGTTGCCAAATAAACGCATATTTAGTGGGAATGTGTCAGTCATAATATAATTTGGTCATGTAAATCACAAATGACCCTCCCAGCAGAAACAAAGTTGGAGGGCAGTGGCAGCTTTTCAGAAACACGACTTTTTAAAACCATGGTTCCCTAGAATAACAAGATGCATCCTTCCACCTTTGAGAGATTACTAGACCAGCGGAAACCAACAGATATGGAATTAATTGTTGAGAAGTAAGGTCAGCATTGACACCATCAAAAATGGACACAGCTTAGAGTCCAAGGTGATCTGTTTGCCAACAGCAATACCAATTTTGTTTGCAACCTGCTTGCAGAACCCAGTGACATTTGAACACCCTAAATAGGTGATTTAGGGTGATTCCACCCTAAATGGAAAAGAAGGTTGCAGCTTGAGAGAATTCCCCTGCTTCCATAACATGGGAAACGCAACATGTTCAATGGGAGACCTTTCAATAGCAGATGCACTGTTTTGCTGCTTTGCCTACTCAGCTGTCCACTTTGAAACAAAGCATGTTAAATCAGAGAATACAGATAGTTTGGTGTTACCGGTAGGTAAATAAAGGCACAAAGTTTCAGAGCCAATGATTAAAACAACTTCCACCTGGGCTTTGCTGTCCCTTTTTCTAGAAAGCTAATGTTTGAAAATTGTAGCGTTAGAAGGGTCCCGGAGGATCTCAGGCACGTCCAACAGGTAGATCGTGATCTACCAGTAGATCACTGGACGTCTGCGGTAGATCACTGGCAGATCACTGGCTCTCCCCAAAGAAGCTCAACAAGTTTGTCTCCCCTAAAAAAATCTCCACATCTTTGTCCAGAACCCCAGAAAACAGGGCTTTCCTTCCTAAAAAAAAGCTCAAAAACTTTGACCCAAATAAAAACTTTGACTCAAAAAACTCCAAAAAAGGGGACAGATCACTGTCAGTCTTTAACTCTATGAGTAGATCACAGCCTCTTGGGAGTTGGGTACCCCATTCCAGTCTAACCCGCTGCAATGCAGGAAGCACAAATTAAAGGTGGAAAAGTATAAATATCCATGACAGGTTCTTACCTGACCACTTTACTCCTGTGTTCTGGAGCTCTGGCAAACTCCATGGGTCAAATTCTGGCGCTGGTTCTGCTGCCAAGGCAATGGTGGAGTAAGCGGGCAAAAGTTCCAGCTGATTTCCTACAGGAACCGCTTCACCTGAGAGAACCAGCAAGCAAGTCAATAACTGTTTCCTACCTATCCTTGAGTATAGAACTCGCAAGCTTCTAAACAGAATGTGAATATAGGATATATAGGAGTAGGGACTGTAACTATTTATGTACCTTTTGAATTGTTCATCGCTCTGTCAGACATGACTTGATTTTCTTGGGCTTTGCTTGCGTCTGTTCCTGCTAGTTCAGGCCTTGGAGCCATCGCCTGCAAAGAGATGATCCACCAACGAAAGGTCAGCGCCAAAGCATTTCCATGCAAAAGGGTTCATTATATGAATCTCGGGCAATCAACTCTGAATACTAACCTGTATGAACCAATGCCATTTCCTCAAGGGAATGCTATCAACAGCACATTTCCCAACCCCTTTATTTTAACTAAGGTAGCTCACATTCCACATTACATTAAATATCTGAACAAACCCAAACAGCTACCTGTTTATCAATCTACCAAATACACAATCATGAACGAACAATTGTCTCTCACTTTCGACTCTTTCATCTCTTACTACTCTAAAGAGGAAAATACCATAGTTCTAAGCATTTTAAATGTCACCTAAATGGGGACGCGGGTGGCGCTGTGGGTTAAACCACAGAGCCTAGGACTTGCCGATCAGAAGGATGGCGGTTCGAATCCCCGCAACGGGGTGAGCTCCCGTTGCTCAGTCCCTGCTCCTGCCAACCTAGCAATTCGAAAGCACGTCAAAAGTGCAAGTAGATAAATAGGTACCGCTCCAGTGGGAAGGTAAACGGCGTTTCCGTGCGCTGCTCTGGTTTGCCAGAAGCGGTTTAGTCATGCTGGCCACATGATCCGGAAGCTGTACGCTGGCTCCCTCGGCCAATAAAGCGAGATGAGCGCCGCAACCCCAGAGTCGGCCACGACTGGACCTAATGTCCCTTTACCTTTAAACGGGGACAGTTTTAGGCTGAACTCCTGTGCATCTTTACTGCACAAAGGCAACACTGAACAGAGGAAATATGTGCAGGATTATGCTCTCAATGTTAATTCATTTATTTCATCTTTGGTAGAAAATGACAGTGCTAATGGCTGTTTTATATCCTCCCCCCCCCCCTTCTTGGTTCCTAATTATTCCATTGACTTCCTAGAGTGATACTAGCTCATTTTTGTGAACATTAAATTGTTGTTAGGCTTTTTTTTTTCTATTCCTCCTTTCCTTTAAATTGTTCAATTCCATTTGGCAGTAACAAGAACCCTCTAATCAAGAACTAGTGTCTGGGGTTTGTTTTTTTCTTTCTCCCTCCCAATCTCTTTTCCTTTTATGTCGTAACCCTGAGGTTGCATTAATTTGAAGAGGTACAAAGCCTTTTTTCCCGGTATGTGGCCTGTCCAAAAAACAGTCTTCATGTCCCCCATCTTTCTACGCTCCTGGCCACAGTGATCACAAACCAGCACAAATAAAGACAGTCAACGTGGTAGTAATTGTGTTATAACAGAATGAAAGGTGTATATTTATTCTGAAGGTGTCCAGTTAACAAGCTACTGTGCTTTCGACTTAGCTCACAAGTACCAAAATGAGATCTCAGCCCTTCTTACCACCATCGCTTTCAGCACAGTGATTCTTCTCTAGCCATGCGCTGCAGAAAAGCACATCTCTTCCTTGTCGGAGGAAAAGAAGGCAGATACATGAGCCTGAGGTTTGCCCAGCCTTGTAATTCTAAACTGTAGTTTAGTGTTATGTCCGAATGAGGACAATATGTAACTGGGACTAGAGTTTCACAGGCAGATTTGTTGCAGATTTTGAATTCTAGTCCTTCTCTACAACTTTTCCACCAAACTTTCTCATTTCACCCATGAGCCAGGTTGCGACTAGAACAGGGGTCAACAAACTTTTTTAGCCAGGGGCCGGCCCACTGTCCCTCAGACCTTGTGGGGGGCCGGACTAGATTTTTTGGGGGGAGGATATGAACGAATGCCTATGCCCCACAAATTACCCAGAGAGGCATTTTAAATAAAAGGACACATTCTACTCATGTAAAAACACGCTGATTCCCAGACCTTCCGTGGGCCAGATTTAGAAGGCGATTGGGCCGGATCCGGCCCCTGGGCCTTAGTTTGCCTACCCATGGACTAGAGAGTGTACTTTCAAAAACTACAGCATAAGTGCCCCACCTAAGAATTATCAAAAACCAGGGTTTTTAATTTGTGATATTTAATTTTAATTTGTTACATGGTTGCTTGAAGGCCATTTAAAGCACACACCCCTCAAAAGAAAAAGAAAACTCCCGAGACCTGTAGTTTATGCACACAAAGCTACAATTCCCAGCACCCATAACAAACTACAGTTCCCAGGATATTTTATTTTTATTTTTAGAGGGGATATGCTTTAAATGTATGGTGTGTATGCAACATAAAAAACAATAGGTTATTTTTAGAATCGGAAAGTTTCAGATTAAAAAAATAGTGGTGGCGGACAGCCCCCCCAACTAACTCACACAAAGCAGCCCAAACTCTTTGACTCACTTCTGAACCGTCTACACTTAAAAACTATTATTCTTACTCCGCATAACACCATCCCCTCCAACATTTCTCCGGTGGAAATAGTGACGTCCCATTCCATAATGATAATTTTACTATTTATACCCCATGCATCTTATTGTGTTGCCCCAGCGCTCTGGGCAGCTTCCAACATGCATAAAAACATAATAAAACTTTAAACATTTTTTATTAAAAAAAACCCAAACCACTTCCCTATATAGGATTGCCTTCAGTTGGTGCAGGGGTCGGATAACTCCATAACCTCCAACATTTCTCCAATGAAAATAGGGGCATCCTAAGGAAAAGTGGGACATTCCAGGATCAAATCAGAAACAGGGACGGCTTTTCTAAATCAGGAACGTCCTGGCAAATAGGGACACTTAGAGGGTCTGTAACACTAACAACTTCATTGGCAAACCCTCGTTCAGCCGCCTTACTCCTCATTTTTCAAGGAAGTTCACTCTGTTTTATGTATAACAGCGAATATTTCCTACTGAACAATGTCAAGCAAAGTCCCTCTGCTTCTAGCGGGAGAATAAACTATGGGGTGAAACTCTGTCCTGTTGAACTCAACTACCTGACAGGATCATACCCAAGCTTTAATAGCCTTAATATAACTTATTGGCTCTCAAGGAGTATTGCTGTCAGCGTTCTTTGGCTAGATTCCTCACGGTGTTTTTTTCCCTCCCATAGAAGAGGTTGTTTGTACTCCCCTGGGTATAACACAAAGAGGTATAAAACCAGTGACTTGTACGTGACTACAAAGCATTGTCTGCAACTTGCCATCCATGACAACCCAATGAAAGGACAAGTTGTACTTCAAGTGAATACAGTAAAGAAACCCAATTTAGGAAACTCAAAATTACAGGGGAGCAGACGTAGAGAAACTGAAGCAAAACCAGGAGTGGTGATTCCTGTGGAAAAGTAGTATCAATCATAACCACTTATTAACTCAGCAAGCAGTTAGATTTTCATATGTGAATACTCTCTTCAGATACTGAAGGATACACGAAAGTAGAGAAAAACAAAACCTTGTAAGTTTGGCCTGAAGCATCCTTTGGAGAGACATTTTAACACTTGCTAACTTTCCACGGTCAAGGTTGAAGAAACAGAAGCGCTGAACATTTTCTACGCGTATTCCCTCCAAGCCAACTGTCTATGCAGACGGGGCCTTCCAGTTAATGAACAACATTAATGTTTCCGTAACCTCCAGACTGGACTGCTGTAATTGAGTTGCTCTTGAAAAACAACTAATTGTTCCAAAATACCTACTAGACTGTCACCTGGGATTGGCCACTTTGGTCCTTCTTAATTGTCATTGCTTATGATTTGTTTATGGATTCAAGCAAATATTGATATGTCCCTGCCCCAGTGAACTGCCAGTCATCATGGTTTATCTACACCTGCTGTCAGACTGGTTTCACAAGCAATATTTAAATCTTTGTTTGTTTGTTTTTTGCATTTCAGAAGCGATGTTTGCCAGGAATGCATTCCATGGCAAAAGCTCGCACGTTATGGATGCTTGTGAAAACGTACTTGGCTGCAGAAATCTATTTGCACCTGCAGTTTTCATTACCCATGCCAATTATCCTGTCTTTTGTCAATTATCCTCATGCAAAGTTTCCTCCACCAGTTCCGGGAGGTGTACATGGGGTTCTCCCAATTTAACCCAGTGAGGTACATAAAGATGAAAGACAGTGACTTGCCCAATGTTACTCAGCAAGTTAAATGGCTGAGCAAGCATTTGATTATAGCTTTCCTGAAACCGATCCCAAAACTCTGTTCACTTCACTATTCTGCCTCTTATTCGAATCTGTGTCTATGAGGTTGTGCTTTTTGTTGTGTCACACACAGGAATTCTCCTGCCACACAAGCACTCAAAACAGCTAATAAGAACTACTGACATCCAGCAGGAACCTCATCCTACTCAGGCTTTAAAGACCTATATTAAAGTCCTACAGTTTCCAGAAGCTCATTTTGTGGGCTTGGACAAATTACTCTCTTTAGCCGCAAGGTTTTTGTGAGGAGGATTAACAAGTTATTCTCCCTGCCCTTCTTCCGTGATGCTTAAAATAGCATATACTGTGTGTCTCCATTTCCCTTTAATCCTCACAATAACCTTCTAAAGTAGGTTAGACTGAGAGATAAGGACTGTGTCATGGTCCTCCACTGAACTTCACGGCTGGGCAGAGATTTTAGCTTGGGTCTCCATCATCGAAAGACAACTTGCTATCCACTCCACCCTAGGATCTCAAAACAGAAATAGCATCGCTTGGAAAATAAAACGTTGGTGTACCTACACACACACACACACACAGAGCAATAAAAAAATATTCAATAAGAATAACAATAAGCACATTAATGTTTCCAAGCCGCAGCAGACAAAATTGCTGCTCAAATGATGCGGTGTTGCCAAACTCGCATTAAAAAAAAAAAGTTCGTGCAAGTCAGCCTGTATCAACAAATGGCTCCAGGATGAGGCAACTTTATACCAAACGAGAATCTAGCTCAGCTGTCTCAATTTTGTAATATTAGACTAAAAGATTCAGCTTTTTAAAAAGTGTTTTGTTTCTTCATTACTTAAAAGGTGTTGACTTATTTTTCCTACCCAGCTCAGCGCTCCTAGTGATGTCACTGGAGAGAGAGAGAGCGCTGCACATGATACAACAAGTCATAATTTTAATAAGCATGTGTGCACACCAGTTTAAATTGGCTGGGACAAGTTCTTCTTGCTCCAGTGACCAATCGGCATTTAAATTTGTTCCTCTCGGTGCAGGGAAGGGGAAGTGTAATGCCCAAAATTTAAATACGGATCTTGAGGTCTCTGATTGCATCACTGAGGAAGATGTCTGTGAAGTTCAAAAGCCTGCCTACTCTCACGGTAGATAAAGATCCGGTTAAAAGTATCATGTTAGCTGCTTTCCTCTTTTATCCTTTGGGGCCATAAGAGCACTCTGAATAAAACATACAGTACATTCAAACCCAAGTAAAGAATCCCAAGGAAGAAAACATAATGACCACTTCAAGAAGGTACCCAGATCTAATAGAAAAACCATTACCCTGATCTCAGTGGATGTCTGCCTAATGTTATATTCACCTGACAGTGTTAGCACAGTGTAACCTCTTTATCTCAGTGCATCAAAGCAAATTCGTCACAGAAAACACATCTTTTTGCGAATACCCTGAAAATGCAATGAGACGTATATTGTGGTAGGTATTCAGCAAAGTTTTGCTCACGGTAGACCTATTGAAAACAATGGCCAAAACATGTTCATTCATTTTAGAGAATCTACTCTGAGTAAAACTTAGTTTTGAAATATATTTTTTAAATGGTTTCAAAAAATGAGGGGAGGTTCTGTACAGACAATAAAAAATAAACCTAACATTTGATATGAACTTCCCGTACTTTGAATATGTTTGATCTTTAGAAATCAAACATTCTTAACCCAACAGCTATTTTATGGTTAATAAATGTGGGCTGCCTCTATGGGTTACAATATCTCAGTTGACATACAATTAAGAAAAGACTTCAAAACAGAATTCCATATAATTTTCAGATTTCCTGCACTGGAAGAACAGGCTGCTATATCTGGTAGGTAGTTAAGAGGAGCACCTGGGAGGCAAACATCAATGAAAGCATAAAGGCAATGGAAAGTTTGAGCTCAGATTTCCTTTTACTCACCTGCTCCTTCCTTCACAGACAATGAAGGATTTACAAAGGTATCTCTGTGGGGAGCTACAATATATAGAGAGAGCAGGTATTGGGCAAAGACTGCTTTCATCACCAGGTTAAATTCCAATTGCACCCTCTGGACTGCCAAGCCTACCTGCTGAAGTTTTTCAGGCAGCACAAAGTTCCTCTAGACTTTTAGCTCAGAAAATACCCCATCAGCAATAAAGGAGGAACTTTAATAGTCCTGCTTCAAAGTTTAAAGGTGATTACATCCATCCTTCTAAATTGCCAGCCACTGCATCCTTTGTTACTCTTTTTCATTTAAGATAAAAACTTGTCCTGGCTGGTAAAGCACGGTTAGCGTTATGGTTTTATCTTGCTGCAGATCTTTTTTCTCTTTTTTTAAAAAGATCAGATAAAAAGCAAGTCTAATTCTATCGAAACTCGTTCAGAACCCCTTTCCAAACGAAATGATGTCATAATTCGCTCTCCTGAGGTAGAAAAACTTCAGCTTTTGTTTCAGCTGCTGCTGTCCTAGTGCCTTTCTTTAGAAAAGATTTTAAAAATTTATATGCGCTCCGGGTAATCGTACCCCGGCAAAGCCAGAAATCAAATTACATCAAAGAATCGCAAGGTAAGTAAGCAAATTAGAAAGTTCACAATGCTGATTCGTACTGGGGAAAGAACCAGTCTTTCACAAGCAAGTCACTTGCAAAGTACTGGGACTGCTCTCTTTTATTGTTCTGAATTTCAGTTGGTGTACGTACCTAGTCAGTCACCGCTGAGACACATCTCTGCTCAGTAAAATTCCTACATCCAAAACCATCTTCGGTGTTTCAAAAACTCCCAATGCCTCTCCAAATAAGCAAGTGCACCTCCCACCTTTATCTCTATTAGCTTGCTGAGTGGATCACACCTAGAGTAGGTGGAAACAGAACTGTCTACCTTTGCATGCATCACAGACAGTTTTTTTTGTTGCTGCTGCACCTTAGCTAGCCAATGAGTGCTGGGGATCTCTGAATTAAGGGTGTTCAATTTGCATGGTCAACAATATAATTAACGTTCTCCTCCACCCTAGCTGAAGGCTTCCAGGCAAACTAGAATATGCCTTTGCCTCATTTTGCCATCACAACAGTACATAAGAGCTCGTCGCCTTTGTTTTCGTTCCCACTTAATTTGCATGGTCCACATGATGTTACGCTCAAACACCAATATTGATACCTTCTCCCTGTAAATTTAGGTTCACCCAATGCATAGATAGTCAGATAAATTGGGGAGAATTGGGCTCTGAACCGCTCTACTCAGGGTTACAGGCAATTTATTTTGGCGGTAGATCAACTGTAACTTCCTGCTACTCCTCTTTCCATGCCCACTACTCATGTTTTCTTTTCTTTTCCAGCTGTGCTAGTAATTATTTCCGGCAGAGCTTTGCCTTTTGGTCCCTCAGCCTTGCACAAAACCGAGAAAACTGCGCAAGCAAACCACGCAAGCAAACCGCGTGCTGAGAATTTACAATTGCCTAACTGTAGGCATTTGCACACTTCCCAGGTGGGGAATTTTTTTTTTAAAAAAACAAGGTCCTTAAGCAGTGTGACAGAATAAACAAATTAGAAGGCAAAGACAAGAACATAAGGAAATGCCTATTGGTATGAGGGGAAAGACCTAAATTGTTCCTCATATGCAAATGCAAATTTGTGCGAGTGTGGATTAATTTGAAGGGTAAACAGTGGATTAACAGCTAAATAATGCTCAGTTGGGAACAAGCCTTCAAGTAGTCTGAGAGGTGGTGACTTGGTCGTTCCATTGAACTTCAGGGCTGAGCAAGCATTTATATCCAAACCTTCCAAATCCAATCCCAATATCTGGCAATGAAATAACAAAGTGATGAGGACAAAGTAATTCTGCAGCTACTTGGGTTATTGTGATTTGGAGCACAACCTGGAAGCACTACCGGTGATGTAAGTGTCCGAGTAGAACAGTGTTTGCATGGTATTGCTCAAAGTAAGTGGGGACATGGGTGGCGCTGTGGGTTAAACCACAGAGCCTAGGGCTTGCCGATCAGAAGGTTGGCAGTTCGAATCCCGGCGATGGGGTGAGCTCCCGTTGCTCAGTCCTGCTCCTGCCAACCTAGCAGTTCGGAAGCACACACCGCAAGTAGATCAATAGGTACCGCTCCAGCGGGAAGGTAAACGGCGTTTCCGTGCGCTGCTCTGGTTCACCAGAAGCGGCTTAGTCATGCTGGTCACATGACCCGGAAGCTGTACGCCGGCTCCCTCGGCCAGTAAAGTGAGATGAGCGCCGCAACCCCAGAGTCGTCTGCAATTGGACTTAACGGTCAGGGGTCCCCTTTACCCCCCCCCTTTACTCAAAGTAAGTGTTGTTGTTGTTTAGTCGTTTAGTCGTGTCCGACTCTTCGTGGCCCCATGGACCAGAGCACGCCAGGCCCTCCTGTCTTCCACTGCCTCCCGCAGTTTGGTCAAACTCATGCTGGTAGCTTCAAGAACACTGTCCAACCATCTCATCCTCTGTCGTCCCCTTCTCCTTGTGCCCTCAATCATCAGGGTCTTTTCCAGGGAGTCTTCTCTTCTCATGAGGTGGCCAAATTATTGGAGCCTCAGCTTCAGGATCTGTCCTTCCAGTGAGCACTCAGGGCTGATTTCCTTAAGAATGGATAGGTTTGATCATACTGCCAGTAAATAATTTGTAAATAGGAGTCACACAAGAGCTTAAACTGACAGACCAAAGGAAGCTTCAAATTCCCCTGTAAATTTTAGCAACATCTACTGCAGTTTCCTTTGGCAAATATACCCATCTTCCTTCTGTGTGTTGGAACACACCATACCCGGTCTTGAAAATAAAGGGTGGGACAACAGCTTAGTTATTGTCCTCCTTATATCGTGCATGTGGACTGGATATGCTACACTATTTGGCAAAATTTACCCAGGACTGGTTCACATTTAATGGTGGCGTCATCATGCTGCAGCCATGGGTGTCGCAGAAATAATTAAGGCCTATGACTTGTTTTGCAGCCTTTATCTGGCTGAATCCCACACATCATTACATGTACAGTATCACCGATTGGAGATTGAGGTGGCATGCAGCAATAGCATATTTTAGGTGTCATAAGATTCCAGCAGTGGCGTAGCGTGGGGGGTGCAGGGGGGGCCGGCCGCACCGGGCGCAACATCTGGGGGGCGCGCTCGCACTCGCAGCTCTCTGCCCCTACCTGGCTCACTCACTCTCTCTCACTGCAGTGCTGGCTGTGCGAATCCGATCCGAGCCGCTGGGTCGCCGCCCACTGTGGAGGGGTGGGTGCCAGGCGTGCGGTGCGGAGAGAGAGCGAGGGACTATCTGGGGGAGGGACAGTGCAGCGGCCGCCCAGCGCAGCGCTGAGCGCAGGAGAGAACCACACCAGACCAGACCAGGCAGCAGCAAGAAGAAGCTGGCAGCAGCGGCAGGTTAGGGGTTAGGGGGCGCAAATTACTTGCCTTGCCCCGGGTGCTGACAACCCACGCTACGCCGCTGGATTCCAGAGTCACTATCACAGCAAAACAGGACTTGGGGGCAGAAGTCCAACATCCCACTCAGCACAATAAGCAAGAGTTGCAGAGAGATTAGTGCACTGCGTGGCTGGGTACCACATCTTTAACAGAAATAATACACATTGCCATCGATAGATCCCCCTAAGACAGTTCAGTCCAGAGTCTAAAATTACCTATGGCACCATTGCCCATTAATACCTGCTACAATATTGAAATCCTGCCAACCTAGCAGTTGGAAAGCACGTCAAAGTGCAAGTAGATAAATAGGTACCACTCCGGTGGGAAGGTAAACAGCGTTTCTGTGCACTGCTCTGGTTCGCCAGAAGCGGCTTAGTCATGCTGGCCATATGACCCGGAAGCTGTATGCCGGCTCCCTCGGCCAATAAAGCGAGATGAGCGCCGCAACCCCAGACTCGGCCACGACTGGACCTAATGGTCAGGGGTCTCTTTACCTTTACAATATTGAAATGCAAACTATGCTAACATCATCACTTTGCTGATGTAGGGAGGTCAAGGTTGAGAGATAGTAGCTTACCAAAGTGAGTAGGTTCTTGGGTGAAAAAAATATTTGAACCTGAATCTTCTTAGTTTGTGGATCATACTTTTAGCCACTGTGTGAAAACAGCTTGCAAGGTTAAACTGAGTTGATAGTGTGATAGTGAACAAACTATATGCAACTATTGTTTTTTACTTAAACTTCATTTATTCTCACAACCCTTCTAAATGTGGTAAACTTGGTTATTATTTATGTTTGGCAGGTTTCTGGTTCTGTTTACTTTATTTTGCACCTACTTCTAAATTTCTTTAATACTTTGGAAAAGAGTTTATAAATGTTCTAAAAAGAATAGCTCTAATGACATAAAATAATTATTCAAAATATCCATTTCTCTTCCCCCACCCCCAAGAAAGTACACTTCCAAGCATAGGGGTAAATAAATTGATAAAGTTCTGTTGTCATGCAAAATTGTTCTCCAAATACTGAAGTCATCAGAATTTTGAAAGTTCAGTGTAGTGAAAAATGGTCAGATCCTGTTTCCTAGACAGCGCAAAACAGGTTTTTGTGATTCAAAATACCTCATACAGATTTTGGAGTGTTGGAAAGAATCGAAAGATAATTTAAACATTCTAGAAATAAACAGAATTAGATGAAAATTCGAGAAAAACCAGATGCCTGCATAGGAAAATAAGAGAACTGAATGGGTCAACAGATGTAAAAAAAAATGAAATTCTGGCAAGTGCAGCCCTTTTATCAAAGCAATATGAGGTTTTTTTAAAAAAAAAACCACACTTGCTAAAATTCCTCCTTCTGCATGGGAATTCTGGAATTTACTATATTTGGCCACCACCCAAACCAATCCGCATTCCCATTAGAGTTTAGGAGGTTGAGATGACACTATCTGTTGCTAAGACAACCTTGATTTTATGCCAGAATTTTAGTCAAATGTGAAGAAAGGAGGAACAAGGTAAAAGATCCGTAAAAGACCAGAGAAGTTTAGGGGCAAACCCCTCTGGCTCATAATTGTGAAAAATAAGCCTTTGGGATTTGTTTTTTAATGTTGAGGTGACCTCCCCAATGTTACAGCGCAAAAGTTAAGTAATACAGACGGATA